GCTTATATAATTTTGATAATAATAATGTTATGTAATATAATATAAAGTACTTATAAGTTATAAGTTATAACTGTATTGTATTGTAAATAAAAATCGTAAAGCTTTGCCGACTAAAATACACTAGAGGTCCTCATTTTAGTACTAGAGATTTAATACATAAAAATATGTTTCCCGTTAACAATGTATTGGTTGTATTGATTGCATTAACAGTTAAAACATATCAATACATGTATTGTTTGTATTGTTATTATAAACAGTATTATATTTATTGTGTTTATTTACACTGTTTGGCAATAATAGTGTGAATCGGTTCCCAATAAGTGATGTCAGCCTTTGTTGAACCACCGAAGCGATGGTCACACGTAAGCAAAGTAATCGAAAGAATGGGACCGTTTGTTGTCGACAGGTTTGTGGCCTCACCTCAAGTGCTTGAAATGGTCAGATAAGTGAGAGTACTGGTCAGCGGCGCCGGCGGTCCCGGGTGTGAACTGTTGAAAGACTTGGCACTCATGGGATTCAAGAATATCCATGTCATAGACATAAAAACCATAGATCTCTCTAATCTGAACCGACAGTTCCTGTTCCGTACCAAAGATATCTGTTAACAGAAAGCCTTAGTGGCTGCCAAAGCTATTATGGAGCGCATCAGTGCCTGTAATATCATTACACATTACAAACAAATACAAGACTTCGATGAAGACTTTTATCGTCAATTTCAAGTGATTGTCTTTGGATTGGACTCTATAGTCGCCCGCCGATGGATTAATTCTATGGTCTATAGTTTGATTCAATTTAATGAAGAAACCGGCGACGTTGAGACCACTGTTATACTCATCGATGGTGGCACTGATGGCTTCAAAGGCAATACTAGTTATTCTTCCCGGTTATGGCACACCTTGTATTGAATGCACATTAAATTTGTTTCCACCGCAAGTCAATTACCCGCTCTGTACTATAGCTCACACACCAAGACTTCCAGAACACTGTATTAAATACATGAAAGTATTGTTTTGTTCAAATGAACAAACATTTGGTGGTTGAGTGGCCATCGATGGAGACGAACCAAATCATTTGCAGTAGATCTTTGATAAATCACTAGAAAGGGCTCAAGAGTTTAACATTAAATTAATTTTATTAAATTAAAATAATTTTATTTTTGACGACAAAGAGAATTATCAATTACATCATTACTTTCTATTTACATATTAATAGCAAAATTATAAAAATAAATACAGTATTAATAATTCAATAATATTTATTTTTATTAATATATGTTAAATCTATTAAAAACATTAAATTATCACACAATCATTTTTTGACTATTTATTGATTATATAAAATAAATGAGTAGTTTAATGACTAATTTTTATATAATTTTTTAAAATAAAATTATATTATAATTATATATTATATATATTCAATATTAAAATGATTAGTTTTATCACAGAATAAAATCAAAAAATTAAATTACTTGACATTTATATAATTGGCCGTAAAATGCAATCATTTGTATGATTTCAATGACAAATGAATCGCTTGTTTATGTGTTTAACAATGAATATTATTACAACCATTTAATAATACTGTACAATATTAAGAGGTAATGAATTGTATTTTGTTTTGTATTGAGTTTCTTAAGACTTATGAAAGACGACTAGATTTGATTACAATATTTTAAGTAATTATATATTATATATCTTAAGGGTACGGGTTAAGTATTGTGGGCAAAAATTTATTGTAACAATTATAAATAATTGTGATCAGAATTAGGAATAGAAAAGATATTAAACTTCTTATATAATGGAGATTCTACTTTTGATATCATATTTCTTACAGTATTACCCCAGACAGTAGGAGTAATATACGTGAATGAGTTGCTTAAATGTCGAGCAAACTCTTCTTGACTATTTCTGACATTAAATTTGCCGACTCTTTGCTTCCAAGTGTTCCAAATTTCTTCAATAGGATTTAAATCACACATATATGGAGGTAATCGTAATGGGAAACACTTAAATTTTCGAATAATGTCATCAACAATATATTGTGGGGGCTTTTTATTCTGTTTAACGATTGCTAATAACTCTTTTTTATTTAAATCATCACTAAATTCGATGTCATTTTCAAGCAACCATTGTTTAATAACATCTTTTTTCGAAGCCTGAGTAGGCATTTTATTTGTTTGTCGGCTATGAATCGGTGCGTTATCAAAGATGACTATAGAATTCACTAATAAGTTTGGCATTAATTGGTTTTCTAGCCAATTCTCAAACATTTCGGCATTTACTTCACTTTTATAAATAATGCATTCAGCATTCTTTACAAAACCTTCTTCACCGCCGGCATGAATTACTGTAAATCTACCACCTTTACCGGCACTTTTGTTTGTTTTAAGCTTAATATTATTGTTTATCGGTACTAATGTTTTTCTCATGACATGATTTCTGTCAACACAACACTCATCAATGTATATAAACACTGGTGTTCCGCCTTCAATGACAATAGTTTTGGCTATTTGAAGCTTGTCACACAAAAATTTTTTACACAAATTCTGAATACGAGGAGTTTCAATTAACTCCTCACGAATTAATTTAATTGTGTATTTTTTTGTGTATTTCATTTTATGCATTAACTTACAAAACGTTTTATAGCTACAATTTTTGAAAGTTAATTGACAGTTTTCATCATTATTAACTTCATTGTGTACATCAGTAAATGTCACAAATTGGTTACGATTGGTAATCAAATCACAAATAATATTGTCAATTACCTCATAATCGTCATCACAGAACGTATATTTAGCTTTTTTTCCAGGTGCCCGCTTAGCTTCAACTGCACCCATTTTCTTGATGTTATACAAGCTTTTTATACTGATACCAAATTTGGCACTAATCTCTTCTGTCGTCTTTTTCTTCCCATTTTGTTTTTCATTTTCTTTTTTACAATAATTAATGATTAAATTTTTTAATCGGATATCAATTGGTTTTGTTTTCGGTACTGTCGGTGTTGTTATTATTGTTGGCGTCGATGAAATATTGTCTGATTGTGGACACAAACTTATATGCGCAATATATAAGTGTTTGACTTTAGTACCGATTAGTAAATGTTTGGAAATAAATGATTCACTTGTTGTCAGTTTGTTTGCATCGTTTTGTAGATAGAGATCAGTCAGGTTTGCCAATTGTCCAATAGATTCAATCGACATTTCAGTGATTGATGTCTCGCCGATATGCAAATACTGTAATTTCGGAAGATTACAGTGAATGTCACGAAAAAACTGGTCATCGATTATACGACAGTCATGAAATTCGAGTGTCAAATGTGTCAATCCGTGAAATCTATCAATCAAACCACTGGTCAGTACTAAGTTTTCATCATATTTGGGATAACAATCCATTGATAATCGTCTTAATTGTGGTGACATATGTTCATTGATTGCGACAACCATTTGATTAATTGTTTCTATTCTTGAATTTAGTGAATAATTAAATGCTTTCAGTTGGAGACAGTTGCGTCCAATTGTGGCCAACAGAGTACTAATAAAATCAAATTCAAAATTATCTTTTAAAACAATAGTTAATTGTTTTAATTGTTTCATTTGTTCAAATCCGGTAATCAATGTCATAAGCATAATATTTGTTTCCACCGATATGTCCAGCGATAGCATTTGTTTGTTGTAAGTATCGGCAAATTTAGTGAACAACTCCTGTGATTGTTGGTCGACCAGTTGTACGGCAAACGATTGCAAACCATTAGGTAAGCGATAGCCCTTGAAGTGACTGTCGGTAAATAAGTCAATCAAATTGATAGCTGATGTGATATCCACTGTTTTCAAGTGAGACAAGCGTTGGTCGCATAGTTTGTACAGTAGTTGTCGTCTGAATTGCTGATCACTGCCGTCGAACTTAAATGTCTGCAACTGTTGGCCAAATCGGTCAATAAACTGATCAAATATTGGCTCTACGACTAGCCAATCATAAGTGTTGTTTCGTTTCAGTGATATGTGTCTCAATTGGTTGCAGTGTTTGATGAGTAGATCCAGTAAACGATCCAATGAATTGACATCACTTATAGTGACTGAAGTGATTTTTGATGACTTTTTGACAATTGTTTCAATAAATTTTAACTTTTTTGTCTCTAAAGACATTCGTTTAAATAGATTTCCATCAAATACCAGATGTGTTTGTGTATTGAATATCAATGACTGCCACTGTTTGGACACCGAATGTAGTCTTAGTCTGTCATCGATTGGCAGATATTGAAGCAATAGTTGACACAAATAATCGCTAAAACGATCAAACGAGTCCTTCGGTGTTATCATTGTTGTTGTAGTTGTGGTCATTGTCTTCAGTTATCTTTCATTTTATGTCTTAAATAATCTCTTGATTTTTATTTATTTATTTCATTCAATGATTAAAACTATCAGAAATAAAATGTTTATATAAAATGTAAATCAATTATGAATTTAATGACAAAACAATACTTACATTAATTTAATTGTTTTGAAAATTACTTTATATCATTACAGCAACTGTTGGCCAAATCGGTGACAAAATCGGTCAAATAGCGGACTATTATCCGTACATAACTCGACTGAAACACAATTATTTAAGAATTACAGTAAAATTGAAGACATTCTTAGTTTGACTTTTTTTATGAGATAATACCTATTAATGTGTTTCGATTTTAAAACTTAATACTGTCTATAATAACAATACAAACAACACATGTTTTGACATTTGATGCAATCAATACAACCAATACATTGTTAACGGGAAACATATTTTTATGTATTAAATCTCTAGTACTAAAATGAGGACCTCTAGTGTATTTTAGTCGGCAAAGCTTTACGATTTTTATTTTTACTGTAAGATAACAAACACGTGACTAATATTACAACAATGAATGTCACGTTTTAGTTAGTGATCAATGAATGACGTAATTAATTGTTATATCAATTGAATGAATATTATTAATAATATTAATATAATAATAGTATTATTGAATGAAACGTATTGTGTATTTGAGAGACATATCGAGTGTGACATCAAATCAATTGAATATTATATAAATAGTAATGTCTTTCAATTGATTCAATTGATCCCATTTTGTCTAACAATGCTAACAATGGACACCAATGCTAATGTTCCGGCATTTATCACCAAATTATGGCGAATCGTTGAAGACGTAACATATAATCATCTGATCCAATGGAGTCAGGTTTGTATGCATTGATTGATTGATTAATTGATTGATTGATTGAATTGTCGTACAAGAGGTCTGACAAAGTATTTGATGTAATTGTCAACTGATTTATGATTTAAACAAAATAAAGATTAACTCAAAATGCCTTTAAATCTAACCAAACGATAGACCTATAGATCTAATGAATCGAAAGACAAAACAATGAAATAATGACAACAACTCTCTTATGAGATATTGATTTGAATTATAATACAAGAAGTGGTTATCAGTTGACATAAAGACAAAGATTGAAATCTATAATTGAATAGATATTATGACAATATATTGATTTACAATTGAATTGTACTGAATGTCGATTCTCAACAATGCTATGGCGGACCTCTTGTCAAACACTTATGATATTTATGCCAATTCATGATGTGATCAATTGTAGTGATAATGCATTTGTGGTTATTATCTATAATAAGTATTATTTATTTATTGATTGTACAGAACGGCCGTAGTTTTATAATCCATGATCAGTCAAAGTTTGCCAAAGAGCTGCTCCCACTCTACTTCAAGCACTCAAATATGGCATCATTTATAAGACAACTGAATATGTGTCAGTATTTTTATCTTAAGTTTTATCATTTTTTAAGTATACTTATCGTAAACTTTATATTTTAATTGTCTTATTAGATGGCTTTCGCAAAGTGTCAAACATAGAGAACAGTGGTCTTCGAACTGAAAGAGATGACATCGAGTTTTTTCACCATTTCTTCTCAAAAGACAAGGAACGGGAACTGGAATTTATTAAACGCAAGGTTCCCATCAAAGCTGTATTCATATTTCAATTATTTTGCTTTCTATTAATTATTTGACAGTTTTTAAATCGATAAGCAGTATGAAAGGCACAAATAATTGATTGTTTTAATTGATTGCAGACACCGATCAGTAAAAGTGGTGATTCCTCTGCAAAACCAGATGACGTTAATGAGATGCTTCAGGACATGGAGTCTATTAAAGGAAAACAAGGAAATATGGACGTCTTGTTGACTAATATGCAGAGAGAGAATGAGGCTCTTTGGAGGGAAATCGCTATTTTGCGACAAAAACATCACAAACAACAACAAGTGGTGGAAAAACTTATACAATTTTTGGTGTCTTTGGTTCAAAATCGTGGTCTTTTGAATATTAAGCGTAAGCCACAACTCATGATTGACGACACGGATGAAAATAGACAATTGTTAAGAAATAAGTTAATTAAAAGAAGTGATTTAAATGACTTTACCTCTACTTTTGGTTCAACTGATTCTCCATCTAATGGACCCATTATTCATGATATAACTGATGACTATATTGACGATTCCATTCATATTAATGCATCTAATGTTAATAAAAGTGTTAATTTGAATGAAATACCACAAACACAACAATTAGTGCTACCAGTGGTCACTACGAAGTTACAAAATGATACTTTAGGTCACTCATCAAAATCGGATCCATCTCTTGATATATTAGATCCGTTACAGGAGAGCATTAAAGAATTGGGTTTAGTAGCCGAATGTCCGGTATCGCAGTTGTCTATTATGGGCGACAACACCGATGTCGACAGTCTTTTAAAGAGCTCATTGAATACGCCTCCAGCAACACCTTTGGTAAATAAAAATGATGGAAATGAAGGACAGACTCAACCAAATGAAGTACAACCTAATGAAGTGAAAGATTTAGTTCTTTCCAAACAAAATAACGACCAAATGATTACTCCTATATCACAAGGGTTTGTTAATTGCATTTAATATACAGTATATTGTTTGTTATAAATTATTTTTGGTTAATCAAATAGCGTTATCAACGATCACATCGATGGCATTGATGCTGAATTGGATTGGCTTCAGGATCAGCTCAGCTCTGGTATTAATATCGATCCATCGACTCTTATGGGGGTAAGGCCTGATCCAGGCATAGGCTTGAATGACAATTATTGGCTAAAACAGGTGTGAAATAGGGTTAACGGTTTGACTCTCTGTACAAATTTTATTTGTTTATAATTATTGTTTTGAATTTTAATGCACTTTTTTGTTTAAAAATTAGGATTTATATAAAATTCAAAAAAATTAATTTGATGTCGAATTTGTCAGAGAATTGCCGCAAAAGTAGTAATTTTATGGCAATAATAATATTTTGTTTGTTTTTTATAATTATCACAGCTTTTCAATATGGAAGACGATAACAATTCAAGCATTTACTCAATGGTAACAAATTATCCAAACAATGCTATTATTGGCAATGAAGTCATACAATTCAATCCAAATGCTAATTCTATATTCGATGACTTAGAGCTGACAACCGGTAATGAGGTATCACAAGGTAAGCCCTTTCCTTACAGATTATCATTTTTTGTTTACTAACATATGTATAATATATTTAAAATTAGATACATTATTAGATGACTCTTTACTACCTGAGCTGGACCTCAATAATATCGTAACTGAAAGTCAAGTTCAAAATGATAAACTCAAAGACGACCAGATATTGTCATAATTATAGAATTTATCAAATGTTTAGATTTTTAAATCATCTTAGTTTTCGTCAAAATATATATATAAATATAAATAAGTTTATATAATTTTTAAAAATATATAAAACAATATTTATCTATTTTGATGACATCAAATATCTTACTTAATGGTAAAAAGATATATATTTTAACAAATATGATATAACGATATATACAGTATATATTAACATAAAAGGATTGCGTCCTAACTCACGATATGAAGTCATTGGCAAAAAAAGTGTAAAGAATGTGTAATTGCGGTAAAATTGTAACATTTATTCACTTATAAATCCGCTATTATTTGGTTATTGACACAAATATTAATGTTTTAATAATAGTAACACTTATGATATTTTTCATTACCGTAAAAGTTATTTAAAAAAAATAAAGATTAATATTCAAACAATTTTGTGTTAACTTTTTAAAATCTAATAATAGATATGTCTAACCCTATGAAATGGTGTCGACTCATCTATTTGTTTGGCATTGTTTCGCCTGTAATCCCATAAATAGAAGTCAATAATAATTGAATTAATGGAAGTGTTGTCCAAATCCCTGATTTTCTGTTGTATGCGATGGACGGCCACTACAGATGCGGCCCTTATTTCCACTTCATATTCATTACCACTCTTTAACAAATGATTTTCATCTTTAAGCAAATCTCGCAATTGTTGCGAATACTCGATAACATTGAAATGTGCCAACACTTGAGGTATTCTAATAATTGTTGAAAAATTACAGTAATTTTAGTTACAATAAAAAAATGTTTTTTATCAAACATTACCTGTAATCGGCAAACATTGTTAAATCATTGATATCATAAAAGTGTCCGAAGCCTTGTCCCTCAAAAGCAGCCCAAATGTCTGATATAAGTATTTGTGCCCTTTTGTAAAATGATACTATCGATTGTAATAATAATAATTGTTATTAATTAATCAATAATAAGAATATTTTTAAATTAACTTTTAAAAACCTTTATATCCCTTATATAGAGTTTGATCCCGAAATGATTCAAAATTATTAACAATTAGTTTCAATAGATTTGTTGCTTTTGAATCACATATTTCTATACAATTGACAAAACTTCCACCAAATTTCTATTAAAATAAAATTATTTGAAAAATATTTATAATCTAACAGATAATAAATTAATGAATTAAATCTAGTAATTATAATTTAAAATCAAAGCAAAAACTAAAAAAATAAAAATCAAATTTTAAAAACTTCAAATAACTAATAAAAGCAATTCATTACAAAATTGATTTAACATATTTTGCATATGATTTCATATTTTACAAATAGTTAATCAAATTAAATGATTGACAAATTGTAAATAAAAAATAAATCAATTGAAACCTCAATGAGAACTCTTCCGGATTCCCGTAAAACTTGTAATCTTTCCTTAAGTAATGGTATTTCAAATCCATTATCGGTGGCAAAGATTTGTTTGAAATCTTCTTCACTTATTTGTGAATAATATTTTGGATCCGTTATAGCAATTCCTTTATCCAAAGCCCTATTAATGGCCGCACAGAGAGCCCAATATCCGACCTGACCTTCGATGGTATACTCATGTCTCGGGTTCGGCCAAAATGAGAAATTGAGTGAATCGACAACAAAGATCCAATCAATTGTTGATTTGTCGGCCACTTTCGGGTGTAAGACATGCTCTTTCCAGACATGTGTTGAATATTTATTACTTTCGATGTCATCTTTTAACTAATAAATGGATTTATAATACAAATTAAAACATTTACTTATATTAATGTATAGTAAGTACTATTGGATTGCCTTTTGTGCCATAAGTTGAATGCCATCGTCTTTGATGACAACATTTGTGGCTAAATTGACCACAATTTCTGATGAACTCAACGGATCAATAAAATATGAATTGTTTTCACTCATTGTTTGTCTTCAATTAATTTTTTAATATTATATTTATTTAATACAAGTTTTATTTAACTTAAATTTATATAATATATTAAAAATAAATTTTTACTCAAATGTTGTCATCAAATAAATTCATTGAAATTCATTGGTATTAATGGTTCAGATGAGAGATTGCAGTACTGTTTTCAGTGATAATTATATATTTATTTTTTTTAATTGTGATCAACAAAAATACTTTCAACAAATTATTTAGTAATTTAATACCATTTTATCGCAAACATTAAACTTATTATCGGTTCAAAAGCACTCAATACTTACTGTATTTCATTCACCAATTTTTTTTGTCAAACTTTTAATAAGCAAAATAAAAATTGTTGATTAAATAATCAATAATATTTAAATACCAAATGATAAAAGATAATCACTAATATTTTTTGTGAAAATAATAAATTGAATTTATATAAAATTTAGATTTATTAATTAATAAAAATTGTAAAATTACCCAAAACTATAATAGTGTAATCAATATTTTCAAAAATTATTATTCATAATAAATGCAGACTAGTGTGTGTTTAATAAACATTTTTTTATAATGCAAAATATATATTTATGATATCAATAATATAATATACTGTATAATACTGTCAATTTTATCAATGATTTTAAAATTGAGGAACTTTTAGATAATAAATATGATTATAATTTGTTTTATTAGAGAAATAAAGTATTCATAATAATAATAAATGTGTGTTTCATATAATCTTTTTTTTTCATATCAAAAGCCTACACAAAAATAATGAATAATATGTGTAACAATTGTCTGAAATATAAATAAATGTGATTTTGCTTTTTTTTAAATAAATTGTATGAATTGTTATATCACTACTATATCAAAATAACAATTATTATTATAACTATACGTCATAACTATAATTATCTTAATTACAATTTTATAAATATATAACTAATTTATTAAATTTAAAAAAATCAAATGAATTGTTTTATAGCGCACTAATCGACTCATTAACAGGTGGTATGTCTTCTTCATCTTCACTGTCGGAACAGACACTTTCGACTCCTTCGTAGAGTTCATACAAGTCGTGGTCATCTTCTAATGGCTCAAATCGTTGTTGAATTTCATAATTGATCCCAAGATCTTTAAAGAACAATTGTTTGGCTTCATCTTCGTTCTCATTTGACTTTCCATTTATTTCATTTATATCTTCATTTAGTTCCAAGTGTTCGGTTTCAAGAGTTTCCAATTTCCAGATTTCCATATCATTGAAGTAAGTAAATAGTATGGGTTTCCGGTCATGAATTGGTTCAAAATGCCATTGAATGTGATCTCTAAGATATGACGACTGAAGACACGTGTAATCACAATAAGGACATTGTTTGCCGTCGCGAACGTTACGTATTTGCTGATCGTGTCGTTTGAGGTGACTTTGAACGGCGTCTTTACGACTATTAACATATGGACACCGATCACAACAATACATAATTTTATCGTCCAGTTTTTCGCCATCTTTTTGTTCATCATTTTGTTTGTCTTTATTATCCATGTTATCATTGACTGTTGCAGATGTCGTTTCTGTATTATTAGTTTCTTTATTTTTGGCCAACTGTTCCAATTCAGTTACTTCTAACTGATTATCTTCACTATCAAGTGTCTTGAAATCAGGACTTAATTGATGACAAGCTCTATGTTTAACAAGTGTTGCCGCGTAATGTACGGCATAATCGCATTGATCGCACTTCCATTTGGCGTCGAGTCCATGAAGTGTCAAATGCTTCTCCAAACGTGTCTTCTTTGAGAAAGTGGCCGGACATCGATCGCAGCGATGGTTATAAAGGGATTGCGGATTTGAAACTGAATTAAATGAATGAGAATTATGTAACTGTTTGTGAACCAAAAGACTTTGAGCAGAGATTGTGCTATAACTGCAATGTTTGCATTTGTTTGGCGCATCACTTCCATGCAGTGACACGTGAAATGTCAATGTATTGACATTATTGAATATTGCCGGACAGTGAGAGCACCGGTAACTAAATCGTTGTTTATTTCCAGTTCTCAATTTCTCAAAATAAGCTTTCGATTCATTCATTTCCAATAAAATCATTTGTTGTGTTGGGTTTTGTCCGTTGCTCTGGAAAAGTGCCGCTCGTTTCGGGAATCTGTCGGAATCAATATCCTTCGGTATTATAGGAGTTGTAGAATCGTCGGCCTTAAGAGATGATTGAGAGTCGGTCTTCTTGAGCAACGAATTGGTGCCGTTTGGCGATTGGAATGCCTGCGAGTTATCATTAGGACACTTGAGATCGCGTTTCATCTGATCGACGGCGTCTCCAATCAATAGTTTAGTTCCGTCGGGATAACAGTTGGCTCTTTTGGTTATGTATTCAGCGGTGTGAACGTACAAATGTTTACAAAGTTGTGGCTTATTCTTTGCTCTGAATAAAACAAATCATTTATTTATTAGTAAAATATTATCAATAAAATATATTATATATAAATAACTTACTTATAATTACAATACGGGCAGTGGTGGGGGTGTTCATTACCGTGAAATGCCGAATGAATTTTCAAATCTCCGGGACTTTTAAAGGCGGCCGGACAGTCTGTTTGGTCATTTAAAAATCAATTAATTTAAGCATAAATTTTCACATTTTACATTACATACCGCGACAAACATACGAAAACATTCTTCTGCTTCCTTGTCTTATGTTATCGACATCAATGACAGAGACGGATGGCGTCGTAAAGTTGGTCTCATTTGATTTTTTTATATTTTCATTATTGGAGTCAATTTTATGATCACTAAGATGTGACAAAAAGTCATTTGAATCGCGAGTTTCGAACACACACTGTGAACATCTGAAGGCCTCATTAGTGTTGTTTGAGTGAAGTTTTTCGTGAACATAGATATAGGTTCTTCTCTTAGAAGTGGTAGAACAGAAGCGACACTGAAATAGTTTCCGTTTATTGTTTCCGATCTGAACCCAAGTAAACGGAATGTCAGATTCGTCCCTATCATCCGAGTCTTCCATTTCTTGTTCATCTTCTTGAGGTAATTCGTAATAATTGATAGGCGATTGCATATTCGCAGGATTCTGGTAATGGACTTTCATATGTTGGTTCAATAGATGCAGATAACTGACTGAATAAGTGCATAAACTACAAGAATAAGTGGCATTTCTGTTCGGCCGATGGAACTGTTTGTGATATAAAAGTTGTGTTTTGGTGCCCGCAATAAACGGACATTTGTCGCATCGATTTTTGCTAACACTCGCCGATTGTCTACTAACTGGGAAATTCATATTTTGTTGATAATACTGGTTAACCATATCTCGGCCTTCATTGATAGTCAATTCGTGTTCACTTTCATCGCCTACTTGACTATTATCAGTACTCATGAATTCCATGCCATCATTTGTATTGTTAACACTATTTCGATCGACTGAATTCATATTGTCTTCAGAGTGTAAAAGCATGTGTTTTACTAATGACTTCTTTGCGTTTACCTAAACGTTTAGACAAATGATAAAAATTAGATTCATTTTGTATTTTGTTTTATTAAATTTACCCAATAAGGACAGTGCGGACATTTGAAAGGACCACTCGATGGCTGATGACGTTTGACGTGGAAATCCATATGAAAAGCTTTCTCGGCTCTAAATGGACACAAATCACAAACAAAGCTTCCTTTGAATCCACTGATGCGTACACTTTGATGAGATTCTTGAAAGGCCTGAACAGCACTGGGAAGATGTGCTGATGATGTACTCACCACTTTAGGTGCAATATTGTCATCAATTATTTTACACATTGTCTTATTAACAGTACATCGGAATCTTTGTTCGACATCTTCAGAAGTGCTCTGATGTTTGGAAACACAATGTCTAACCACCACTTCTCTCCAGTTTGAATCAAATCCACACCGTCGGCATCGATATGGTTTCATACCCGCGTGATTACTCAAATGACTAACCATTACTTTACTCTCTTTATGTTTAAAATCACAATAAGAACATTGAAGAAGTTTTGAATCATCAGAGACTGAGGTATTAGTGTTTGAATTGTAAGGAACATTGGGCTGAAAGGCCGGATTAAAGCCCTGATTGTATTCAACGTTAGTGTTGGCCGCATCCTCTTCGCCCTGAACTTCAAAACAAATGTCTGGTGTAATGACAATACTTTCGGGATCACCACAATTATAAGTGCTATCGTTGTCATCGAAATCCACTTCATTTGTTTGATTGAATTCATTTTCATCGAATTCAATTCCTTCATTTTGCTCCAAACGCGCTCTTTTAGCTCTGAAATCAATTTTAGTATTGTTGTTGCTGTTGGCCATAACCTCCTTCTGGTTGACCCAAACCACATATTTATTATACTTAGAATAGTCTCGTTTTCCCGATTCGTGGACAAGCATTGCTTTTGCACTTTCATGTTTGGTGTCTCTTTGAGATTTCATTTTAATGTGTTTCGTTACATCCCATTCCCAATTAGACCGATGACCACAAACTGAACATTGAAATGGTTTAGTATTGAGATGCTGTACAAAATGCACGTGAAATCGACTGGCAGTACTACATGTGAAGTCACAGTATGAGCACCGATACATTTTAACTTTTCCCGATTTGGTTACTTCGCCCGTTTCATTGCCGTTCATATTATCAGCAGTGTTGGTGCCATCGCCTTCTTCAAAGTCAATCTGTAATTCATTTTCGTTGTCATCTTCAACCATATCAACACTAACCAATTCAGCCGTCGACATGTCATTCATATCATTTTTGTTTTCGGTTTCATCTTCATCGCCATCAGATAAATCATCAAAAACAAGTGGCCGTTCTTCGTAATCATCTGGAAGTGGCTGTTCATCCATTTTGATGTCTTCTAAATCTTCATTATAATCTTCATAGTCCTGTTCTCCGGAAAGAATTGAGGCATCATTTTCATAGTCGATAGTCATTTGTTGTTGAAAGTCAATAGACATAGTACTGTCCGATTCGTTTGGTTGACTTTGTCGGTCCATTGCATTTAAATCAGGTAAAGGTAGCTGACTGTGATATTTCTGGATATGTCGGTTCAGGTCTCCCTTCCACTTGCTTTTGAATGAACAGTAAGGACATGAAAAGGGTCTCTCTTTTGTATGAACTCTCATATGTTTCTCAAGCTCTGATATCCAACGAGTTTGATATCTAATAAAAATAAAAAATTTAAAAAATAATATTAAAACTACCGTTAATAATAAAAATATGTTAAATTAAAAGATCAAATTAGATAATAAATAGTAATAAATATCGTATATTAGATTTATTATGACATCACTTTAAAACTAATTAATTTTAATTATTATAAATTAATTAATTATACAGTAATAATAATAACGTCAAACAAATAGCAATATTGAATGGCAGACTCATACCCGCAGACTTGGCATTGAGTAGAAGACTTGTCTAATGAAGAATGTTTTCTTTTCATTCCCTGTTGTTTGCCTAAGAAGTTGTCAATCATTGGATTACTAGAATTCTGTGAAACTGGTGTTGAAGTGGAGGGCATATTAGACTTATTATTTCGTTTGCGTTTCGGATTCAACTGTTCCAACACATTGACAATACTGTTTGCTTGATTGTTCTCGCGATGCATTTGATTGAGATGTCTTTGAAGCCAAACCAAGTTCTCAAATTTGATTTCACAGAAAGGACACTGAAATTTCTTTTCCGGATGTTGTGTGATCTCATGTTTTTGTAGTTTAGCGAATGAATCCGCTTGAAAATTACAATATTTACATTTCTTAAGAGATCCTGTTTTCAACATTTGCTGATTAAATGAATTCGATGGACGATTTGTCATGTCTGACGAAGAATGTGGACCCTCTTCAAGACTTTGAGTAAATAAATGAGCCAATGATTCGCCATCTCTATCTATATCTCCACTAACACTGTCATTCATAACCTCATTATTTTGAATATTAGGATCCGTTTGGTTTGCATCTAATGCTTGTTGTATTTGTTGTTCATTTGCTTTATCCCTGTGATGCTGAGTCATGTGAACGGTTAAGGCTATAAAAAATGAATAAATATATTAAACTTAAAGAGTATATGAATATTGAAGTATTGTATGAATACCCTGTTTCTTATCGCATGCAAAACTGCATTTCGTGCACTTGAAGAGTCCATTAGAGTAATGACTCTTTACATGTCTGTCCACATTCCAGGAATAGGGACTCTCAAAGTCACACATTTCACACTTGATTTTAGGCGCCGAATGATATTTCATGTGCTTCTTGAAGAGGTACTGAACATTAGTCATATAACCACATGTTTGGCATTTGTGATACTTTTTGGTAAACATTCCCGATTTATCATTCATACGCTTTTGATTTGTTAATTGTCTCTGAAAAGCTAATTTACGTTTCTGTTCATTAGATTTTTGTGACATATATTTCATTTTTGGCAGTCCTTGTCCCGGAACAGGTTGCTTAACTTGGGAAGTGGTCACCATTGCTGGTGTAGTCAAAGTGGGCAATTTAACTCTGATCTTAGGCACAATATTTTGCTGTTGTGGAGGACTCTCTGAGTCGGTATTCAAGACTTCTGGACTTTCGGATTGATTGACAGATTGCGCTTTATTTTGTTGTGAAACTGGTTTTGATTTATTTGATTTGCTAGAAGTTGTTGACAACTCAGGCGGAGGAGTCATTGATGTCTCTAATTTGTGAACCAAAAGTAGATGTCTTTGTAATTTCTGTACGTATTGACACGCGTATACACAATAAGGACACTCAACAATCTTTAGTCTCTGTCCGTGTTCATCGCGGCGGTGGTAAAGAAATTCACGCGGATTTATTGTCCGAAAACCACAGTCATTGCAGGTATACTGACGTCTAATACGAGTAGCCGGCAGGTCATCATTACTTTGAGCACTGGCCGGAATCGGCATCTTTCTGCTTTTTGATGACTTTGGTGTGTTTCCAGTCGAAGATATTTGGCTGTCGGCAATTGAATTCTCGTGTGAAGCGGGCGATTGTTGCCCGGATGAGACGTACCAACTGTTAGTCTCTGATTGATCTCTTGCATTAGTCTGAAGAGCTAAATTCATATAAAAATTTGGTGTGTCGTCCATAAAGCTTTCTTTCCAAAAGTTTTTATCGTCGTCTTCCTCATCATCTTCTTGAGTGTCATTTGGATTGTATACCTCTTCCACATGACTTCTATTGGCTCTCTGTCTGCTTTCATTCAAATCGTAGTTCTGTTCATATTTGGAGGCATATCCGGTAACACCAGAATTGTCTTCACCACCGGCTGAAACCAGTTCTTTAGCAAACTTTACTTGTGCTGACTTTAGTATATCTCTGTGCACTTCCAACTGATGACGAATTAATGTTTCGTTATCTTCAGAAAGAAAGCCACAAAATTTGCAACTTTTATTGCCTTTAAAAAGCAAATAATTAATTAGTTTTTATTACCGGTAAATAATTTTTAGTCTAAAAAACTTTATTTTATAAATACCTTTTGATCCACAGATTCCATGCACTTCTCGACGATGTCTTAAAAGATTTGTCTGATAAGCCTATTTGGAAAATGAATGAAAATAAGTTAATTAAGACAATGGTATGAAATGAATGTTGAGATGAGAGACAAACCGTAACGAAAGGACAGAGAACACACTTTAAGGCGTTCTCCACGTGAGTAACGGCTTTATGTCGGGATAATTGTCGGGCGCTCTGGGCTTCAAAAGAGCATTCACTACAAGGATATGACATCTTAACGGGTGGTGTTCGTGCCATTCCTCTAAATCATGCTATAGATGTTTGACTTAATCAATCAAAATTCAGGTTAAATCAAAATCTTTTTCTGTCCACTCATTTATATATAATATATAAATGAAATCAATTTGTTTTAACCAAATCTGAAACAAAATCACAAAAATGAGATTAAAAACAAAATCAAATAACAATAGACACATACATTGCCATCAATTCTAATCAAATAATGTTTTTGTCACACAATCACAGATCTCGTGCTTTCAAACAAATTATTACTAATTAAATGATAATTTGTATGGTTTTCTAGCAATCAGTCAAAACTCGTGCATCAAATCAATACATTTATCATTAAAATAGATTTTTTGTTTTTAGTATAAAACTAAAGCCAATTAAAGTTGTCGTTAATTAAAATATAGGATTTGATGACAACTAACTAATAGATATGCTATTAAGTGAACACCCATTGCTTGTAATTCATTGATAAACTTTAATGACAATCAATGGCAACGCAATGGTAGGCTTTTTGACCAAACAGTGCTGTCATTAGAGTGATTGAGCTAAGGGTTAGACTAAGAGATAACTGGTATGTCGTCGTCGTCTTAACTGTTAGTCTGCCTATCATTAAGTGCTCTCCACTGACGAGACAAATGCCATACATTGCCATACATTGAGTTGCGCTTCCAGTGCTGCAACTCATCAGCAAAGGAGTCAAAGAGGCCAAACCAAGGACATCATCACCACTAGAGATACAACCATAAAATGGCTTAAAACGGAGTTCATATTTTACAGTCAGTACAGGCAAACAGGTTGTGACCAAACACAACAATAGGCAAACCTATAGACAACTCATTGCTATCTTTGGATCATTGGATCTGAGTCTGTCTTTTCGCGATAAGCACTCAATGCTAACAAATGCTGACTAAACCGATCTCAAGATATCTTTTCACTCTTCACGTTGCATACGCTCCGCGGATTTGGTCGCCAACGATACCGACCAATACTTTTGTTTACCACAAGACTACTCTTATACTTAATATCATTAAATTGATCACAACTTTGGAAAAAATACTAAAAACTAACTTATTATCAAACAATACAACCATTTATTGCATAACAATGTCATAAACGCCTCATATTTTATCCTTTAAATTGTTTTCAATTAGTTTGATATTAAATTTACATTAATTTCATCATTTATTTTCCTATAGACTATTAAATAACTATAACTAATCACTAATAATGACAACGTTTTACATATTAGTTAATTAAAAATATGTTTTCATTAGGTATTACTAAATTGATTAAAAAAATATTTTATAAAATATAGTTTAATTATATATCAATTCAATGCAAGCAAAACATAGTATCATATAAAACATAATTAAGTAATGATTGAATTAAATATAATTAGTTTGATATTCAATACTATATTATATAGACTTCAAGTGTTAGTAATAGTTGTATTCAATCGTAAAGTAAATCAATGTTTGTATAGTTTGTAACATAAATAGCATTAATATTATTGAATACAATATATGGGACAACAATATTGCAACACATGATATGATATAACAATTATAATATAATAATAATAATAATTGTAAAGAGTGTCCAAAAATCAAAGTTTACTTACGGATCAAAGTGTGGATGTGTTGTATTAAATGGCGAATTCAAGACAATGATGGCTTCCGTTCAAGTGTTTGATGCGTTGTAGTGATAGTCCAGTGGTATTGAGTGGTGTGCTCTTCACTGTCTCACTATTGGTAGTAATGGTAGTGACTGTTGTATCACTTGTATGGCTGGTATGGTTGGTATGGCTGTGGTGTGTGTCGTGTCGTGTATGGCATGAGCTCACAGTATGCCATACAATGGCTCAGTTGGCTGTGAGTTAGTACGAGTCTGACTGTGCCTCAGATCACAGCATTGATTGCAATGCCTTTGAAAGACACAGTCATTGCTGTACACAAACACGTCTATCGTCTCTCACTAAAAGACCTTTAGCTTCACTATTGAGGTATATTGAGGAAGGAGGAGGTCCTTAGGCTGTACACCATTGAAGGCACTTCTGACGATATGCTCTCTAACTGATCACTAGTGTATAACAGCAGAAATAGCTATTATCACCACTCACTCGATGACGACTACACCACTATATTGCAGACTTACCAACCAAGAGATTGGGGTCGACAATGGCTTACATCCCATACCATATCATACAACTACTATATATATCAATACATACCACTTACATATCATTGCGATAAACCATCGTTACTAACATTAGGACCACTATTTCATAACTTATCTATAAAATCAAAACTATTATAACTGTTTGACTAAACTTTTTAACCCACTCTCCAATAATTGTCAAAAAAAGTTTATATTTTTTATTGAATCATTAGTTTGGTTGCAATTGTAATTAACCGGTTATTTGATGAATGTTTGACATAAGCACTGGTATTTGGGTGTCAATAATGATATCACATGTGAAATGATAACCTTTTTACTATTATCTTATTATATATGATTCATGTGATGAATATATGACATCAATTGTATGGATATATGACTTATGAATTACTAGTTAGCAATTCCTCACAATTCTTATGTTTATTAGATATATAGATATAAAAGGTTTGTCGTGTTTGGTATCTATGCTATGGCTTATGTGTGCTAAGAAAGTATGGTCTTTGGTAGTGATAGTGTTGGCTGTGCTGCCATTGCAACGGCAAAGTGCAAGGCGTGCACAGTATAGTAGGTCTGTTGTTGACTGAAACGACTGCCAACTCGTCAGTGGTGTGCAGTGTATCAGCTTTTGGGTGACGTCCACAACGACTCCACTCGGAGTGGAAATCATCGATTCCTACATTACTTGTCTCCTATGCCTATCCTGTTTGGCTCTACCTATACATGGCATACATGACTGAGAGTTAGAGAGAGAGAGAGAGAGACAACTCTCCAGAAGAGTACTCAATGGCAAACAAATGGCACAAATGGCAAACATATCTCAATCATAGCCAACATTTCAACCATTGCTAACACATTTGATAACACATTGGTTTCAATGAATCGCTTGCTTTTCAGCTCAACTCTCATTACTTCCCATGAATTTTACCAATACTTTCAATACTAATGCATTAACTGTATATTTGTAAATATTTCTCAATAAAATTCAATCTTTATTATACTACCTGTTCTCAATATTACTGGTCTCAGCTTATAATGTATTGCATACACTAAATATCATATAACTTATAATTTAATAATACATACATTATATACAGTATATATCATAAACTATCTTATTATATCTATAGTTGATATTGTTTTGTATGTCATTATTTTTACGCTGAATTTATTCAATTTATTTACATTATTTTATTATATCATTAATGTTATCATCGATTTACACTCAATTAGCCAATTGTATAAAACTATTGTTTGATATTTTATGCCAATTACTAGAAATACATATATGGACCATAGTTTATGGCCACCATATAATATGGTTAGTCTTAGAGTTACTGAATAACCTCATTATTTTCCCCATTTTTAAATTACAATTAATAAAAAATAATTTAAAAATTAAATTCACAGACAAATTATAAGATATAGTTTAATTGTTAACTCTTTAGAGGAAATACAGTATTTCTATTTAATAAATTTCACACTTAAATTATTTATGTAATAATAAATTTTATTCAATGAAAATATAATAAAACTTTAATTTTATGCTATAATTTTTATATAATGTGTTGAAAATTATTACTTAATATTTTTAGCCTAAAAATGATTATAGAATTTTCAGGTATTTTTTCAGGTATTCATTTGAAAATAATAGGAATAATGCTTTTATTGGTAACACTTTGGTTTGTATAAGACATTTGGTGACATCAATGAGTATTTATTGATCGACGACACGCTTTTGATATATGAGATACCAAACAGATAATCAATATATCATTGAATCACTAAGTCTTACACTTTTGATTTGTTGTAACATTTTTTTATTACTTAGTTTATAGATATTTAATTGAAGTCAATAAAAAATATATTGATTTGTGAAAATTGCAAAATATTTATTTATCAATATTTTTGACATATAAATATAATATCAATATTATAATTTATAGATATTTATAAAATATAAATTATATATATTTTTTAATCAATTTTGTAATCAGTCTCGACTGATATCACTAAACATGTGATAATCAAATTGAAAGTTATAATAATAGAAAATCTCATGCAAACAATTTACACATTCATATAATAATACATTATATTTATATACAGTATATATAAGTTTAAAAACTTGAATTTGAGTTTATTTTTTAATTGATTAGTCGATTATAAAGTTATCCTAACTTTTTAAAGCCGACAATCAAATTGTGCGCCAAATTATCGCAAAAAATACGGTATAATATTAAATATAATTAAAAAGTAAATGTTTGGTCAATAGGTGTCATTAGTACTGCATTTGGCAGACATTATGCACTTTAAAAGCACTATTCAATTGAATACATGTTTTGTGAGAAACATTGAATGCATTATTGAATCAATGAATGAATGAATGACTCAATTGATTGAAACATTGATTGCGTTATAATTTAAGTGAAAGTGTTGTCTCATTTAGGTCTGTATTGAAAGTGTCCACTCATTTCAATTGATTTTGTTATCAAATTAATTGATTATTATCACCGAAACCACTGATGGCTGACAACAAATTATACGACTTATTAGGCGTCAGTAAGAGTGCATCGGTTAATGAGATTAAAAAGGTTACCATTGATTGCATTGATTGCATTGATTGTACAGAAATTAGCGAATAATAACTGATTTTTGTTTGTTTGTATAGCAATACCGAAAACTGGCCAAAACATATCATCCCGACAAAAATCAAGATCAAAATGAAGCCGAAAAGGTATGACCAGGAAATAGTTGGTATGCTTTTTGTTACACACATTGATATTGTCTTTTGTCAAAATCAGTTCAAAGAGATTTCATACGCTTATGAGGTATTATCCGATCAGAAGAAGAGAGAGATCTACGATCGATACGGTTTAAAGGGTCTTCAGGAGGGAGGCGGCAGTGATTTTGGTGCCGAAGATCTTTTATCACAAATGTTTGGCGGAGGCGGAGGCGGCGGACTGTTTGGTGGTTTGGGGGGATTTCCTGGTTTCTCAGGAATGGGTAATTAAATGACAAAATTGATTTTTTTTCAAAAGTATAACTGATGTATACTGTTATTAGGCGGTCGTCGACGTCAACGACGTGGTGAAGATACAGTACATCCATTGAAAGTAACGCTCGAAGATCTTTATAACGGAAAGGTTTCAAAACTTCAATTAAGTCGTAACGTTCTCTGCAAAGCTTGTAATGGGTATGTCTTGTGTTGTATTGTATGTTATGTATAGAAATAAATGTTATTTTTTTAATGATTGAATAGAGTCGGAGGCAAACCTGGATCTCGAGTTCCCTGTGCCGGGTGTAAGGGTCAGGGCATGAAAGTACATTTACGACAATTAGGACCCGGAATGCTTCAACAAATACAGCGACCGTGTGATGATTGTGGTGCTCAGGGAGAGGTTATCAATGAGAAAGACCGGTGCCGTACCTGTAGTGGCAAACGAGTTACTAATGAGACAAAGATTTTGGAAGTAAATGTTGATAAAGGTATGCAAAACGAACAGAAGATTACGTTTAGAGGAGAAGGCGATCAACAACCAGATGTAGAGACCGGAGATGTGATTATTATACTTCAGCAGAAACCAAACGACAAGTTTCAACGCAATGGAAATGATCTATTTCTTCCGCTAACCATCTCTTTGACCGAAGCCTTGTGTGGATTTGTTTATGTCTTAAAGCATTTAGACGGAAGAAATATTATTATCCGAAGCAAACCCGGAGAAGTGTTAATACCCGGATCTGTAAAAGGCATTCGTGGCGAAGGAATGCCTATCTATCGGAACCCATTTGAAAAGGGAAATCTTTATATTAAATTCAATATAGAGTTTCCGAAAAATCATTTTATAGATGAAGACAAACTTAAAGAATTTGAAAAAATTGTTCCGCAAAGGAATGAACCGATGGATATTGACTTAAATGATGAACACACTGAAGAGGTCGACCTTCACGACTACGACCCATCCAATGAACGAAGTAATGGTAGCGCAGGTAGAGGTGAAGCATACGATAGCGATGATGAAGACGGACGCGGAGGTCAGGGTGGCATCAAATGTGCCACTCATTAGTTGTGAAGTAGAAGTGAATTGGTTTTTCAATATTATTATAATTAGTATTTAGTTTTAATTTAAAATAATTTTGTTTTTAAAAAATATAAATTTATATATATATTATATATCTTTATAACAGAATTAATAATAAATATTTTACACACAATTAAACAGTTTTTGAATGAAAAGCATTCCTCATATTAGACTTTATCAAAACATTTCTATAGTATTTCTATTTAAACTTTGTATACAATTAATGTTTACTGTAATTACATGAAAGTTAAGCATTTTATGTTACATTTTATAAAAATATTCAGTAACAATTTTATGTATATTTCATTTCATTTTAACTATTTTTTCCAAATTAATATTAAAATTAAATTTATTATTTAATAATTAATAAAAAATAATTACGTTTTTATTTTAAGTTTCTAATTAATATTGATATGTAAATGAGTAAAATAAAATTTTATTATGATCATTAATAACTACTAGTACTACAGTACAATAATACTATTTCTAAGTTTATAAAATAATTGAACAAAACTGTATTTTAATTAATTTTATTAAATATTTTCAATGTTTCTAATAATTATTATTGTATGAATACTGTATAATAAGACAGTTGTTAAAAGAAATACTGATATTTAATTTTTTTAAGTTTATATAAATTATTTCCAATTTATAGATATAATATTAATTATCTCAAGTGTCTGTAAATTGATCATAATGTTTAATTTTTATAATTTTTTCATTATAATAATAATTTCAAATATTATTGTATAATATTCTTATTATTATTTTTTGTATTGTTAATTATATTTGATAAATAATTTTGGATTTAAAAAACAATAATGAGTATTATGTTATACAGTATTTTCATTTAGAAAAGCAAATTATTTTTGCTAATTATTAAATTATATAAATCAATGATATATAATATCTATTAATATTTATACAACTGATAAATAAAATAAACAATGGAAACGGTCATTTCAATAAAATGACAATAATAATTATTGTAAAATATACAACAGTATAATTATTAATCTAATGTTAATTGTATATTGTATTTAATTTTGAAGTAAATGAGCAGTTATTATAAATATTATTAATGATAACATTATAATAAAAACACAATAAATAAATAATATAATAAAGATAACTATAATACCGCAATAATCACTATTACTGGATATTAATTACTGTAATCATGTATTGGTATTAAATACAATAAAAAATTTCGATGGTTTCAAAAGTTGCTTCACATTGTACTGTACTGTACTTAACATTTGTTAAATCATTACAAAATTGCAATTTTAAAAATAATTTATTAACTAATTACTAAACTAGTTACATGTAATTATAATTAATATTATTTTTAATATAACAAAAACAACATTAATATAATATTTATTAAAACAATGTATAGATTTTAAGTGATGTACAGAATAACAGAATTTGAAACTTATTATTCAATATAATGTTTGAAATGTAAAGTCAAGTCACTAGCGATTGGCTGTCAGTTATGTATTCATATGTGTTGTATTGTACTTATCATTCAATAATTTCTAATCTAAACCTCAATATCAACAATATATCAACACTTGAACTAAATGTCACTTCTTTGCCATAATTCATATCATTTATTGAGTTGTCTTTTGAAAAGATCGTCAGTTTATTAGTGCTTTTAAAATAATTTTATTGTTTTAATAATTAACCAAAAAATGGCTCAACAAGAGTAAGCATTTATTTATTAATACTGTATAACATTTTAAAAAACTTATGAACAAATTTAATCAAAATAATTATTAATTAATTTAATTTTTATTGAATTAAAATATGATTTTATAAATTATATATATTAATTGTATATTAGGAAAGGTGTCTTTCAAATGGGTTGTCATACTCTAAGTATTGATTCATCTCTCCATCGTCTCAATCGTCAGCGACTCGTCAACCGATTGAAACCAAAAAACTTGGGATCAAATGTGTTGATTGTATTACAGGGAGGAGAGACTAAAAATATGTATTGTACTGATATAGAGGTAATGTGCTATCAATTAGTTGTTAGTTTGTTATTGAAGCCAATATTAAACCAGTTTATTGTCTTATAGCCCATCTTTCGTCAGGAGTCATACTTTCACTGGACATTTGGTGTCCGCGAACCTGACTTTTACGGTGCTATTGATGTCAATACTGGTCGCTCTTATTTGTTTACACCTAAGCTTCCCGAATCGTATGCCATTTGGATGGGAAAACTATTGACTCTTCAAGAGATCCGCGATATTTATGGTGTGGATGAAGTGCATTATGTATCAGATGTATGATCTGTTTTTTCCAAACTTAATATACAAATATAATCTAATTATAATTATTTATATCTTTTTAAAAATAGATTGCAAATGTGATTACAGGTCTCAAACCTGAACTTCTATTGACACTCGAAGGACTAAATAGTGATTCGGGATTAACGACTAGAGAAGCAGTTTTTGATGGAATCGGAAAATTCAAAGTCAATAATAAAATTCTTTACAATGAGATCACTGAATGTCGTCTTATTAAGACAAGCGCTGAACTGCAAGTTCTTAGATATACTAATCGTATCAGTAGTGAGGCTCACAAAGAGGTTATGAAAAATATCAGATCCGGAATGACTGAATACCAATTGGAGTCTATATTTAAACACTATTCATATTATAACGGCGGTGCACGTCATATGTCTTATACATGTATATGCGGTTCGGGCGATAATGGAGCGACCCTTCATTATGGACACGCCGGTGCTCCCAATGATAAGGTTATCAATGACGGTGATATGTGTCTCTTTGATATGGGATGTGAATACTATTGTTATTCATCGGACATTACCTGTTCGTTTCCCGCTAACGGAAAGTTTACTTCCGATCAAAAGATTATTTACGAAGCAGTTCTGAAAGCTAACAGAGCTGTTATGGCAGCAGTAAAACCTGGAATTTCGTGGCGTGACATGCATTTGCTTGCAGAACAAACTCAACTACAAGAACTTATTAGACACGGATTACTAAAGGGTGACATCAATGATATGATGTCCGCTCGTTTGGGTTATATATTTATGCCACACGGATTGGGACATCTTATGGGAATTGATGTACATGACGTCGGTGGCTATCTAGAGGATTGTCCTCAACGTCCTAAAGAACAGGGTCTCAGCAGTTTAAGAACTTGTAGGACTCTAGAAGAAGGTATGGTATTAACTATAGAACCGGGAATTTATTTCATTGAAGCACAGCTTAAGAGAGCTAAAGATGATTCAAATCTGTCAAAGTTTATTGTGTGGGATGTTATCAATAGATTCAGAAATTTTGGTGGAGTAAGTCATTTAAATAATGGTTTAATTTGATTAACTTTACTTTAACCACAACTTTAATGAATTTAGGTGCGAATTGAAGATGATATTGTGATTACAAGCACTGGTATGGAGTTATTGACTGACGTTCCCCGAACTGTCGATGAAATCGAGGCATTGATGGCTGAGGGACGCAAACTTGATGTCAAGTTTCCTCAACAAAAAATGTTAAAATAAATCTTTTACGTTAATTATAATAAGCGACTCTATAATACATTTGTGATTTAAATATTTTATTATAATTCTCAATAATTTAAAGCAATATTTTTTAACTATAAATAATTATAAATTTATGCTAAATTTTGTAATTTTTTAATAATTAATGCTAATTATGTACTTTTTATTACTTGTACAATCATTTATTAAATTACTAAATTAATAAATACACAAGATTTTAATGAAATATATGTAAATGGATTTAATATTTTATCAATAATTACATTTTGTAAGAATAAATAATTTTTAACAATAAATGACAAATAATTTGCTAATTAAAGTCATTAAAAAGATATGGAAGAAGAATAAATATAAGCAATGATAACAATGACTATCTTAATAATAAACTTAATTTTATTGCCAATTATATCATAACATTTACATTTTATTTTTGTATAACAATAACAATATAACAAAAATTATCATTTTTCCATTAATTAGTAGTAAAGTATTTCTCTTCTGAAGTTTAATTTCAATAATATGACAACACTTCAGCTAAATGTAATTTTTTTGCTATAATTCGTATCTTTTATTTAGTTATATTTGAAAAATAATAGTTATTTTACTACTGTTTTTAAAATAATAAATAATTCAATATATTGGCTAAAATATGGCTCAACAGAAGTAAAAATATTTATTATTAAATATTAAAAAACTTAATTTAAAATAAATGATTAGAATTTATATTGAAAATTTCAATTTGAAATCAATAATATTTAATTTATTTGATAATATTATGTATATTAGGAAAGGTGTCTTTCAAATGGGTTGTCATACACTAAGTATTGATTCATCTCTCCATCGTCTCAATCGTCAGCGACTCGTCGACCGATTGAAAAAAAACTTGGGATCAAATGTATTGATTGTATTACAGGGAGGAGAGACTAAAAATATGTATTGTACTGATATAGAGGTAATGTACTATAAATTAATTGTTTTGTTGTTATATTAAATAACTTTTTGTTTTATAGCCCCTCTTTCGTCAGGAGTCATACTTTCACTGGACATTTGGTGTCCGCGAACCTGACTTTTACAGTGCTATTGATGTCAATACTGGTCGCTCTTATTTGTTTACACCTAATCTTCCCGAATCGTATGCCATTTGAATGGGAAATCTATTGACTCTTCAAGAGATTCGTGATATTTATGGTGTGGATGAAGTGCATTATGTATCAAATGTATGGTTTTTTGCAAACTTAATATACAAATATAATCTAATTATAATTATTTATATGATTTAAAAAATAGATGAAAATAATGTTAAAATAAATCTTTTACGTTAATTATAATTAGCGACTCTACAGAATTTTAGAAAATCAAATACTTTATTACTATTTTCATTAGTTAAAGAGAAATATTTTTTAGCTATAAATAATTATATAATTATAATAGATTTTGTTATTTTTGAATAATTAATGATAAATATATTTTTTTTAATTTGTACAATCATTTAATATAAAATACCTGAATAAATAGGCAGTATATTAATATAAAATGTGTAAATATAATTAAATTGATATATTGTACATAAATTGTATTTAATAAGTATTTAAGCAATTAATAAATAATCACGTTATTTAACAACAAATAATTTTAAATATTATAATAGATGTGATATCAATTTGCTAATCAAACAAAATGACAAAAAGTAAGACAAAAGACATGGAAGGAGCAAATATAAGCAATAATAACGATACATATCGTAATAGACTTGATTTTGTTGCCAACTATATCATAACATTTACATTTAATATTGGTATAAAAATTATCTAATGTTTTTATAATGTTTATATCATATAACAAAAATTATTATAATTTTTTATATTAACTTATATCTCTATTAATTAGCGGTCAAGTATTTAATTATAGGAATAGTCGCCAAAATTCTGTTCAGTCAAAGAGATTATGTTTTCATATTTGCATTCATATGTATTCCTCATTTAATAGTAAAATCTATTTCATACTTCAATCCAATAGAAAACAAATCACTAAGTTTTTTGATTAAAGGAGTACTAAATATTATTTTTATTGTGGCAGCAATTATCTTATATTTCATATATAGACTATTGAGTAAGCATTATCTAAAAGAGATAAAAAAAAATAATAAATAAATAAATAATTTCCAAACTATTAGCATGGTAATTTTTTGCAAATAATTTTTTTTAAATAGTGACAAACGATAAATTCATTGAAGACGTTATATTTCAAACCAGTCTATTCTTGTTTGTCATTATATCCACAATACTAGTAATTATTTATGTCTTAATCATTAAAAGTGTTCAGCAAAACGACTCTCTGGCAAACAAACAAAACAAGTCTAACAATGAAAAGTCAAATCCTAAGAAAACATGTCAGAGAAATGGTTAGAAATATATATATATATATATATACAGTACACATGTATGTATACATATAAGACATAAAATCATCATTATATGTAATGTCCAATCAAATGACAATAATATATCTTACATTAAAATGCATGTCATTTATATACAATATTTAGAAAAAACACATTTAATATTTAAAATTTTAGTAAATATTATTATTTACAACATTTTTCCTAATTATTAATAGGAATATTTTTATTATTAAAATGATTTATATATTTTTTTTATCTATATTTATCTATTTTTATTATATATTTTTTCAACAAATTAATAATTTATTGTATAGACTATTACATTACTCTCTACAGTAAAGTTGTTTATATTTTTTTAGCACACATTTTTACGTAAGAGTAAAAACAAGTGTTTATTGAGATAATTATTTTTATACTTGTTTTGTATTTATGTAAATTTTTAATAAATAATATTTTTATTGACTTACAAAATGTTTATTAAATATCATTTTTATTCAAAAAAAAAAATTAAAATTGTTTTTTCAAAAAATTACAAATAACTTATAATAATTAAGTGTTTAAAGTAAGTTATGTATATATTTAATTTATCATAACATTTAAATTCAAAATAATTCATTTAAAAATTAATTAATCCTAAGATAGTACTATATATTTATATATTGTATATATCAATAGTAATATGAAATAGTAGAAGATTTGTACATTTATTATATGTGAACACATCATTTAAAAATTATTAATTAGTTCATATATTTTTGCGTTTACCATATATTTTAAATAGTTTCTGATAATGAATTGCTGTTTATATAAATATACGATTGTATATATGGTATATAATGAAAAATAAACAACAAATTTGTGGTTAAAAAGATATACAAAGAAACAAAAGGACACAAATAGTGGTGTGAAGACAAAAATGATTCATTAAATGATAACTCATGTATATATCGATGAAATAAATATAATTTAAATAATAGTAGTAATAATAGTAATAATAATAACAGTTAAGCGTTCAATAGATTGAAACGGTTTTCATTTTGATCCAAGTCTTCATCACTCAGATCTTCGCCATAAAAATTATGAGCGTTTTTATTGTTGGCCAACGATTCGCGGCTCTTGTATTGGATCCGTTTAACCGCTTCTTTAATAAGAGATCCCTCTTTTAACAAATTCATGAGTTCATAGGTTTCACTCATAGCACCCAAAGATGACGACCTCTTAAGGCCGGCCTTTGCATTGGTGTCCACTAAATACTTGCATTTATAACAATAACAACTGTTGTTTGACTGAGACCTAAGTGTCGATGAATTGTGTGTCTGGTATGGACTCAGACGAGATAAACGACACAAACGATGATTAGTCTTAAGGCACAACTTATTGGTCAGCGTTGAGACCAAATCGTCGACAACCGACTCATTCAATGCCGACTTATAACTATTATCTTCGCCACCGATCGACTCATTGTCTGATTTGTGGTCAATGTTTGTTTTATTAAACCATTGGTTGGGCATACGTTTGACGGGCATATCAATCAATATTAACTATTATTAATCAATTATAATGTAATTAATTCACTTTATATTAAACAAAACTTAATGACAAATAAGTGGCGAAAACAACAAAAATTCAATAAATAACTTATTTTGTTGTTATTATTATTATTAATAAATAAAATCAATTATAACTTGTTTTTCAATGAGTTGTTTACAAAACACAACCAAAAAATCGTTGACTCAATCAATGACTTAATTAATGTATTAATTAATTAATGAAACAATGAGTCAATTATTACAATAATATCACTGACTATATGACCATAAATTGATCCCAAAGTGACAATCAATTATTGGACACAATAACCGATAGCCGCAGTCATTGAATGGCAAACAACACACTGTGAGGTATACGTCGACACAAATCAATGAAAAAAAACTAAACCAAAACAATAGGTGTTTGTGTTGTTTGTGTTTGACTTACTGTTACACACACTGTGTGTTACACACTGTTTATACACAACACTACTATAGTCTATACTATAGACTCTATACTGTAGTAGAGGTTAAACAATAACACAAAACACATAACATATACAACATATACACTGACAACACATACACTTTGTTTATGTTATGGTCTTATCATTGATTCATAGATTACGACATTGTTTTGATGAATACATTGTACTGTTTATAGCATTAGGGGATCAAAAACACGTCAAACGTTTTTAATGTATTTTCAATTGTATTTATAGAGCAAAGCAGTGATCAAAACATTGAGGTTTTGTTATGTTTTGAGTCTAAAAACAGGTCTTTAGTTATACAGTACTAAACTATAGTATAGTACAGGAGTTAGACTTTAAGGCATTTAAAAGTGCAAACGTTTGCAAACAATTCAAAATTATATGCAAAAAGCAGTCATTGAATACATTGAATGCATTGATTAGTACATCAATTCATTGAAACCAATGTTTGTTTGTTTGTATTGCTTTCCACAAGTTATGCCAAACAAGTAATAGTTTGATTGTGTAATCGCTTTAATATTTATGATAAGTTTATTATTGTTTTTATTATTTTTTATTTTATCACTGTTTGTGTATATTTAATATATCATAATAAATAAATAACACATGTATTATTTTTAAGCAAACATAATAATTTGTTTCACACAATCAAGGCAATCAATTATTATACTGTATATGATATAGTGTATAGCAATTACATGTTAATTATTATTATTTTTTAATACAACTAATTGTTTAGTTTAAACTTTATAAAATTTTTAGCTTAATTTAGATTATATACGCGGGCTATTATTTTAATTTTATTTTCAAAATTGATTTTTAATAATAGCAATTAAAATTATTTATAAAAAATCAATGATAGTTTTAATTTGAAAACTTGTCTGTTTTTTAGTTAATGTTAATTATAATTATAATTATTTTTATTATTAGATATTGCCTATTATCTGACAAATTTACGCTATATGTGACCTTCAATATTAAATAAATATTAATTAAAAGTATAAACATGTACAAATATGTTATATCATTTTCATATTTTATATATAAATTTATATTTTTAGTAAACTATATAATTTATACATGTATCATTTTTCTAATATTCTGTATATATTTATTATTTGCAAAAACATATTTTTACAGATTGATATTATTACTATTACTACATTTATCTATCTATAAATTTATATGTTTATTGATATTTTATAAGCTTAATAAATAATAATTTTTTTGTTTACAAGAAATTTATTTTCTACATTGATATTTATAACCATAAAAGCAAAATTATTTTTTTATATTAAATATATATATTTTATTTCTAATTTTATATATTTAAAGACATTTTATATATAAGCTAATTTTAGACAAATGTATTTTTTCTTAAAAATACATTAAGTTTTATTGCATTAAAAATTTATATAAAATATACACTATTATTAATATATTGACAAAGGCGTACAATCTATTTTATTGTATTTAATTATAATGTTTTTACAATTTTATTAATAAAAAACAAAATTCAATGTAATTCTGATTTTATACTAAAAATTATTATTTTCTGAAACTATATATAATATTATACAATAAAGTATAGTATTATCAGGATTTACGTCAATTGTCGCCCAATTATAGCGGCAATACATTTGGTAAATATAATTTAATTATTTACTAAATGCAATATTAATACTTTACTAAAATAATAATCATTATATAAGAAAATGTCATAATATTTTTGAAATTTTATTTTTGAAATATATTATCAAATGTTTTGCTTTAAAGACATGTTAAGAATCTCAAGAATTTGTTTTATTTATATTTATTTTTTTACAATTAAGCGATCTTTGAAAAAATAAATAAAACACTTTTCAAAATTTTGTTTTTTATGTTTTTGAATTAAATTAATAATTATTGTTTTCAACAGTTTTCTAGTAGTAAATGCCGTTAAACACTGTATTATAATTATTCACTCAATTAAGTCACTATTATTATTATTATTATTATTATTTTATTACTTAATTTATAATACTGTAGTAAAACATACTGTTTGTATTAAATCAAGGTTAAGCAATGTTTTGGATTTTAGCGGGGGTTTAGGAGGGGGTTAACTTACAAAATTCTCAACAAATAATCTTGGGGAGAGTCTAGGGTGAGGGTAGATTTTTATTTCATTTTTAAACAACAATTTTTTCAAAAATCAAAATTAAGAGTAAAGAGAAAAATTATTAATAAAAACTTTATTATAAACAGTATATATTGTTTTAATAATTTTATTTATGTAAAAATTCTATTTAAATTGTAATATGATTACTGTCTTTTCAACAAATAGTTAATTTTTAATTTTTTAGTTAAATAATTTAATTAAAATAATGTTATATTTAGATTAATTTTAACGTAATGTTATTTATTTTTAATCAATAATTACATTCATATAAGTTATCACACAACATAATAACATTTAATAAAACATTATCAATTAAAATTTTTATAATTTGAAAAAATTATCGCTTAAAAACTAGGGGGGTCATTTCTCAATTGTTCAAAATTTTTTCAATTTGGTCAAAAAAGTCAGGGGGGGCTAATCACAAAATCACGTTTTTAGAGGGGTCATTTGGTTTGACCCTCCCCCTACCCCCTTAATTAACTCTGGGATTAAATATATACATTTGTATATATTATTTAATTTTGAAGCAATGAAGCAAAAACTATCTATTTATTGAAATAAATAAAATAATTTTATTTATTTATATTTTATATAAAATATTAAAATAGTCTATAAGTCTAGCGATACATATTGTATATTATATTTATATACAATATATATATTGATATTTTTGTGAATACAATGAGTGAATCAATTGGTTAAGCAATGAATGAATGAATGAATGCATGAATTTTGAAACAGAGATATTATGAGTGTATATAAAGAGATGTTATGTTATGTTATGTTATGTCTAATGCATTGAGTGTTGTGTTAGTAGTGTTTGACAGCAGAAGACCTTCACATGAAATGACAAACGCGTCTCTCATCTAATCATTGGATCTTATGATACATTTTTGATACATTAAAGATATTTAAGTCATTTTTTTGACCAAACAATGCCAGCAATTGATAATACGTTTGATGATAATTGCTATGAAAGTAATAATAATAACAATAACAATATGAATGACTGCAGCAAAATGTCTTCATCCGAACCAAAGGTTATGACAATTCTTCATTTCAACGATTGCTATAACGTTGAGCCGCGAAATGAAGAGCCATCAGGAGGTGCGGCCCGAATGGTCACTGCGTTCAACACTTTCAAAGATCTCAATCCATTGGTTCTGTTCAGTGGAGACATAATCGCGCCATCGATTAGTAAGTGTTTATCACTTTTGAAGATCTTTTAATGATAGCTAAAAAACAAATTTTTGTAACCAAATAGTGAGCACTTTTGCCAAAGGAGAGCAAATGATTCCCGTTGTTAAAGCATTAGACATCGATTGTGCCATTTATGGCAATCACGAGTTTGGTATGCATTTTAACCATTCATTTGACTTTTAATGGAAAATAACTGTTATTTTTTCTGTACAGACTTTGGTGTCGATAATCTCTTATCATTTGTAAAACAGACATCATTTCCATGGCTTATGAGTAATGTCTTCGATAATGAAACTAACCGCCCATTAGGTGACGGCAAGATTTGGCACATTATCGACAAATCTGACATAAAAGTAATTATTTAAATTTATTTTATTTTTTTTTAATAATTTCAATAAATCTTTATATAATTGTATATAATATTAATTATTTTAATTTTAAACAATTTATCAAAGTTTGGAATAATTGGTTTGATTGAAGAGGAATGGTTGGCAACATTGGCCACACTTGCTCTCGAAGATGTTACTTATATTGATTTTGTTACAGAGGGCAGGAAATTGGCTAAACTTCTTAAAGAAAAAGTTAGAAAAATTGTCTTTATTTTGATATTTTTTATCTTTAATTTTGACGATATTTAAAATTTAAATAATAATAATTTATAGGAAAACGTAGATTTTGTGATCGCTTTAACTCACATGCGTTTCCCAAATGACTGTCGACTCGCTGAAAATGTTGACGAAATTGATCTAATTCTTGGTGGACACGATCACGACTATGAGGTTAAATTAGTTAATGGAAAGTATATTATCAAAAGTGGCACTGATTTTAGGCAATTTAGTCGAATTGATATCACATTCAAAGGACAATCTTTTGACATATCGATCAAAGAAATTAATGTTAATTCATATGATTTTGAAGAAGAAAAGTCATTGAAAGCAGAATTAGAAAAGTATTCGGATATAATTGAAGGCAAAATGGACTCTGTTTTGGGTCACATTAGCTGTGATTTGGACGGAAGGTTTGCATCGATCCGAACTAAAGAAACCAATTTAGGCAATTTAGTGGCAGATATTATGCTGGCGTCAACTCATTCAGATCTGGCTATTCTTAACTCTGGAACTCTTAGAAGTGATCAAATTCATAGCAAAGGACCATTTCTACTAAGAGATTTAGTCACAATTATGCCAATGATGGACCCGTTAATTGTATTAAATGCAACGGGACATCAAATATGGAAAGCATTAGAGAATGGTGTGTCTCAATGGCCCAGACTTGAGGGTCGTTTCCCACAAGTGGCTGGAATTAAGTTTGCTTTCAATCCATCCAAACCTCCTGGAAGTCGTATTAATGCCAAATATATGAAGATTGGCGATGAATATCTAGATTTAAATCAAAAGTATAGACTCGTTACTAAAGGATATTTGGCTCAAGGAAAAGATGGCTACGATATCCTCAAAGAATGTCAAGTATTACAGAAGGAAGACGAGTGTCCAGAAATGGTCACATCTGTACAAAATCATTTCGAATCAATCAAAATATTGACGGGAAATACACGTAAAACCAATCACAGACAGAGTCTGGTTTGCCTCTCTCGACGCACATCTGTTGTCAAAATGCATGACATCGGAAGTCTTGACTTAAACTCAATGACACAGAGCTTTCACGAGACACGACATGACAACACCCAACTCAGGGGTCAACTTAAAAAAGTGATGAGTTTGGATGGCAGAAGATCTACTCTTACTCGATGTCCATCTTTTGAGAACATTGAGTACGAGTACTGCAAACTTGAACCCAAAGTCGAGGGACGGATCATCATATTGACCGAAGAGGTAAACTAAGAATCCCTAATATTATCTCAAAAATATTGTGATATCACTGCCTTTTCCCACAAATTGTGTTATTATTATTATTATTGTTTTAATTTCAATATTGTTTTTAATTACCCGATTGCAATTATATTTATAAAAAATTGTTTTAGCTTTTTAATATTAATTTAGATCTGGTTTTAATATGTTATTTGTTATAATTTTCACAATATATATATATATATATATACTGTTTTGTTTTATTTTTTAAATATTATTTGTTATAGATTATAATTATTGATGATTGAAATCACTATTTTACTCTTAATTTTGTATGCAATAATCAATATTATTATTTTAATTTGAAAGCATTAATTTTTTGTTGTTGTTGTGGATATATTTGGAAATTATGCACACATTTAAGTTAAATTTTTATCAATTGCAAGTCACACCTGATTTGATATTCATGTTTTGTAACTATAATTAAGTTAAATGCCTTATAAACTGACAAAACATACAGATTTTGCAACGACTCGAAAAAGAGAAACAGGAATTCATTAGTTCTAACATATTAGAGGATCCCATTCCTGAAGAGGACAATGAAGTCGAAGAGTCTGCTTGTGATTAGAGATAACCATTTCATTCTTAATCATTAAACAAATATTATTAATACTTATTCCACTTAATTATCGGTAGTTAAGAAAAGTGACAAAATTAAAGATTTCATTAAGTTTTGAAAGTTTAAGTCAAAATAAGTCCTAAAAGTCAATTAGGCTAATAAATTAAAGTAAATCTTATGATACCATTTGATATAAAAAATTATTTGATAAAAAAAAGTTATATAGTAGTCAAAAATAATGTACAAATTATCGATAATATTTTGTACTTTATTCTACGGATATATTTTAAAAAATGATACTAAATATTAACAAAATTTAATAAACAAAATGTATTGTATGTATCAAAACCTAAAAAAGCAATAAAAGGTTGTTTAGGTCTCAATTGAAAATCCGACCAAAAATATTAAAGTCGATGGAAATGAATATTATTTCCACAATAATTGTGATCATAAATATAACCTAAACTTAGAAATAACTTTTTTCGATATAAAAAATAGCTTTTATCCACAATTTTAAAGACAATGAAACAAATATTTAAATATAAATGTTTGATTTAATCTAAAACTTTAAAGTAATATATACACCGAAAGTTATATTAACAAACAAACAAAAAGCTCAGCAAATTATAAATTTATTTTGATTGATATGAAATAAATATTAATAATAAATAGTAATTTTTAATTTTTTTGTGCCAATCATTTGAAAGTCTCATATTTCTAGTCAATTCATTGTATTGTTTAAAAACAGTTCAAATAAAACAAAAAAAATATTTTAACAAAATATCTAAATAAAAATCTTAAAAATAATGTCAAACACTATATCATTATAGAAATTGTTATTTTATGATTGAATCTAATTTTAATAAATATTATCAAAACAAATATAATGTGTATATATAATAGTTATTTACAAAAATTATAATTAATTAAAACAATTGACTAAAACGTCTAAAATAGTGGCTAAACGTCAGCCTTTTGAGAGAGCGTAAGAGGAATGGACTTGAGTTCAGTCTTTAGACACAAATACTCACCACAAACACAGGTAATTGTGACACACATGATGTTGAGGACCCACCACCACATCGACGACGGGAAGTGACCATTAAATGTCCAGCAAATGAGTAAATGAATTAAATGAGTGGTAACTGAAAAATCGAGACACGGTTTGGCCCTCTGAACCAAATGCCATAACACCAGAGCACTGATACATCAAGAAATAAAGACATACACTTAGACCAACACTTTGTTGTCCGACATTTGTGTCCAACACTTACCCGAACAGCGCGTTCACTAAATACGATAATATTATGAGTCTTCCGTGTCCTGACTTGAAGGTCAGTTCCTGTCAACCATTTGTCAAATTAATTATCATTAAAATCAGTTGAATTAATGGACACAGTCTTAGACAGACCTGATAGTTGAAGATATGGCTCAGTTGTGGTGAGTGTCCCGTAAGACAATCGCTAACGTATATCAAGACTCCCAAAGAAGTGTAAAACAATGACTGAATTGTAATGATTTGCGATATAATGAGCTGCGGATCCCATTGTGTGTACCGAAAGTGACCACTCATTGCTGGCCAATCAATTGATCCAATTTAATGTATAATAATGTAGTGACAGATAAATCAATGATTACAAGAAGTGATTTAAACATTTCTCAGACATAAACACATCTCGTGTGACGTCATATCAAATGACTCATACCATTCATGTCTTGAGTTATCAATCAAAAAGTCTTCATTTTCTGCAGTTATTGTTAATTTGAAATATTTATGAGTAGATCACCAATAGATTGGATCAAACAAAGAGTGGATAATTGATGACAAAACAAATCTAATAACTATTTATTAAAAATTATTGAAATTCTTAGCGAAGAAGTGGTAAATTTAAGACGTAATGTATGTCTTGTGTTGAGTTAAGTCATACAATAGATGTCGTGTTTGTAAGTCTTGAATGAAGACATTGTTGTATTGATCGTCCATATTGTCAGTCATTTGGTCGACAACTTTGTGTTTACTTTGAAAGTCACATAATTAGGTCCATTGACTGACTATTTAGTCGATGATAATGAGCTCACAACTGATGCTTCAATTGCCGAAAGGCTTTAAATCAGCTCTTTTGGTGAGAAATCAGTTGCAGATAATTGCCTCCAATTCATACTTCGGAAGAGCAAAGATTGGCAAACGAGAAGTCGTCGGTTTTGGTCTTAACGGCGAATACGCGTACTTCGACTCACCCGACATACCAATGCCTGCCATTAGGTTCAGAGAGGCCGACACTGATCTCCAGAAATTGATTGAAAAGGAAAAGGGAGACTGGAAACAGTTAACCACTGATGACAAGAAAAAATGTTTGTTTTATTTGACTAAAGAATTTACTTTAATTTAAACTAAAACTATTGATTTGATTGTCCAGTATATCGACACAGCTTTTGTCGGACTTATGCCGAGATGAGAGCGCCGACCGGCGAATGGAAGTCAATTACCGCAGGCGTGTTGGCCATCATTGCCTCTGCCTTCTGGCTCTATGTGTTGCTCAAGAAATTTGGTAATTATTTAGAAAAAGATTAGTCCCTAATGTTTGATACGATCGACTGTTTGATTGTCTCATACAGTGTACGCTCCGATGCCAGAGTCGACATCACTTGAATGGCGTAAAAAGCAAAGAGATTGGATGATTATGTGGAGGATTAACCCCATTGAAGGCATTTCATCTAAATATGATTATGAAAACAACCGATGGAAGGATTAGTCATTTGTTTTTTGGGACACTCTTTATGCAACCCTTTTAAAGCAAATTAGATAATAATTCAATTGATATTCAAATTAATTGTTTGTCTTTTTATTTTTCTGTAGATTTTTTTTTGTTTCTTAATTATATTATTATATAAATATATATTACACTAAATATATTGTTATTTTATGATTATTAGTATAATAATAATTATTGAGTAGTTATTCAAACAAAAGCTATATATTATAAAACAAAAACTTCACTTAAAAAAAGGATATTATTATAAATATTGATAAAATAAATGATAAGATAACAGATTAATGTACGCATTGTAACTGCCATTAAATGTCAATAATATTACAGTTTATTTGTTATGTGATTATTATTATTAAAAAAACAATTATGAATTTTATTTAAAGTTGTTTTCTATTATTTTCATTGTAATTGTTATAATTTGTGCTAATATTTAGATCATTAATTGAATAAACTAGAAATATTAAGGTAGAGAAAGTAAAAAATAATGCTCCGATGCCGGGAATCGAACCCGGGCCTTCTGGGTGAAAGCCAGATATCCTAGCCACTAGACCACATCGGATTGCATATTCAACATTTAGCTATTTTATATAGTAATAGTTATATTAACTTTTCATAATATAAGCGCAGAATTTGTTGATTAATTATTAGTAATTAATAACATAAATGTTTTTAATATATATATATATATATATATATATATAATGTGTTTGTTTGCTATGCTTTTATCGCTTCAATTCAATGCCTCATAAAGTAAATGTTTGATTTAATCTCTAATTTTGTGCAAAACAATCAAATTCTTGTTTTTTTCTATCGATTATAACATAAACTATACTTTAACTATAAGAGAGTTCAGGAATCGCGTATATATTATATTTACTGTACTATACTATACTATATTAAACTGTGGTTTAACTGAAAAACATTACTAATCACAAATTGTGATACAAACGGTACAATTGTGATGAATTGACTAAATAGTGAATATGTTAACATTAAGTAAGCTATCTAATTTTTTTAATTCAAATATTTCATCTAGTCAATTTATCTATAGCTTATTTAATGTTTACTTATATATCTATGTCTCAATTTGACACAATTGTATAATATTGTGATCACAAGATAGTTGTAGTAAACATAATAAACGTGTTATTAATATGAGTTTGAATATTATTATACGATTCTGTTTGTTGTTTACTGTTATCACACATACTGTATATATATATCATGTGATTTACTAAATCAATTTTATATATTTGTTATACTGTAGTTATTATAGCAGTTTTTACAGCAAATATATAAAGAATATTGTAAACAATAAATAAAAATATTGTGGTTTTATTACAATATATCACAATTAATATAATGTAAAAATTATTGTTTATTATGCAATCATTGTTGTAATTTTCATTATCCATTATAAATTATGATTTAATACTAATTTTTCCATTTATCAATATATATATATATACACGATATATACGTATAGTATAATAATATAAAATTAAATTTTTTAAATCAACAAGTTATTACATAATACATTGTATACTAATATATATTTATATATAATTATTTTTAAAATATTATAAAATATTGTCAATTCATGTTTGAAAACATTTCATGTCTATAACATTGACACCATTTTTTAACAATCGTTAAAATATACGGATATTTATTACTAAACTGTAAGCATATTATGTTTTTAACCAAAAAAGAGTTGACAAAAGTGTGAATCATGTGATTTGAAATATAAGAATTTATATCATATAAGGTTACAGAATATATGAAATCATTTTGAAAATCATTTATTATTTTTCAAATATTTTGTTAAATAAACTTTTTATTTTGGAGAAAAACAAATAAAGTAATATATTTTTTGAATAATTTATTATTTAATTTAAACACTTTATCAACGCTTAGCTTTTATATGAGTGCCTCAATTGAGTAGTAATTTAGTTGTGTTGTGTTGTGTTAGCCCACACTAATACACCAGCGCTGAGGAGCACCAGTACTACACACATGGTATATATTCATAGATATTTTATACACATTATATCATTACATATATAATATTGTGTGTGTGTGTGTGTGTGTGTGTGTGTGAGAGAGAGAGAGAGAGAGAGAGAGAGAGAGAGAGAGAGAGAGAGAGTGACTTATTCTTGGAAATACACCAAAAGGCACACCAAATGATGCAACGATACGATTGACATCCTTTGTAATTCATATACAGTCACATACAGTGGTAGTCAAGTCGGTTGTATTGGTATTACCACTCCTTTGAGGCATAACTTATGAATTATTTACACAATTCTGTGAGCATATGATTCATGTGAGCGCTTCCGATGGTGTGGTTCACTGTATAACTGATTGTCTGTACTGTATGTATGTATGAGTGCTGTTGTAAAGTGTATTCAATGAAGAACTCATGCCTCATGTGTTTACTTAATGATATTATGCTTTAGATTATAAATATTTTTTTGATAAAAAATATTAACTAAAACTTTACATTATTTTGTTTTTAGTGTAAATATTTTTTTAAAGCTTATTTTAAAGCCGTTTAAAAAATAAATTAATAATTTTTCTGATAATACTAATTATGAAATTCTTGAGCGATGAGTGACACCAAAGGAGAGATTATTGAAACAAATGACAACTCAGATGAAAGTGAAGATAGAGTTCAATTCAAGCGCCAAATTACACTAATTCCTGCCATAGCTATAGTGGTGGGTATAATCATCGGCTCCGGTATATTTGTCAGTCCCAAAGGTGTCTATGAATACTCTAACTGTTCAATTACCATCTCTTTGGTCATATGGGGTCTCTGCGGCTTATTTTCGATGTTGGGCTCACTATGTTATGCCGAAATTGGGACAACCATTACACGATCGGGTGGTGATTACGCTTACATCTATGAGGGGTTCGGTTCTCTATTAGCTTACCTGTATCTATGGGTTTCAATTTTGATGATACGACCGACCACTCAGACAATAATGGCGCTTACATTTGCCAATTATATATTGGGACCACTGTTTGACACGGGATGTGATCCGCCACAGAATGCCATCAAAGCATTCGCTGCTTTAGCTCTCTGTAAGTATTCATTCAATTTGTCAAAAAGCACTGCACTTATAGTACATCATAATTGACTGCTTTTTAATACCACTTGTCTATCATTATATTATATTAATTACATTTATTATTAAGTATTTATATGCATTTATTTTACATGTTTTCTAACTATTGCTTATGAAATCATAAAACGTATTACAGTTCAAGACTGTATTAATTTATTTAATTTAATAAACTTTGTCACATTTTGGGCCCTTTCCTTAACTCATATAACCATATCTATCATATCTTGTTTTTATTTTTTTTATTGCTTTTTAAAAATATATATTTAAGTTAAGATTAAATAAATTTAATATACAGTAAAGCCATCGCAAGTGTTTTATGTCATAAAATTAATTTTTATGAATCATTTAAAAGTTTAGATAAATTTAATAATTTATTTAATTTGCACACTTAACATGTCTTTATAAAGTAATTATTTAATTAAAATTTATAATAGTTATTTAGCTTGTTATAATATATACTGTGTAAGTTAAGTTATAATTTTTATATACACGTATATATATATATATATATAATTAAAACTAATTTTTATTATAATTATAATTATTTGATTTGAATATATGCTTAATAATGATTATTCATATAAATAAACTAAACATACGACAATTTAACCTTAATTTATCATTTATATCGCAAACTAATTAAGCAAATGTGTTTTTTTTAAATATAAATAAGCAAATAATATAACAAAATTATTCAATTATTTAATGTGTTTATTGAATATTTTAAGTAATATTATTTTTTTTACTAGTTTTACTGAATTAATTGAGATTTAATGATAATTACATACAGTACATATACATATACACTTTTATACAGTATAATACACAAATATAAATTTATTTTTAAAATTTTATGACTTTAAATGGTATTTTTATAGTTTTTTAAAAATATTAATGTTTTTACACTTTTTTTAGGTTTCAAAATATACAGATATAATGAATTTCTTTGATTTCCTTAATTTTAATGTAAACAAAACAGTTTTAAATTTAGATAAAAATATTATATTTGCTGCCATTTTTTAATTACCAATCAATAAGTATTATATAGAATAAACATTTAATACAAAAATAAGTGAAAAAAATCAACTCATAGTGATTAGTATAAAGTAATATCAATATTTGATTAATGTTTTAATTAAAATATTTTTTTATTATAGCTATTAAAAATAGTAGTTAAATAAAAAAATATATTTGAAACAATAAAAATAAGCTTTTAATGAAATATTTTCTAGAAAGTTACACAATTTTAGAACTAAATAATAAAAATAAATTTTAACACAATTTTAAGTTGAAATTTTTGTAACTATTATTAAATCATATAATTTTAACTGTAAATATATGTAATATAAATTAAATATAATTTTTATAGGTTTTTTGACATATATCAACTGTTCAAATGTTAAATGGGCTCTAAAAGTACAAAACATTTTCACAATTTCAAAACTATTGGCACTCATAATCATTATAGTCACCGGATTTTATTTCTTAATTCAAGGTATTTCTAATAATTTTATCAAAATCGACAATTCATTAGTGTATTTCAAATGTTAAGCTTATAAAAAAATTTTAAAATACAATCTTTTGAGAAAATACTATTAATTTAAATAAATAATTTTTAAAAATTATCTATTATGTTATTCTACTTTAACAAATTTAATTTGAATGCTTCAATATAAAAATAATTAATTTTCAAACCATTGTTTCTCGAAACTATTATATTTAAAATAATTAAAAAATTGTAATTTACACTATGAAATCATAAATATTAATATTACTATAAATTTATATACTGTATTAAATAATGTAAATGTATGCAAAGTTTTTTATATAACTATTTGAATATAAGTAATATGATTTACAGCTATTTAAATATAACAATATCTATATGATATAAGTAATCAATTATATTAAACGATAGCATAATAAACATATGATTGTCAATTGAAAGTGAATTTGACTTTCAAATGAAATGTTATGACACTCTTATCTCATAAAAACCTGAGCTCTTAAACGATTTCTTAGTTTTGTGATAAAAGTGTTAACTTTCATATGATATACAGTACAATACTGTATATCAAATAAATGATGAAAATATTCAAATAAGTTTTCAGTAATAATAGTTTATTGATTTTTTATATATAAACGAAAGGCGATTACAAGAACATAACGTCAACTTCATTGGATCCAAAATCTCACAAAACATGTCATCAAAGTTATTCTTCAGCATTTTATTCAGGATTGTTTGCCTTTGGAGGATGGTATGACATTAATGTCATTTATTATATAATCTCTATAACATTTCATTGCATAACATTTAATATATATTCAATTATTTAGGAATTTTTTGAATTTTGTAACCGAAGAGCTTAAGAATCCATACAAGTAATGAATAACAGAATATTCTTAGAAATAATAAGATATTGATTGAAAAACCAATTGTTGAATGTATTGCTTAGAAACCTTCCTCGCGCTGCACTCATCGGTATTTTCATCTCCACTTTGGTCTATGTATTGACAAACATCTCCTACTTTGTGATCCTTACGCCTACGGAAGTGCTATACTCTCCCGCCATAGCAATGGTATTCATATCTCATTATTTTTGTTATCATTATTTCAATATTAGTTTCATTTACTTTATAACACGTCTTACTTATGTAATGAAAATAATGAAAGATTCTTATCTTTTACTTTTATAATTATTTTTTTACAAATTATTCTCACATTCAATACAATGTTTTATTTGATTATTGTTTTATATTTAGGTTTTTGCCAAAAAAGTTTTGGGAGTTATCGCACCATTGATGCCAATAGCGGTTGCATTATCTACATTTGGTAGCGTTAATGGCATTATATTTACATCAGCTAGGTAATTAACATATTTTTAAATACAAATTGATTAATAATTAAATTTATTTAATTAACAATTAAGACTGTTTTGTGTGGGCGCACAACAAAAACATTTGCCCAGTATTTTTGGGATGATTCACATTAATAGGTATTTTATTGAATATTTTATTGAATATTAATTACAATCATAAAAATTTTAATATAAAATTAATGACAACTTAATGATATTTATACAAAAATATATACTGTATTTATATATTACAGATCAACTCCAACGCCATCACTAATAATATCATGTATTTTATCGTTACTAATGTTAGTAACGTCTGATATATACCAACTCATTAATTACTTTAGTTTCACCAATTGGTTTGTCACAGGAGTGGCAGTGGCTGCCGGTATGCGAGTCATTGATTTTATATAGTAATAGAAAATTAGTTTTTTTAATAAATTAATAAATTATATGATAATATAAACAGGTATTAGACTACGTTTTACGCGACCCGAGTTGTATCGACCCATAAAACTTCCATTAATTTTGTCCATTATATTCACGCTATCATGTGTTGGACTAACAGCTATGGCTGTCATATCGGAACCAATTAATGCAGTCATTGGTGGATCAATTGGTTTGTGTTTTAATATTTTAAACATTAATTTATAAAACAAAAATTATATAACTATATAAACAAGTTATTAAATATGATATAAAATTGATTTATAGTAATTGCTGGCATTCCGTTTTATTATCTTCAAAATACATGCAATAATAAACTTAATAAATTTAGTAAGTATTTCTATTATAATTTTATTTTTATAATTACGGTAAAATCGTGTTTTATTTCCCATATGGAATTCAAAAAAATGAAAAATAACATTTCCATATAGTAAAAAACTCGCATTTTTTACCACCCCTGGTAATAATTAAGCACTAAATTATTATACAAAGTAAGAAAACTATATTTTTCATATGGGAGAAAACTCGCATTATTTCCCATGACTTTGACATTTCCATATGGGAAATAAAACACAATTTAACGGTAACGGTAATATTTTTGTAGTTTATATAGAATAATTAAAAAATATTTTAAGTAACATTCTCATTTATTTTACTTAAATAAAAATAATGATTAAAACAAATTATAAAATTTATAATATTATCGTTCAAAATTATAATTTACAGTTTGACTAATTTAATAATTGTTGATAAATGCAATAATTTATATAATGATTAACAATATAACAATTTATATATATATATAAATTATATATAATAACTATACTGTATTTTTTGGTAATTTTAGACTCTATTCGGAGTTCTCTTCAAAAGTTACTACAAGTGGTTGCTATTGAAGAGGAACAACAATTATAACAATATATCCATTATTTTTGTTAACAATTTTTAATTGTGTTTTGTTTATATAAATAACAATTTTTGTTTTAAATAAATTTTGATAAGTTTTACCCGGTTTTTAAATGTAACACTTTTTCGATTTATATATTTTTTAAGATTTTGATAATTTGTTTTAATAATTCTCTATTTAAAAAATGTTGATATAAATTGCAATTTCTTATAAAATAATGTAATGTAAACATATTTTTATATATACATTGAATATTTGTCTATTTTTAAAAATTATGTAATCATTAAAATATAAATCAAATGTCGATAAATACATATATTACAATATAATTATTACAATTGACGAAATAAAAACAAATATTTATTTAATATATGTATTTTGTAATAATTGTATTTCTGTATAAATAATGAATCAAAAATTGATACAATGATAATAAATTGTCAGTTTAATGAACAATGAGATCAAAAATTGGTTAAACAATTGTTTGATATAAAAAATAGTAACTTTTGTTTTATAATATCAACATATTGTGTCACATTTTCTGTAAACCAGTCCTACTGAGAGGTAAATATATTTTCTGAACACTGCTTACTAGTCCTCGACAAAGAGGACATCGATCACAAAGCGGGGCACAGATGTCACAGCAGACAACGTGTCCGCAATTAAAGGCAGTGCAGACTTCACTGTCAAAGCATATCCGACATAACATCGAGTCTTGTAATGCCTCTAAACGCTCCTTAATATTCTAAATATAAGATAATTTTAATTTTAATCAAATAATCAAATAAATTATTTTTTTTCTATGACTGTCATACTTTGCACTCGGATTTCTTGCAGAGACTGGAAGTGTTGGGCACAAGTGGTTCAAAATCAAGACAGAGATCGTTAAGTGGTGCAGCAGATTGTGGTGATAACTGAGACAAGTCGTTGCATTTAGTGATAGCTTCGAGTTGATAGAGTTCTCGTCTCGTGTGGTCATAGACTTCACGACACGTTCTTCTGATGTCAAACACATAATTCTTGCCCGAAGTTGTATTTTCGTTGAATAAGGAAAAAAAGGTACCCTTGAGGTCACGTATGAACTGAGTGGCCACTGTGTTGCGTACGGTTTCACAGCTATAAAACGCGTGCTTTTCAGTGACGGCGCGGTAAATGGCATTAGCTGTCAGTGCGCTCTCCAGTTTGAATCCCAGTGCTTGACTCTCACCGTTGGTCTCGATGTGAGTCAAGAAAAAACAACGACCGGAATGAGTGGCCATATGTATACATGAATATTGAATACTATAATACAATATATAATATTATCTATTAGTTTCAATTAAAATAACATTTATAACTAATTATTAAAAAATATCTTAATTAAATATTAACCGCAATTGATATACTGTAGATAAAAGAAAAAAATGTTTGTTTGTTAAAAATAAATTGATAATTGTAGAAATGCATGACAAATATTATTGCAAACATTATCAAAATATGCATAAATAAATGAATAAATAAATATTTATTTATTTATTTATTTTTTGTTAAAATTAATTTCATTTTAAGTTATTTGTAAACTATGATTTGTGAAAAAATATAAATAAAATTATAATTAAAAACTAATAATAATTATTGTCGAAAAACAAGGACATCGTTTGAATGTATAAAACAAATAACACATTAATATTGTTGTCAAACGCTGTGGAAGACCTGTTAGTCATAATTTTTAGATACTATCCATAACTTTATAGTAAGTTTAAGATTAATGACAAACAAAGGTATTTACAGACCTTGAGGTTCAAACTTTAAAGTAATGAATACTTTATTGAAAAAATTGTATTCATTTAAAGATTTGCTTTATTATCAATATTTCAATCATTTAAAAGCTTTTGTCGATTAACGGATGCCTTTTAGCAAAAACTAAAATAATTTCAAAGTTTTTGAAAAAACTATTTCAATACATTTCTTAAATATATCAATGCATATAAATTAATAAGATTTAAATTTATATTTATTTAATTTATTAATATTCAGATAATATTGATACCAAATAATATATTATCTCAATTTTTAATACTATTTCAAGATATTTTATAAATGCATTTTTATAAATCATCTAAACTAATGTCTAAAACTAAAAAATTATAGTAAAAGAATAATAAATAAAAAATTACAAATAAGATTTATTGATGATAATAAATATTCATTATTTTAAATAAATAAAATTATTTTTGTAAAGGTAAACTTTAAATAAATGGTAGTAAAATAAAACAAAAAATATCCTTTATATTAACATATTCAAATAATTTGACAAATTAGCATTTAATGAACAATTTTTATGTATAATAAAAATACCTAAATTTTCCTAAATTATTTTATTTAGAAAATTAAATAAAAAAACCACATAAATTGAAATAACAAATCCCAACAATAATGTTTGAATACACCCTATCCTTGTATTATCACAATTTACTTTATATATTATATGCACGACAAAAAAATACAGTAATTTGTGAAAATGGATTTTTAACATTGTTATTTGCTAAACAACTAATTTTACATATGTTTATTAATTCAAATCCTATAAAAACAAAACAATTAAAATTAAATATATTTTTAATGAGATAATGAGATTCAATTGCAATTTGCAAGACTAAAAATAACTTTATGCTTAAAATTTTGAGAATAACAAAAAAAATAATAAATACAAAAATCGTGTGTTTCAGTATAGATAACTATAAAAATTTAATTAAATAATTTAATTTTTATAAATTATATTAATGTATATGTTTAACATGGATATTGTAAAGTATATTATATAAATTGATTACAATAAATAATAAATTATTGATGTATTATTAATTGAGATGAAATGTATAGTATTTAACAAAATTAATAGACGACTAAATTTATATTTAGATACAAATGATAATTTTTTATTGAAGGTCACACTTCTTTGTTTGATATATTCAATCAAAAAGTTTTGATTTCAACTTCAATTTTGTCATTAGTTTCGGGCATTTATTTAATATAATACAAGGATTTTTGATAATATAAAAATTGCACCACTTTTTTAGTTTTATTTTAGAAATGTGAATAAACAAACTCTTTATTTGTATTTTTTATTATATTTGAAAAATTAACAAAAATGTCATTCAAATGATACATTTTATGAATTGAAAGCTTGTTTTAAAAGTATTTTATTATAACTGATTATATAAGTTATCATTTTTTTATCTAATTATTATATCATTTCAAATAAAACATTCAATAAATAGTGAGCCTTCAATTGATTCAATGCAATTCAAACTCCATTAGATAACATACTTTCACTATATCTACAGTATATAAAGTTTAGAAAAAATTTCAATTGTATGATAACTAAATTTTTTAATCAATTAGTTCATTAATCAAATGTCTTTTGAATAATCATTATATAATTAATGATAACCACAATAATGATAATCATTTATTTTTTATAAAATTGATAATTTTTTAATTGACATGCTTTCCTTTTTAAAACATTGTAAAAATATGAATAAATTGATAATATCATACATTTTAAATGTAATAATTTAACTTATTGTCATTAATTAAGCACTGCTAAACTATTATGAGTTTATAAAAGTCATTAAACAACTTTTTTAACAACAATTTTAAATAAGCTAAGCTGTTACTACCCTGTATAAATTTTAACTTATAGTTAAAGTATAAATGATATAATGATAAAAAATTAACAATCACTTGAGTATCACTCAGATAACACGTGTAATATAAGTTTATAAATAAATATGAATAAAATGTTAAATAATTGATTGGTATAACTAATAGACTTACTTGTATTTGACTTCATTTGTTTGCTCACAAATAATGATTACTCCTTTAGGACCGACACCTATTCTGTAGGGATCTTCAGTATTGTTATTAAGCTTTACATGAAAATACTCGACACCGATATCGTCAAGATTTGTCACTTCTTGTAGAAAAAGATACTTTGCGTGCATTGGTTTAGTTAACAGTAGTTTCTGATGATATTGTAAAATACATTTAGTTAATGATGAAAGTTCTGTGTTATTGAATATATTATTAAATGAGTCGGTGGTTGAGCTGTTTGACTCAATATCGCTAAGAGAGTCCTCCGTATCAATGGTCAGATCGTTGCCCGAAGAACCAGAGTTGTGTTTCCTTCGTTTGCCTTTCCTCTGCATTGTCGGTGAACTGCAAAACATTTCTTCGAGTGTCGACAAAGGAATCCATTTTCGATATAATAGCAGAGCTGAAGATACTTCAGATTCTGAATCTCCTATCTCTGCCTGAGCTATAAGTGCCACAAGTCTTGTAACTAATTGTTTATCAGTAACACGAAGCCGACCCTCTTGTAAATCTTGAAGAATACTTATAAAAAATTGGTGTCTATTTTGAAATCAACAATAATTTTGTAATTAATTTCAATTCAATGATTCATAAAGATTTCATAAATAATTTATTTTAATGTTATATATGTTGTTTACAATAAATTTAATTAAAATGTTTTCCAATAAATACTTTATTGATTTTAAGTCAAATCAAAATTTAAAAATTCGCGTCATATGTTTGAATAGCTATTTTAAAAAATCTGTTTTGAAAAATTGTAATCAAATACCACATATAAATTTATATGTATTGTATATATTAAAAAAACAAAAATTGTTTTCTTAATATAAAATATATATATATATAATATGCAAAAGAAGGTCAATTTAAATCAAAAACAAAGGCCAAAATCATTAATAATAAACCAAAAACAATATTTTAAACAAGTTTTGATTTTTTGAACTAATATCATACTATTGCAAACTTATGTCATAAATGAGAATCAAATATATTGTAAATCAGATTAAAAGTTGTTTATTTATCTAAATATTATGCAAACCGTTAGCTTTTTGTCTCACAATAAGGAAAATACATTCAATATTAGGATTAGTGATCAATTCATTATAATTATTAAGTCACGTAAAACATCAACACATTAATTGTAATTTTTCACAATTGGTGACAATGCTTATCAAAATTATATATAATGTTAACTAGGACAACTTGTTATTAAAAGAGGCATTTAATACATGTAAATAATAAATTGGAAAATAAAGTGTGTCCAAAATGAATCAATAAATATATTAGTTATTTTGAATATTAATTACAGTATAATTAGATAAACAATTTAATTTAGATTATATGTTAACAATTTTTCACTTGAAATAACAATCATAAATATTCTAAAAAATGATAATAATAATATCAATATTAAAATCAATATTTATTATATAAAGTTAATTATTTAAGTTTAAACATATTCTTAATAAAATGTTAAATTTGTAAGCATTATATAGCGGTTAAACAATTTCATACAAGCAATACTTTGACATAATTTATAAATTATGGTCATGTATTTCGCAAACATTGCAAAATAAATAAATCAATTGAAATTATAATTAAAGTTAAAATAAAATTCAAAACTCCATATTATATGTTTTTGATACTCATTTAATATTTAGGACAATTATGAACACAAAAAAATCTAATTATATTTAGAGCATATTATTAAAAATACTGTATTATTATGGGAAAAGTAATGTGAATTATTGTGCATATAATGGGTAAATCTATTTTTTCAGTGAAAGTTTACTAAAATATGACCTCAAGTATTCAAATATTATCGTATTTTACTGTATTTGTGATATTAATATTATATTTATTGTGTCCTTAAAATGGGAAGTATTAGACAACAAGTATATTGACTTATCCCATAAATGAACTGTCATTTATTATTGCAATACATTAAATATCATATCATATATAAGTTTAATAAAAGTTTAGTAAGATATTACTAAACTGTATTGCATTTATTTTGATAGTCCTTGACATGATATACCACTATTTATATGATTTATACGAGTATTATAATTGATTTGATTTAAATGACAATTATTATAAACATTTATATTAGTGTTAAGATTAATAGTAATGTCATACCGTGTCATATCTTGGAGGAGCAGATGTGGCGGAACAAAGAACTTGACTTTAAGCTGAAGTCTCAGAGGAGGTGTAGTTCCAGTCATTTGTTGTTTAATTTGGTTTCTCATATTAATCCACAACATTTCGCCCCTCTGTCCCATATATTGTAAGCCAAAGTAATCGACTTCAATGATGCCTAACATTTGGCACACCTTTATATAACACAAAACATATAATACCACAATATTAGACAACTTCACAATTTGCTATTCAAGTATTTACATTTCAATTTAAACATTTGTATTATACCATTAAATGTTGTTAAAGGAAAAGTTAATAAATTTGTTAAAATTGTCAAAAACTGGAACAAATATGTCATACATTTGACTCTTCTCTCAACATTTAATTGTTAGCTTAATTATTGTATATATAAATACAATAATTCATTATTTTTATAAATCTAAAAATAGCCTAAATCTTATTATACAATAAATTAACAGGAAATAAGATATAAAAAATTTAAACAAAAATTTTATTTCATAAACATTAAACATCCCATTCGTCAGAATTGGATACTAAACAATAATAAAAATATTATTATTATTATTATTATATGAAAGTGTCAAATAAAATTCACTTTTGTTTAGATGACTTCAATTATTGGTTAGATATTTGTGTCATTTAATAAATTTCAAATTCATTCAAAACTATTTGCTTTCAATTGTAATTTTCAGGTTTTTAAAAAATATTAATATTTATATTTGCTTTATTTAAGCTTTTCATAGTTATATACTTTATGCAATGCATAATACTGTAGTGTACTAGTAATAGTAATAGTATTAATAACCATACGGTAAAATCACTATAAATAATAAACCATTTGTAAACAAAGTTAATAAAAAAAGAAGTTATTTTATAAAATAAAGATTATAAAAATTATAATAGTCATTGCATGTATTGTATATTATCAATTGATTGGATAAAATATGTTATTATAATATAGTAAATCATATGATTTATAAAATAATTTTGCTATATTAGATATTTCACAAATAACTTTATGATTAATAAACAATTATTTCATTAATTGTCAATTTCTTAGTTTCATTTATTATCAATATTTTAAAAAATAGAAATAATATTATAGACAAATGTCATTAAAATTAGATAAATATCGAGATGTGAAATAATTTTAGATATTATTATAATAAATGATTTAATTGTTATTTAAAAGGACTGTTAGATCGACAATATATAGAAAGTATTGGTAAAAGTGATACCTTATCGATACACTCCTGTCCTCTGGCTTTGTGATCGCACTCCACTTCTGTAATATTTTTACAGATATATTAGACATCAATAGTTTAATTGCAATCATCGGTTAAATTCAATTGATATCATACCCAATACAACATGGTTTGGACACCGGATAAGGCATAGCATCGCGGATGAGCTCATTGACCACTCAATGCACTCAACAACAACTTAGTCGCTGAAGAAAGCAAAGAGTTATACATTGACTGTCTTTATATGTGTTACCACTTAAACAGTAAATCAAAGACATTTAACTCATTAACTTAAGATAACGATAATATATTGTCAGCAAATCAATGAGTGATAGTTTCATATCATCGCTGATATCATAAACAAAGAGTGTCTTTAATGGTTGAATGTCTTGACTATCTTCAGTAGTATTTAGTATTCAATACTATAAGCGATATATTAGACGACAAAACTGTGAATATTGTCAATACAAGAGCACAACAACAATAACACAACACAAACACAAACACTAATGCATTCATTCAACACAACGTCAGCTGTAATGCCGTAAACACACTCTCAATGCAACCCTATATATGACTGACAGTCTATGGCATAGACTCTATGCGCCGCCCAATACATACAATACACACATAGAGACTGTATTAATACAATACAGTACTACACATACACTGTCATACAGTACTGTACTTACACTGAATGAGTGAACCAAACATCGCATATGGCTTTACATTGTTTGCAAACTTTACACATTTAAATGCTTACAATAAACTAATAATATTGTAGTTATGCCAATACAAACATAAAGTAATATACTGTACAATCACTTCAAATACATTGCATATTAATAGCATTTGTTTAGAAAACTTCAATTGAAATAAATTTTTATGTTTTCATATTAAAAATATTTATTACAATTTCATTGATTTAAATATTAAATTGCGATAAAACCTATTTATTTTGGTATTCATTAGTATTTTAATATTATTAGGATATTTGTTTGATTAAAATTTTTACTACAATATATATAATAAAAAAAATCATTTATGAAAATTGTATTAAGTTTATTATTAATTTGAGCTATAATTTATGATAACATCAATATAACTATTTTTTTTTGTTAAATGTAAAGTATTTGTAAAAATTGGCAAAAGTATTGAAAAACATTTTTTTTGAATAATTATATTATATAATACTATATTTTTTATAAAATACTGGAATAGTTTTGTGTCAGTTAGTGATATTATATTACTAAAGTAAACGCAACATTAAATACAAATACTATAATTTACAATACATTTACCTGTAATATAATAAAATTTATATACAGTACAGTATATTAGATATTTTGTAAAATCATTGTTGATTAGTTAATAAAGCACTACTTGAACCGATTCAATAAAAATTATCATTAAGTTTCACTATATATATACTTTATATATCATATTTTTACTATTATATTGAGTTAACAAAAATCTAATAAATATTTTCTATTTTGTTTTTTTCTAATTCCGGTGAATTTCCATAAAAAATATAATTTTTCTTTTAATTTATTATAATAAAATACATTTTTAAAAATTAACATGCAACTTTTAATTAAATAAAATATTCATGTTAACAAAATAACAACGTGATAATGTTGTCATTGTAATGAAATTACAATTATTAATGCAATTAAAAAAAAAGTATGATTCATAATAAAAGATTATTTTTCATTATTCAGTATATTATTATTTATTATTGATATTATTTTTTATAGGTTTTATGGCTTTATATCAGTGTAATGTACTAAATATAAGATAATTAATATATTAATTAGTGATAATATAAATATTAATTATTTACTAAATGAATGGGTATATTAAATAAAAACTAATTACTGTATTAAAGTACTGTACAGTATATAGAAAATTTCCCTCATATGGGGGCTATTATTATGTGTTGAATGAATGAAACATTATATTAATATTAATATGCAATACATTTGTTTTGTTGTATACATTGTTTTCAATGAGTGATAACATTATTTATGTGAGTGTTTTGTCAACTAATGGTGTAATAAATGGCAAAATAATCCAAATTTGGGTCAATTAAAGGCTTCGCTGTTATTGTTATTGCAATCATTGATATACTTGTGTCGACACTATTGTTGATAATAATAATAAACACTTGTTTTTGTCAATTGTTTTATCAAACGATCGAAACAATCATTTATTTTTTACAGTTATTTGAATTGATTTTTATTTATGATAAACAATGACATGAAATGACAGACCATTTAAATGTCATTAAAAGGTGAGTCTCGACCGCAATGTCAACAAATGTCTTACTATTGAAGAACTACTTCTTTAATTTTATTATTATTATTATTATTTAATTAACATTGAAATAAATGAGACACTAATTGGTGATAATAATTGGTTTTTAGGTTTTATTTGAAAGACAAATAAATATAACAACGAAACCACTACAAGACTGTTAATAATGAGTGCCAGAAGTGTCACTTCAATGCCATTGATAACTGATCTGACGTTTGGTTTGCCGTCACAGATGTGTTCAACGGTGCCATTGAGTCAATCTTACAGTCGATGCGATGAACTTCGGGTACGAATCCATGAGAATCACTTGTCTTATCTGAATCGCGAAGAAACGCCAGCAAAGCTGGAAATGCGGACCAAAATTGAGTGTTTGATCGCTGAGTACTTATCTCTTGTGCCAAACAGTCATAAATTTAGTTTCCCTGAAGTGTATAACTGTTTGAACGCCAGTATCACTGAAAATGCGGACTTTAGTCCATATAAGGCGAGCAACGCTTTTGAGGCGCTCGAGAAGTACGCGACAAACCTGATAACCCTTCCGTGGAGGTCGGAGTACCACTCAATATGTCCTTACAGTGGCTTTTATAGACATATTATAGATAAGCATATTATAGGCGCTCAAAAAATATTATTTTTGATGGGTTTTGTGGAGAACCACTCGACCAGCATTTACCAGTTGGTGCCTCCTATAGATCCCGACCGCGTCTCCAGAGTATCACTCGAGTGTTTGGTTGCTTTTGTTGAGCTCCAGATCATGATTCAGATCCGAGAGTCACTAAAATCCAAAGGATATTTAAACGTGAGTTGGAAAGAGATATATGCCATTAGAGTTGAATATATTTGTGGCCAATCGGATGCCATTAAATTAATTTGTGAAATGAAAAGAACGGCAAAACTTATTGATTACGACAATAATATCGCTTCCAATGGCACTAAAAGACTGATCAATAGTGACGACAGAATTATGTCAAATGGATTTTGTCTGATTGATGACAATAACATTAACCATTTAAAACAATCAACTCGTGGCAAATATTTAGACCATAATCTTATTGACAATTCTTATAATGATTTCGAAGACACCACCGATTCATTTGATTTATTAAATTATCCGATCATAAGTCCGCACTCGTATTCGCCGAGTCCTTCGTGTCAATATTGTTTGCCACACAACAGTCCAATGCATTCAACAAAATGCTCATCCTTTCCATCACCACATATGACTTATATAAGCCCACCCCCACTGTTTGCTACCTATCCAACTAATAGTCAGTTAAATGCGCCAAAAAATCAATCGGTCAGCAAAGCTATTCAGGCAGAGATACCAATGCTTACTACTAATAATGATTTGGAGAATTCATTGAATAAATTAAGTTTTAATAATAAGAAATCGATGTCTGAAACCGATAGTCTTTCGGCAAAAACAAAGAGTCTTCAATTAACCAAAAAAGATAGCTCTCAGAGTACTACTACTACTACTACTACTACTAATAATAATAATAATAATAATAATAATAGCAATGATAAGACAAACAAAAGAGGCAGTTATTATGATAATTTAGATCCGTTTGTTTCACTTGAAGCACAAGTTTTGTCTGAATTGAAATCAACGACAAACTCGAAACAATCGGATAAAAATATGTCTTCAAATAATGAAAGTAATGGCAATCAAAATTCATTGGAAAAAAAGAAATTAATTGACAGCAAGAGTTTGAGTAAAATTGTTAATAGCGTTAAACCGAATTCAAATACATTTAAATTTACGAGTAATTCAAACGATAAAAAGCAAACGAGTTTACAAACAGTTTCGTTAACCAATAGTTCACATCTGACATCATCTGTTAACTCTTCAGCTAATAATGATATAAATGGTAAAACACGTTCAGATGAAGTCAAATGTGATAATCAGAAAAAGCAATCGAAAGATAGTAGTAAACTATTGAAAGGTTGGTCGTGTACTTCGTGTACATATTTTAACGCCGATTTGAAAGAAGTGTGTGAAATGTGTCACAGAAGTCGCAAAGTTGGTGCTGAAGCCCAGCCACTCATCAGCGGTGGTCGCGAGTGTTCGCGCTGTACATTAGTTAACGATAAAAATGAACATTTTTGCAGAGCTTGTGACACATCTCTGGCCGATTCACCGACTTATATATAAATGGCATTTGTTTTTATCGATGCATTTCGATATAGATTTTTTAACTAAATGTTTTGTTATATTTGATTGAATATATAATTTAAACGAAACAATGAATTTATTGGGAGATAATTAGAAAATCGATGGCTTTATTAATATTTTATTGTCTGTGATAGATATCGATTGAATTATTCGGTCAAAACTTTTATTAATATTTGTTAAATACTTTTTTTGTGCAAATTTTATAATTATGTGCCTTTCCTTTCCTAAATAAGTAAGGCTTTTATTTTCAATTTATCTCAAATTCAGTTGAATTTATTAAATAATTTTGACTATAATTATATTTTATTGTAAAGAAAGTCTAATAAGAAAACAAAATCTAATAAAAAATCTCATTTAATGTTTAAAATATAATTTACTTATTAAATTATACTATATATTAATAGTACTGTTTATTATAACTATATTTTTAGCAATTATATTATATTTTGTTGTAAATGTATTATAAAATCATTATTTGTTTGTAATTTAATAATTTTATGATAATATTATGCATTTTGATTAATTGATTTTCTTTTTAAATATTTCAAAGTAATAAAGATTTGTTTTCCAAATTTATTAAAGTTGTTTACCTTTTATTTATTATTAAATAATAAATTACCGGAAAATGATAGTAAGTATCTGACAAATCTTTAACATAAGTTTTATTATCTTTAAAGTTAAACAAAAGTTTTTTTATAATAAGAATATAAACATAATTAACTTAAACAGTCACACAAAATGATATAATTGAATCAATTAATTAAGTTATTGTCAAACATTTTTTAAAAACAATTTTTAATTTAAAGATTTTTAAAATCACTTTTATTTAAATTTTTCTCTAATTTATTAATAATTTTATGACCTAATTGTAAATAAACTTCAGTGCACTTACTCTTTGGATACATTAAAACAAATGGTTGTCCGCTATCACAACACTTTCTAATATTCACATCCAGAGGAATATCACCTAAAAGTTCAACATTTAACTCATTGGCTAAACTCTTAGCGCCATTGTCTCCAAATATATGAGATTCATGTCCACAATTTTCACATACAAATACACTCATATTTTGGATAATACCCAAAACGGGAACATTTGTTTTAGTAAACATTGTTACACCTCTTCGGGCGTCCATAAGTGCAATGTCTTGAGGTGTGGTCACAACTATAGCGCCATTTATAGGTATACTTTGCGCTATTGATAGTTGTGTGTCACCCGTGCCGGGAGGCATGTCTATTAAAAGATAGTCTAATGGTCCCCATTGAACACCAAACAAAAGTTTCTGAATGGCAGACATAACCATTAGACCCCTCCAAACCATTGCTGACTCTTCTTCAACAAGAAAACCCATTGAAATACATTTAATACCAAAATTAGTCAATGGTTTCATCAATTTTTCTAAAACATAACCACAAAATTCAGTAAACGAAATGTAAGAAATAATTGAAACCAATATAACCATACGTTTAGTGACCTCTGGTTGTCCTTTCAAAGCCATCATTCTTGGAATGGACGGACCAAATACATCGGCGTCAAGAATACCAATTTGAAGACTCTGTGAAAATAATTCAATTCATAAATCACTTTTAAAGCTATTAATGTGTGTGTCATATACCGGATCAATATGTTTGAGAGCTGTTCCCAATGCAACAGTTGTCGCACTCTTACCGACGCCTCCTTTGGCCGATGAGATGAGGACCACATTCTTGACGCCAGCGATACCTAACTTTGTACTCATTTGTCTCAACTATTATAATAAAACATATATCTCTTCATCAGTTATTCAGTATATTTGTGGTAAAAAAATGGTACCAAATGTTGTGGTGATGTCTTCAACTTAACAATTCTTTGACAAAACATTTTTAAAAATATTTTGTTTACATTTCAATGAAACACAAGTCATGTGTTGTTTGTTGTGAAACACCAAACATGTGATGAAATGCCGGCAAAAGTGTCACATATTTTATGTTCAAAGCATTGGATCAATAATTATGGCGTTAATTATAACCATTTTAAGACATTTTATAGATATTTGACAGCAATTGAGTGCAATGCGACCCAAGAAATCAATACTAAAAGCGGTGTCACATTAGGTCACCGGCCAGTCATGTGTCGGAAAATAGTGGATGCCTTTCGGGTAAAAGATGGACAAACTTATATTGATATGACGTTTGGTTCGGGTGGACACACAAAATACTTATTGGCCACCAATAAGAAGATTAAAGTGTTGGCTATGGATAGGGATCCTATTGCTTACCAAAGAGCTGTCGTATTAGCGAAAAATGAATTGATTGCGGCTAATGGACAACAAGTGATACCACTTTTGGGCAGATTTAGTGAATTACCGAATCTAATGGCCACCAATGATGTTGAACCCGATTCAGTCGACGGTGTAATCATGGATTTGGGCGCCTCTTCCATGCAATTTGATGATCCCAGACGTGGTTTCGCGCTGTCAACCGATGGACCACTCGATATGAGAATGGATGGCAAGAGATTTGAAATGATGCCAACAGCTGCCGATGTGGTCAACACTTTAAGTGCCGAACATTTGGCAAAAATATTTAAAATTTATGGCGAAGAGAGATATGCTGTAAAAATAGCTCAAACTATAGTCGACTCGCGATTTTTGATGAGACGTTTGTCGTCGACCACAGAGTTGGCACAACTGATTGCAAACATTACAGCAAACTATCAGTCATTTGATTCGCTCGGAAGGACTCAACATTCGGCAACCAAAGTGTTTCAAGCGTTAAGAATATTTGTGAACAATGAGATCAATGAATTGAATTATGTTTTACAAAAAGTGATCACTTATTTGAAACCAACACTGAATTTAAATTTCAAAAAACGTGACACTGAAGACAATAATTATGAAGACATTGATGGCGGCATTATTGCCGTCTTATCGTTTCATTCATTAGAAGATAAGATAGTTAAGAAACATTTGATTGGCACTGAAGTAAATCCAAAGTTTGATGTAAAACATTTCAATCATTTAGTCGTTCATAACGAACAACAATTGGATGAAGTTTTGCAAAAAAGTTGGAAACAAATTAATAAACGCGTTATTACTCCCAATGAAGATGAAGTGGTAGCCAATCCAAGAAGCAGATCCGCTAAATTGAGATTAGCTGTTAAAATATCATAGATTTTGTCATTGAATTCATTTATATGTTAGAAATAAATATTACATTTTATTAATATAACCAAAAATGACTAAAATTAATTAGTATAATACTATTGATTTAATTATATTATTATAGTTATATACTGTAGTTATATATAATTTACATAATAATCACTAACTTTAGAAAATAAGGTTTTCTGACTATTAGTTTTAGATATGAATATAAGAAATTTATGAAAACAAATTTATTAGTTACAGACTTATCTGATTGCATGCAATTATATCTAAATTTAAACAAAATTATTTATTAATACATAATTAAAATTGATACAATTAAATAATTATGTTTACTCTTATTGTTAACCAGTGTACCGTGTGACATCAGATAAGCTGAGCTTTACTACTTTGATATTGTATCAAACTGACTCACTTATTATTACAGAATACGTAATTCAATACTACTATTGTCGTCGCCATTATTGTTATGAAATCAGTGGCGGCAAACAGTTTGACCAGCTCAATCAATCAAATAATCTGCTATGTTGTTGTTGTTGATGTTAGTGAGCATTAGTTCGCTACAGGAATTCTTGCTAGAAATTTATATAAAATACAAAAATTATATATATATAATTGCCATTTTTTTAATGTTAATTATAATTGAGTAAAATTGTAAAATATCCATAATAACAATAAAACTATATTATATTTATTTCCTTTTTAAAAATTACGGAACTCTAATTTCTTGCAAAGATTTTTTTATAAAAACTAAAATTTTAAATTAAATCATTTTATATAAAAATTTTATTAATATTTAAAATTGTTTTTAACCATAAATGTCATAAATACCATTAATTATTTAATTTTTGTTCAAAAATAAAAGTACTCAAATTTCTTGCCATATTAATACATAAAAATTAAAAATAAAATATATTTTATATTTATTTTATTATTATTTTATTATTAATGATTGAAATTATTTTTAAGTCAAAATGACTGTTAAGTTATGTAGTATATGATTAAATTATAAAAATAATGGAACTCGAATTTCTTGCCATATTTTTTTATAAAAATTAAAATAAACCTGTACCTGAAAAAATATGACATGTTTAATTCCCGATAAGTGACCAACGTTTGACCGGCGGGCAAATTTGACACTATCACATTGTTGGCCATCCATATATGATCCTTATATTGAAAAATAAAGTCAGGCCTTGGACCCGTTTACCGGCCAGAAGCTCCCGAAGATTTACCTTCGGGCCGTTATAACTCGGGAAGCGGACATCGGACAACAATAAGATCACCAAATTATTGTTCGTATTCGGATGGCCAAGAAGTTGTCTATTGGACATAATTGTCTACAATCATGTCTTCGGGTCAAACTGACCAGTTTAGTAATATTAATACAGTATTTTCTAGTATGTATAGGAGAAACGGTATATCGGTAATTTTGACCAGAAAATGATCATCGATTGGAATAAATTTTAAATATGAGGTATCAAATAGGTGTGCGGTACTGACCAGATATGTCACGACACTGTGGTCACTACCTGGGCCGCAAAGGCCATCATCTAGTAAATCATAGGTATTGCCGCCGCCGAAAACAAAAATTGCCGATAACTCGGTACAGGTTAACCGCCCGCAGTCAAGATTGGAAGTGTATGATTGGCTATTGGTTAGCCACCTAATCAGACACTCAAAACACTTGGCCAGCCATCGAATCGTCGGGACGGTATATCTCGGCAAGTCAGTATAACTCGGGTTACGGACATTGGACAACATCCGTACCAAAATATTATGGACAGTATTTGGATGGCGAACAAGTTGTCTGTTGGACATTATTGTCTATATTGATGTTTTCGGGTCAATATGGCCCGTCCCGTGATTACAACAATGCATTGTATTGTATGTGTTTTTAATGTATAGGAAATATAGGTTTTTCGGGTATTTGAACCCGAAGATGGTCACCGATCGGGACCAAACTTCGGGAGAAAATAGCATATAGGTATGCGGTACTGACTAGATAGGTCATAACATTGTGGCCACAACTTACCGATTTACCGTTACTTACTTACATTTACATGTATGTTATACTGGTGTTAAATTTCATGTACTGTACATTTTTTTGAAAGATTGCCATAATACCCGAAGATGACAACTTAGCCGAATTTTGTTAATTGCAAATTTGTAGCAAATTATGTCTTCTATTCAAATATTATTTTTCTAGATTTTTATTACTGACCACTTTCGGTATAAAATTTTTTATCTTCGGGTACCGAAATTTGGTCACTTTTGGTCACGTGATCAAGTCATTTGGACATGAATATTAATTGACTTTAATTGTTTGATTTTTTATTAAAAGTCCCATATCGATCGGTCATAACATTCCCGAGATGTCGGGAATCTAAATTTTCAAATTTAACTTTTTCCCAAAAATCACCAGGTAGCGATAAAAATCTGAAAATGGTCTCTAAAAATCCCAATTAATGTCTACTATGGGCTCAGGTAAATAGAACAATATAAGTATATTTTTTTACTGAGTTATGGCCAATTTTCAATTTTTAAGTTTTTGAAAATGTAACTTTTTCGAGTATTTACCTAATTTCCTGATAGGTTAGAAAATTGTTATTAATATATATTATAATATGTATCGATACAAATATTATAGAAAAGAAACCATATTTTTATCTATCACCGCTAAAAAGTTATGATTTTAAAAAAAAATTTTAGTTTTCCGCCATTTTGACCACTTTCTTCGTTAATGAGCAATTTTTCAACAGCGGATTTTTTTCATCATTTTTCATCCTCTAAACGATCCCGTAGAGAAACCTCGTCTACATCAAAATCTCGGACCCCTTGCAGGTAATTACGACACATATTTTACTGGGATACGCGTCGGTCGACCTTCGGTCGACCTCTGTGTATCCCGCTTCGCTTCGCTCAGCTTATCTGATGTGAATTATATAGTTAGTTATCACTACTGTATATTATATTATGTTTTGCATAATTTATTTATTCTGGATATAATAAACTAAATTTAAATTAAGTATTGCTTTTAAAAATCAATTTTATTAATTTATTATTCGAATATATATTCAATTAAAGCTCATCTTTATTGAGATTTTTTAATGGTTTACCTATAAAATCTAGATATCTCTGACTTTTAGCCATATATTATGTCTCATTTTATTTCTATTTTTATAATTTTTTAGAACTATTTTTTTGTAATAATTAAATAGAATTTAGAGAAATTGAAAATTTGTATTTTATTGATATATTGATATAAAATACTTGTCAAAAAATTTTTAGTATTGTAAAAACAAATTACCTTAGAAAATATTTAACTATTATTATCGATACAATTATTCAATATCTCTTAAACTTAAATCTTGAATTTGATTATTCTATGATTGCCAGATTTATAATTATAATCCATAAAAGAGGACTAGTCATTGAAATTTCAATTTTTATAATACAGGGTTTCACCATTCTATTTCAATGTAGTTCAAAACTATTTCACAAGTAAACATATTTATTTCACTCTGAACAAATATATTTCAATAGTGAACGTATCTATTTCATTGTGAACACAGCTATTTCAAAAGTAAACTTATTTATTTCAATTCTCTTGCTTTAGTGCAATATCTAACAAACTTTTGAACTACATTGAAATAGAATGGTGAAACCCTGTATTTAATTAAAAATTTATGAAATTTTGTGTATTACTTTAGTAAATTTCATTCTTATGATAATTATAATTAAAATTAATCTAAATTATTGTTAACGCAATATGGATTTCAAATTACATTTTACTTATATATCAAATTTTATTTTTTTTAAAAACGGTGTCAAGATATTTAAAAATTTATCAAATTAACATGTTTTATAATTAAAGTAGTATCGTATAAATATTTAATATTAATATCAGATTTTACCATTATTTTAAAATAAATTATTTATTAAAGATTTGAAACCATTTAAAAATTGTTTTCTAAAACAAACTAAATAAGTAGAATTGCCAAATACATGACTGATTGCTTTAAAAGAGAGATTTCTGTTAATAACTACATTATTTATATTAAAATGTTTTATTTAGTTTTTATAATACTAAAACCATAAATACAAGCAAACATAATAATTATTGTAAAAAATTTTAATTTTTAACTTTTGCATTTAAAAAACACATTTTTAAGATAAATATTCTAGAATATGACAATTTATAGCATTTATACATAATATAAAAATTTCACAAAATTTTCCTTGATTAAATTGCAATCTAAAATTAAGATTTTAATTTTTACAATTTGCAAATCAAAATAATTGCAGAAGAAATATTAATAATAGATTTTGAGTTAATTATTTTACTGTTTTTAGTTGAATGATAAATCACTTTATAAATCCTTGTTATAATTATATGTCTGTAACTTTAATAAGATGAACAATGTTTTTCCTTTTATAAAACTTTATTGTTTATAATTTTAACATTATTAAGATAATTTATATATTAATTTTTATGTGATTCAGCAATTTGGTTTATTTTTATTCAATTATCAAAAAAAAATTTACAGCTTAAATAATTTAAATTGTACATTAATTAATTCCCATTATTATTACTAGTTTTGAGAATTTAAATATTTTTATCATAAATTAAAAAATATTTGATCACATATTGTATTTTTTAATTTAATATTTATTTATTTACTACAGTATATTATTTATAATATTAACAAAAACAATTAATTGTTTATATAAACTAAAATTAGGATAAACATCCAAATTACAAAATTTATTGATTAACATAAATTAATTTTTTAAATGTTTATATTAAAATTGATTTATACATATAATAAATTTATAATAAACTTAATGGTATTATGACATAATTAACATTAATGAACATAAAATTGTGTTAATGTTTAATATTACAGTAAATATTGTGTTAGAGAGTTACAGAATAATGACAATCATAACTATTTTTTTAATACTACCGGCGCTTTTATGACCGACCATTTGTCGCTGGACTCACAGTATTGCCATTTCTATCACCTTTCCATTCGAGAAACAGGAATGCCGTTCCCGCGCCGTAAGCAAAAAAGTTGAGTAAACCAAACACCTGTTTAGTTATTTTAATATTTAGTATTTTATTTTATCTTTTTTGTAATCGTATATAACAAAAGCATAAATTGTTTACATAAAGGATCTGGAAATTACATTGAATTTTTTTATGGAAATATTTTATATCATAAACACTAATAAAAGCTTATATTTCCACATCATTTCATAATGTATGATATGTATGACAGCTAAGCAATAAATTATTGACTTGTTTTTGATTATTGTATAATTTGTATTCATATTTCATGTACAGTGAGTGTCTATACTTATAATATGAAAATATTTGTAATTGTATATGAAAATTAAAAAAAAGTAAATATATTCTACTATTATTAATAATTTAATTTAATAAAATTTAAAAATATCTATCAAAAAATTAATAATAAAATATTTTCTTTTTAACATTTTTTATGATATAAAGTTATTTTTAATATCTATCATTTATTATATTTGTTTCAAACTTTTAATAACAATTTTTGGCTCATTTATATCTTTAATCATAATTTTATCCTCAAAATGATCTCATTTTTTTTTGAATGTTTATTAAATATTAATGATACATTATTTTAATGTTGCATAGTTAGTTTTACGTAAAACTAAATCTATGTTAAAATTTTAGTATTTTTGGTATAATTATTTTTTCAGTTTAGGTAAATAATTATTAATTTATCTAAATATTACTTTTTTATAGAAAAATATTAATATTCAATGATTAGAAAAAATACAGTAATAAATATTATTCAATAGCATATACTCTATTAATTATTAATATTCAGATGTTATTATTGTACAAATATTTATGTTAATTGTTGTACACAATTGTCATTAATTAATAGATTATATAGTATTATATACTGTGTTTTATATATTTTTAAAAACACATAATACATACCCCGGCAGCAATATATGTACCGAAAAAACTTGTGCCTAAATAACTGCTATAATGTGTGAGTGCGTAACGATAGTCAGCTCTAGCGGTCATTGATAAGTGAATAATAGATGTTATAAATAATGAAATTGTGACGATTGCTGAATATATTAACTCCTAAAATGAATTGCAATAAAAAATTTAATTTGTTTGTCATTTGCTAGTAATAGATATTAAACGTTATTTCATTAATACTTACAGCAAAAATCCAATCAAATTTTGGGAAAACAATATTTTTAAGAGTAACCAAATAACAAAAACATAGGATCAATGTTAAGGCAAATGATAGGGAAACCACTGCAGTAAACAATCGCGCGAACCACTGGTTTATAAATATTTTATATATTAGTTATATTATTATTATGTTAGTTACACACAATTATTTATTTTATTATATATATTATTATAAATTTATAATATTATTATATATAACTAATTTTTAGTATATTTAAAAATATTTTTTTAAATATAATAATTTAATATAATTATAAATCACGTTATAATTTTAATATTCATTTTAGTAAATAACTATTAAGTTAGATAACTTAAAGTAAATACTAATGTTAATACTATTGTTAATAATTTGCTTTACAGTATATTATATTAATAATTATTGTTTATTATTTAATAGTTTTTGTTTTTTGATAAAACAAATCAAGTAATTAAATATTGTAATCATTAAAATGAATAAATAATTATATAATCCACATATAATAATAATTAATAATTAATTAATATAAAATGCTTACAGCAAGTGGTGGTGATATACATGCCATACATACAATAGCAATGACCTAATGTTTGAATTGAAAATTATTGAATTATCACATAAAGTCAATATAACAATTGACATCAAGAATATAGTGATCGTACCAATTGAACCAATTTTAAGATACCGGGAATTGTTGTAAAGTATGAAAGATTAAGTCTAAGCTCTTCACCGATGGGAACGGATTCGACTTTGGTTTTGATAGCAAAAGATCCCGAATAGTTTGGAGGACTCTTTTGCACGTGAGTTGACACCACTTCTGCCGGCATATTCACAATTTGTCTAATATTATTATCAAATCACTTATCAATAGATTGAATTAATTAATTGATTAATAATAATATATATTGTTTAAGTACTTATTCTGTATATTTTTTACAATTAAATTAAAAAATATTTTGTAAAAATAATTGTCCGATTTTATCGTCAATTCCTTGTATGGCTTAAGAAAATGAAGTCAATTTGAGACATAAATTCAAATTGAATTCAAGGCTATTGTTTAATAACCAGTTCTCTCACACACTCTTACTATAGGAATAACTGTATAATAATTCATAACTTATAAACAATTATTGTGTTATACATTGATTGCAATGTAGTACAGAATAATTTAGTGCTAAACTAAATGCTAATATAATAATACAGGTATACTGTACTGTATATGACTTATACATTGGGATTTGATTACAATAAACAAAACAAAAAATTATATTCAAAGAAGTGCTATCGCGTCAACTCCTATGCATTTTTGGCCAATCGTTACATTTACTACATTAGTAAACACTTTTTTGTCGATATATTTGAGGTAATGTTTTGTTTTGAATACTTTCAAGTCATCAAATATTTTTGATGTCTCATAATATAAATTATAGTTTACATAATAAAATAGTCAACCATTATATCAATTGTTACTATTGTTTTAAAAACTAAATTATTTTCTGAGTTGTAGTTTTATGTGATATATTTAGTATTTCATAAATTCATATTTAATTTAATGTTATATTTATATGTACTATATTTATTACCCAGAAGTTTATAGTTTTCATTAAATAATATACATAACTTGAAAATATACATAAATTTTTATATTTTATAATATTTGAAATAATTTTATTTACATTTATAGTATTGATATTAAATCGTTTAAACAATATATTTTATTATAAATTGGAAATAATTTTTTTAATTTATATTATTTATAAAAAACTGTAAACAATTTTAATTATTATATATAAATAAATGTTTAAAATATTAAATTAAATGACTAATAAGTATATAGACATTGAGATCAAATATGATTTAATTAGAGATACGGTTGTGTAGGAGTTAATAGGCAATGAATTTAAAGTACTTAAAGTACAGTAATTGAAGTGTTATTTTCTATCAAATAACTTTTTAAACATTTCATCACATATTTTATTTTTTTACATAAGTTATTTGTGACATATTTTATGATTTTTGTTATATAACATTAAAAAGTGTTAACAAATTTATAAAAATTCTTTTATCAACAATAATTTTTATAAAATTAGCTAATTTAGTTAATTAATAAAGTAATTGATTTTACAGTATATTTTTTAATTTGTGCCATATTTGGAAAAATAAAAATAACAAAAATTTTTATAATATTGTAGTAAATGTTTAAAAATAACGATTAAAAATCATAAAGCGTTACAATAACTAATGCATAGATCATTTAGATTGAATTAGTTTAAAACAAACTAATCTACAAATGTATTATAAATACTAGAATTTTTTATTATTTATAATTTTTCTCTACCTATAAAATTATTAATATTGTTAATACAGTATTTACTTTAAAAAAATAAGTGTTAATAAATTATATACACTATTATACAAATTACAGTATATATATATACATATATGGTACATTGTATATACTGTACATTTAACATTTAAAAAAATTGTTGTAATAACTTATAAGTCACAAACTAATTTTACTTTTTTAGCATAAAAATAAAAAATAATTGCTCAAAAAGTAATAAAGTTGTGCGATATTATAAATAATGTTTAAATATTGATTTAACCTGATATTATTTTGTTAACAAAACCAAAAGAGTGTTTAAATTAGTTTTTAAAAACAATTTGCATCAAAACTAAAGTAGCAGGGGCGGTTAAGCAAATTTTGGAAATTAATATTTTAATATATATTATAATTTTACATAAATATATTTAATTTTATTTTATGTTATTTTTTATACTGATATTTGTATGCTTATGTTGAAGACAGTAAATATATAAGTAGATAAACAATATTTAATCGTTACGATGAGTTAAAAAAAGTATATATTATTATATTAAATAATATTGCTAATTTATAAGTTTATGATGAAATTATATAAATAAGTACAATATAAATTATTACTATAATTAATATAAAACTTAAATTATAATTATTTATTTTTAAAAAATAAATTAATAAACAAATTTAATTAAATAAAATTATTTCTTTTATTAGTTTTGTCGACAATTTGATTGATCTCTAAATAATATGCATAACAGCGACAAAAAACGGCTATAAAATCTATAATAATATTAAGCTTTAGTAATCCATTCAAAAATATATTTAAATTGACAAATTATTTATTATATAATACTTATAATATTGTATAATATATTCAAAAGTATTATTATTATTATTAATATACAATATTAAAAATATTATAAACAATTTGTCAAATTACCTATAATTATGAATGAGTAGTAAATGAGAGCAATAAGTAGTCAATGTGTATATTCAATATACAGTACTATACACTACAGTAGTTATATACTGTATTAGTACTGTAGTGTCAGTATTGACCACAAAAATAGTTGTAAATTAATTGTAGATTTCAAATAAATCTTTTATATAAACTTTTAATTTTATTGAATCATATGCTGTGACAACTTGTGAAACATTGTGTGGTATAGTTGTCCATAGGTTGGTATCTATAGGTATTGTTTTTGTTATTAGCTTATTCTTACCGATAGTTATCAATTGAAACCTACAGTATTTCATTGATTCAGTAGAAGCTCTCTCTCACTCACTCACTCACTCACACACACACACATTAATAACAGAAATACTTATGGTTTTTAACTAATATTTATTTGTATTAAAAATAATTAAAATAAACTTATTTTGATAATAATTAAGATATTATTGTCTAAAAACATGACATAATTTGTAATTATCATCTGTTTTACTCCTTCTTTGATTTGGTAGTACTTCCTCTCAGTTTCATTGTATGGGTTGGAGTTTCGGTTGATTTCTTAGTAGATCTGTTTTGACAAAAAAATGAAATATCATTTTACTGTTAATAAAATTAATTAAAGTAAATATTTATTACTTTTTTGTCGGAGTCTTCGATCGCGACGATCTATCGCGACCAGAGGTCGACGTTTTACTCGAAGACACGTGCGATACGTCACTCTTTTTGGAGTCAGAGTCATCAGCGCGAGAGGCGGGAGTTGGGGAACGACTACGAGATGTTGGTTCGGCAGTTAATGGCTGTGTCGATGATTTTATCTCTTCTGAAACGAGGATTAGTGACGATGTTTCCACCTCTTCAGTAACGAATTGTTGTTGTTGTTGTTGTTGAGTTGATTCTATAATTAGAAAATTTGCATTATTTAGATGTTATAAACTATTTTGATTGTCAATAAAACAAACCAATAATTGTTTCTTTAATATCTTTATTATTCTTCTTAGGTCTTGATTTTCTATTGGATTTTTGTTTCGGTGTCTTTTGTTCTTCTATTTGAGAGAAAGTAAATTGAGATGTAATCGGAATATCATCTGTCCTTTCTATATGCAATTCTTCATCTACTTCAAGATCTACCGGTAATATAACAATTAAATCAAATAAATTGGTAAAAATAATTTTTTATTAATAATGAAATCAATTTAGTCAATACTTTGCTGTTTCTTTCGAGCCGAAGAAAGTCGAGTCTGTGGCGGAGAAAAAACGAAACCAGACTTAACATCTTCATGGGGTTCATCTAAAATCATTTCTTGAATCTTAAATCCTTCTTCACTTGTAGTTTTGTCGAAATCAATTAAAGGTCCGATACTTTGATCCATATCTTCCATTTCAGTTTCCATAATAGGTTGTGAGGTATTTTTCAATGACATAAGCATAAGTGTGTCTTTAATTGAAGCCAAACGTGGATTTTCAGCTCTTGACTCTTCAGTAAATGAATTTTCGTTATCAGGAATAGAAAACCGAAGTCTATGTTGAACTTGAGTCGACTCTATTGTCTTATTTGGAGAACCTTTGGCCGAAACAGATGGAGACATAAGTAATGGACTCAAAGATCGTTTCATCATTAGTTTTAGATTATTTGCTTTCAATATTGATTGGGGAGTAAAATAATCCGTTGTTGAGGTAATGGTTATATTTTTGGCATTACTTTTATTAGATATAGATTTATGTTTGATTTGAGGCGTCTCTAACAATATAAGCAAATCGTTTTGATGTTTCTTTTGAGTTTCTTTTTTGGCACTTCTTGTTTGATGTGTTGAAGTAATAATCTTGTGTTTTGTCACACTTTTACTCTCGAAATCAATGAGTTTAGGCGTCGGATATACTGTTTTGGCCGATTGTTTGACTTTCTTTGCACTTCTGTCAACTGTAGGCGTCCGAAGAAATGGTGAGTTTTGGGAAATCAGTATTTTTGAAGATCTAATAAACAACAAAATAGATAATAATAAATAAATGAATAAATACATATAAATTAAATATAAATCTTACTTTTTGCCACTTTTGACGACAGGAGGGGTAGACACTTGTAAATTGTTTTTTTTCTCCTTCTTCCAGATATCAGCAATTTCTTCCATTATATTCTCAATAGCTGTTGACGGCGCCATCCAATCCATTGCAATGGGTTTAGGTTTCACTTGAATGGGTAATGTGTTGGAAACGGTTATTTTACCGGTTTGTTTCTGTTTACTCTCCTCAAAGATAGCAATCTCTTTAGCCAATTTGGTAAATGATTGCGGAAGTGCTGCTAAATAGGCTTTAATTAATATAATCAATTGATTTGTCTTCTCAACCAAGTCTTCATCGGCAATATTAGTCAACTCATCTTCAAATTCGTTTAAGACATTCGCCGCATCAATAATCTTATTGTTTGCAATTAAATACAAAACAAGCTTTTGTTTGGCATTCGGCAAATCAGATGTCACCAAATAGTTGGTAAACACTTCTTCTTCAAACATATCTAATGGTATTTTAAATATTTCTTCGATGACACCCATTCTCTCACACAAATCAAATAAATGAATGAGAAGTTCGGTGGCATTCGTCTCATTTCGACAAAGTCTTTGATATTGAATTGCATTACAAATTTGATTATTAAGTAAAAGCATATTTAAGTGAAGTTTTTCGCGAACGGGTGTATCCAAAGCAAACTGACCACAATTTTGACTATAGATTAGAGCGCACTTCACCTCATTTTGATAAACAAATGACTGAACTATTCTCTGCTGTAAATCGTTGAACACAAATATTTCATTTGTTTTGTTTCCCAAAAATAATGGTTTGACGACAGGATCTAATAGGAACTGAAGAGAAAAATCAAAGAGTTTGTGATCCAAACCCCAAAAGGCTTGAATAGACTTAATAAGGCTTGACTTGAGTGCAAACACCTGTGGATATTGTCTAATCTTTTCGGCGACATCGCTCTGGCGGTCATTCAAATATTCAGCCAAATCTAATAACATATATAACATAAGCGCTTGTTTTTGAGCCAAAGTCGCCGATTCCAAGAGAAATACACCCAATAGTGAGTGCAGGTTAGGCGGTGGGTATAAACCATCGCCACCTCCTTTGATCCAGAGTTCAGATAACTCAGGATTTAGAGACTCAACCATACCATCAATTAGGAGCAAATCTGTTGGTTGAATAATATCAGGATTTATATTATGGAGTTCTGTTCGTCGATCAATATAATAGTTCTTAAAGTCAGTGTACGGATAAGCGACCTCTTGTTCACCGAAAACATCTTCTTCAGAATGTTCGGGCAATAAATTAATTTCATAAAACCATAGAAGTGTTCGCAAATAAAGAGTTATCAATTGAGTGACTTCTTGTCTTAACGTTAACTCTTGAAGATTCAATTGGTTTGTCATCGCAACCGATGTTTGCAAATGTTTTAACATAATATTCAATGATTTGAGATCACTTTCATAGGCATAAAGCTGTGCAGAGTTGTAATTATCTAACAATTGTCCGGAAAAATCAAACAATGGATGTGTTATGGAATCGATTTCATTCTTAATTAATGCCACTCTCGACCAAATCCAGTCTAATAAACACTTTGAATCACATCCACAGTGTTTAAGATCACCGGATGACCATTCTTTAACTACTTGTATAAGAAATGGTAAGCAATCGTTTTCAAGAGCAATATTTAAGATAATATGTCGTAATTGCAAAGTAGATAGTGATTGATGATAGATGTCCAACGATAACAAACCAGATCTGACACAAGTAATGGCATATTCTTTTGGATCAATTAGAATTTTAGGTCCATCTTTAACCAGTTGAGCTAAACAAAATTTAGGAAGTCCTAAATATGATGCGCCACATATCTGTGACTCGGATAGTACAGTCACTTCAAATGATAGCGAAGATGGATAATAATGGATGTCGTCTTGAAATGCTTGGGAACGATATTTGCTGATTGTTTCGCGATTTAACTGAACTGAGACAATAGCGTCGGGAGACATAGTGTTTGCAATGTTTTCCAATGAAAAGACACCTAAAAATGGACAAAATTGTTTGTCATCTGCTATCTTGATATCTGTTGGCATTTGCGAGCGATACCATTGATTTAAATCAAAAATAGCAAAATATGTTGAAGAATAGGTTTCATTTGATAAGTCAGACAATGCTTCCCAAGAGATAAACAAAAGGCTGAGATCTATATTAGCCGATTCGTCGTCCGACGATTTATTTGTTAATTGATTTCCTAACGGAATAGTATAGCAATCGATAAGACGACTATTGCTTAATACGTTGATTTCTGAAGAGTGTGGGTTTGAACTCAATATATATTCAAAACGACACGAACAGCCCTGAAATCCGGAGTAAAGTATACCGTAATCAGGAATCCAATCCTTCTTTTCAAACGAAATTGAATACATAATAGCATTTGAAATAGTATTTTGTATTTCATTCAATTCCTCAATTTCTTGGCCTCTGATAACCCAAACATACGAATAGTTTTTCGGATCGTTTTCCGGGTCTTGAAATGCAAATCTGATTACTGGCGGTAAGCCGTACTCCAGTCCACAACTGCACTCCAGTTTAAATGTGTTCATATTGTAGAATTGAAAACCACCGAAGTTATAGCCAACACAAAGAAATCCTGTTTGTGGTATATAATGAAGAGCACTGACATATACCTGTTCCTTAGGAAATGGCGAAAGAACAGTGCCGTCATCGGCCTTATAGATAAAACGATTCTTCAATAGTGAATCACCATTTAGTGGAAGACATAAGTGTTGGTCATGAAGTGAAGCTGTCTTTCGTTTGTTCTTCAGATTCATATGCGATGAATTGCAAACAATAAATGATATTTTCTTTGGAATCAATGTCTCATTTAATGGTGTAATATAATCCAAAAAAAGATCTAAAAGAAAGACGATTCCTCCTTCCGTACCGATGGCTATAATACCATTCATGTGTAGTAATTCATCAATCAGTGGCCAATTATTTCCTGAGATTAATCTTGAGTTCATTATTAGCTCTAAACTCGTTATCTTAAACTGTGTGTCGATTGTCTTCATTACAAGACTAAGTCGTGCGTCGACGAGACAGATAAGACATGTACCGGAACTTCGCCGCAAAGCGACGGCAAACGTATAAAGATATTTATTTTTTGCCGAACCATCAAAAGCGTCCATCAGTTGGACAACATTTACAATTTTTATGGCATTGTCTCCGAAAATGTGTCCGAAATCAAAGGATCCCAATTGTCTTTGTGTCGACACATTCTTCACGTCTACCGATATAATGTCAAGTTGTGAGCCTCTGATTGTCCATAAACACTGACCGACTAAACAAAAGACAAATGAGATTATCAACTAAATGGCAATAAATCTTAATTAAGACAAACCGGCATTAGATGCGAACCGACACCGAATTGGACACAAAGAAGTGTCAACAGAAGTAGCCTCCGATGCAAACAATTTGGCCGAAACCAGTGGCAAGACCTGAGTGACCGAATTGGCCAACAATTCCCGTGACGTTGCCATCAAATGAATGGCCAATCAATACAATCAATGGATGTGTTAAGTGATGGCAAACACAACATTCAAACCATTAATTTTGTCGCTAAAAAAATCACACTTTTTTTGAAGTCATTCAATGATTACGTTACCATTATATGAGTTACAATCTATACAATAGATTCTATAGTAATAATGCAATACAAATGCAATACAACTTATTATTGATTTATTAATACTCTATTAAATTAAATGTTAAAATTTAATAAACTTTCAATTTCTCTATTTTAGTCAATTAAAAAAACCTAAATTAACCCAAATTTATTTTAATCATATCAACAATAATATACTATATAATACTAGTATAATATCATATTATATATACGATATATAGAAAAACAGTTATTATAGTCCCATTACATAATGTCAAAAAAGTGTCTACTTTATGATACCTATATTATCAGATGGTCTATCACATCACATCCCATCCCAAGTACAGTACTAACCGGTAGAATACTGTATATAGATCTAAATTAGATAATAAGGTAAAAAAATTTAATGTTATTTTTAAATTAATTTAAATTCCCAATTATTTATTTAAAATTAGTTTATTTCATAAATAAAAAATTCCGATAAGAAATTTTAACAAAAAAAAAAACAGTGATTTGTGAATAAAATTAAATATATTTATATACAGTATATTATCGCCGATCTCTCAAAATATGTTTATATAAAATAGTTATCCATTAGTAGTACAGTATATCCGTATAGAGTATACTATAGTATACCGTAGACCACAAAAATAGATGAAATTTTTGTTTATTTTAAAACTAAATTTTTATATAAACTAAAGTATAATAAAATTTAATATTATATAAAAAACTAGAAATATATTAATATAACCAATAGATAGCATTGAAAGTCTAATAAAGCCATTGAATCATATGTTGTAAGACATTGTATGACTTAAGACTTGAAAACAGGTTTATGTCAAGAGATTGTATTGTTTGAGTCAACAAACCATACATTCAATTATCACTGATTGCTGTCCACGTCCTGAGCAGAAAATATGCGCCGAATAAGTGGTGGTCGGTGTCCATCGGCCGCCACTTCCGTCAACTTCGAATCACCACAACATCTGTCACTTCTGCTCAATGGTCTCAACGATTTGAGATCTAATGGACAGCTGTTTGATGTGACTCTGATTGCTGGAGGACCTAATGGTCACCGATATGAAGCCCATCGGGTGGTACTGTCGGCCTGTTCTGACTATTTTAGGTATTGTTTTTGCTATTAGATTATTCTCATCGATGGTTATCAATTGAAACTTATTTAATTGATTCATTAGAGCCATGTTTACTGATCCTGTTTTTATGGAAAGAAAACAAAAGGAGATTGTCTTAAATGGTGTCACGAGTGAAGGTCTTATACTTGTTGTTGTTGTCTGTCATTTACGTTTGAAGTATTTGTAAATTAACTTAAGTTTGTTTGTGTAGGTCTTCACCATATTCTTGAGTTTGCCTACACTTCCAGATTAGCATTGAATTTGTCTAATATTCAAGAAGTGTTGTCCACCGCATCTCACGTTCAAATGCAAGACGTGGTTCAAGCGTGTAGTGATTACTTAGAGGAACAGATAGTGGTTGACAATTGTGTAGATTTGGCCACAATAGCTGATACCTATTCCTTATGGCAACTCAACAAAAAAGTCTATTACTTTATTTGTTCAAATTTGATGGTCTTCTCGCAGACCAATGAATTAGATCGACTCACTTTCCAACAGTTGACACGAATTCTTGACTGCGATTATCCGGTCGACTGTTCAGAGAGTGATATTTTGTCAATTGTCATGAAATGGGTTGAACTCGATGTTAGCCAAAGAGTCCAATGTTTATCTCAATTGTTGCCATTTATCAACTATAAAGAGATTACGAAAGAAGAGTTAACTCAACATTGGAACCGATTGGAGAAAATATTATCGACATCTATAGGTTGTCATCGTTTCATATATCGAAAGATTTTCTCACAAATTGAGTACAAATCTCCCGATGAATCCAATGTTTTAATTAATAGTCGAGGAATGGAATTAGCGGTCATTAAAGTGGGCGGTAAGTCATTGATTGTTTTATTTTTATTTAATTTGTATCCACTTTATCTGTTTTTAAAATTTAATTTTAAAGATTATAATTCATAAATCTTTAATTAAGTAATATATTTTTTAATTACCTGCAATTATCACACACTTTCAACTGATTAATTTGACTTTTAAATTACGGAAATTATTTGAATATTACATTAACTTTTATTTATTTTTGCATATAATTAGTTTAAATAAATTTGTAGTTATATTAATATACTGGTATATCTAATAAATAAACATAATTTTGAAATGTTTTAAATTAGTAAATTATTGATAATTAATTCTAGTTTACAGTAATAAACTGATTCTTAATTATTTCAATATCCTGATTAGTATTTTGTTAATATTGATTATTCAATTATAATATACGGTATGTTTACAGATTAATTAAACAAATTAATAACATTAAATTAATGAAAGCAAACTTATAGTCTAATTATAGCGTTTTATTACAAATTAATAACAACATAACAAATACCGTATACTGTATGCAAAAATCAATTACCGTAAGGTATAAATGAATTCAAGTTATTTAATAGAGTAGTAAATAACAATATTATCAATTATTACTAAATATAGTATTAGTAATTGTTATTTAATTATTTTGTTAATAGGTTTTAGTGATAATGGTGTTACTAATGATATTACATATTATTTGGAAAGTGAGAAAAAATGGAAATATTTGTCGCGTATTCCACACGTTGAACAATGCAATTTCGGTTTGTTATACATCTATATATATATATATATCTATTATTTTTATTTATTTTTTCAAATTAGTTAATAAACTCAATGTTTGCTTATGTTTATGATAGGTATGACCATTCATAGGAATCAATTATAGTAAGTACTGTAATATAATGTTAATTAAAAACGATTATTAATAATCATTAAAAATGACGAACAGTGTTGTCGGCGGATGTTTTAATTCAGTGCAAAGTCTTGAAGAGAATGTTCATCCGTTTGGTTTTAAATACAATCCTTTATGCAATAATTCAGGGAATCCGTGGTCAACAATAGCGCCGATGCATAAAGAGAGATGTCGTTTCACACTAACAGCTGTTGCTAATTATTTGTATGCAATAGGAGGCGCATCCGATACCGAATTTCCGGACATTGACGACGATTTATATATTTCGGGAGAAATTTATTTTCCAGAAACCAACGATTGGGGTCCAATGGCTAGTCTTCCAGTGCCATATCGATCGCAACATTCAGCCGTTGCTTATAATCATTATATTTACATTTCTGGAGGTCTCGATCAAGATATTGTACTCAAAGATTTAATTAGATATAACACAATCACTGACGAGTATGACTCCAATATGAGTCCAATGCTATGCGAACGAGCAGATCATACAATGATTGTCTTTAATAATAAGATCTATGTATTTGGTGGTTGGTTTGAAGCACCCATTACTGGCTTAAGGGTTTTGGCCAATACTATTGATTGTTATGACATATTAAATGATTCGTGGAGTGTAATCGCTGATATCCCGACCCCTAGATATTATGCGGGTATTGTAAATAAAGGCTCAATTGTATATATAATTGGAGGCTTTCATAGCGACAACACATTTGACAGAACTTCGGGTCTTATCGAGTCATTTGATTTAGTTAGTCATATGTGGAACCACTCACTCGATGATTATCCTCAAGATATTTGGGAACATCAATGCTGTACACTGTTTGTACCGAAATATCGAGACGACTTAGTTGTTACATCTCATCAAATGTAATAATACATGACATCTTATTTGCCAAACATTTAATATACCGGTATTTACTTTTATTGACATCATTTATAATTTATTTTACCGATAATTTACGCTGTTTTTAATATATATATATATATATATATATATATATATATATATAGTATATTGCATATATTTAGGGACCCAAAATAAATTACTGTATTGTCATTGTATATAATACACAAATAATTGTAAATTACATTAAATTATGATTTATTTTTAATAATTTTAATGCAATAATTTTTATAGTATATTTTAGATATTTTGTATATTTTAAAAATACCATTATTATACAGTAGATATTTTTATAATTTTTAAATTGTATATAAAAATTAAATTATTGTTGCTTTTCTTATTTATATGAATACTTAAAACTAAAGAATAAAATATACTTTTATAAATTGATTTTAAATTAAGTTTTAATTAAATAACGAAATAAGCTCTAAATAATTTTTTACAAGAATTTCTATTTTTATAAAAATTTGTGGAAATTTATTTCTTATTTTTTATTTGGTATTAATAGTGTATTTCAAAATATTGCACAGAATTTCAATTAAATTATATGTACTGTATTTTATTGTACTGTTATTAAGTATACTATAAATTTAAACATGAAGTGCAAACATATTATATAGAGTATTGTCAATACTGGAAAAGCGTGGAAAAAGTACCGTTAATTGAACTTATTTTCAATAATACAGTAGTTTATAGTATTAATAATATATCGATCAAAATATCGTACTGTACTGTACTATACAAGTTGTATTATACAACTTGTATAGTACAACGTATAGTATATATGTTATAAACTTATATTTGGCTATTATATAGTTTCTAATGTTTTTAGCAAAAAAACTATTAACTTTTATGAACTATGTTTTATCATATATTATAATTTATAAATTCAACAACAAATCTAATACTGTAGATCATACGGTTTATTTTGTTTTCCTAGAAATATAAATGATTTTTATTTTTAATTAATTAAAATTTTTATTAATTCAGTATTATTGGCAAATTTCTATTTAATTAGTATTATGATATCGTGACTTAATATAACTATTAATAAAAACAAAATTAATTAAAATAATTTTAATATAACTTTTTATAATAAGTAAATTGTAAATATTTATTACATAATTTAAAACTTATTTTTAAAAATTGAGTTATAAACTTAAAATACAATAACTTTAACAATAATTTTTTAAAAATTTTCATTATATTATCATACAGTATAACTTGTATCAAATATTTGCTTTTTATTAAGATAAACATTTTCAGTAAGTATCATTATAATTGATAATTTTTATTAAACTAAAATCTGTTTTTTGTGTAAATATAATAATATTTACAGAGGAAATAATAATTTTTTAAACCATTAGCTACTTTTATAACACAAATAAATTATATTTAAAATATAATTTGTGCTAAAAAATAATGTTATGATTTGGTAATGAAAATGTGGAAATTGAATGAATATCTGAAACATCAATCATATGATATCCAGAATTCATATATAATGAGGACATTTGTGTTAAAGTTATTGTCAGAAATAAATTATTTATAGACATTCATTAAATATATTAAAAACATAAATCAATAAACATATAACAAATAGGTGTGTAATCTTTAAATAAATATAAAATAAGTCTATTTTAGGTAATTAAGTTATTTAATCAAATTATGCAATAAGTGTATGAATAAAAAGTAGAAAATAACAAAAATATTAGACTATTCAACAAATAATCTAATACTGTATTATATAGTCATATATATTCAACAAATGCTCATTTGAGTGAAATAAAAACCAAAGTTAAATTAATACTGTAATAATACTGTAGGATATAATGTAATATAATTAAATGACAACATTTTTGTCAAATGCTGAAAATGTATGTTTACTACATATGACTATCAATTTTCAATTGTATTGCTATTTAGCTGCGACTGTATTGACTGTATTGACTGTATTTGTATTGAATGTATTGCTTGTCGTCTATGTATTGCATGGACTGTATTGCAAGTCATGTGTTGTTTGTATGTATTTATTGCTATTTATTAGAAGTGAGACAACAGTAGGAGTCGTCACTGATATAGAGTTAAGCATTGAGTGAATGAATGAATCGACTCTTCAATTGACTACAAGTTTTGTGTGAAAAATGGCTGAAAATGTGTTGATATAAACAAATGATTGTTTGGTTTGATATGAATTGCCATCACTTTTATACCTATTATTGAAAATGATTTTATTTGTCACTCAATTGTTGTCATCCGTTAGTCTGTCATTCAAACTGTCGTCAAATAACAGAGAGATGTTTAGTCAATATATTTGCCACCATTTGTTTGTTTAGTTATCAATTGATTGTCATTTAATTATTAAGTGATCACTCGGTGACCACTTCGTGACAAGTAGTGTATAGTCGAGTGGACCACTCGGTGACCAAATGGGTGCCAAACAGAGCACTACCACCACAAATGCCAGTCCCTCTCATGTGCTTCAAAGTAACGGTTCGTCCAATGCTGGCCATCACAACCACGCAGTGGCCACCAATGGTCGGTCAAATAGCACAAGAGTGACGCCATCGACCAGTCATAGCAATGCAAACAGTGATATACAGACATCCAGTGATTGGCGACAACGGGCTCGCAGTTTGTCCAGTGTTTTGAACGCATCTCAAAGCAATGGCAGTGCAATACATGTGCCACAAATGCATTCAAGTTTCGGTCTCTCCATCTCTCCTGAAGATGACTTACATAACGAAGACCTCTCTTTCGGACGGGTCTTCTCTGCCCATTCACTACCCGTTCAATTGATTTCATTCAATGGTATGTCTTATCAATTATTATTATCACTAATGAGTTATCACTTCAAGCAACTAAAAACTTATTGTAATTTAAATACATTTGACAGATAATAGTAAATAGTTTTAAAATATGTTTTTATTATTTAAGTGATTAGATTTGAGATAGAGTTTTGTTAAAACATTAAATAATGTTTAATTGCATACAAATGACGATAATTTTTATTTATAAAAAGATTTGTCTAATTTTAATTTGTAATTATTTAATATATAAATTATATTATTTGATTTGCAACTCAATATTATTAGCAGTTAGTTGTATTGATTAAAATTAAATTAAATACAATATTAATTTTTAGTTGATTTTTTCTACAGTAGTGATAATTTTATCATATTTAATATTAATAATTTTCCTAATTTATCAAACAAATGATTAAAAATATATAATTTTAAAGTTTTCCTCAAATTTAATGAGTTTGTTAATTAAAAGAAAAGCGAAACAAATCTAATTTTATTATATAATATAAAAGTTGAAATTATATTGAAATAAATGATTAAATTAAATGAAAGTCTTGTTTAACAAACCTTGAATTTTGAGTGAAATTAATAAATCTTTTTTAAAGTTATATTTTTTAATTGCTAATATTGAATGATAGCTTTCATATTGTGTTTGATTGAAATATTTAATAGCATTTAAATAATTATTTTTGATGAAAGAACTTATTATTTAAAGTTAAGTGCTGTTAAAATGATCAGAAATAATAAAATTTATTATAACTATAACTTATTCTGCTTAATGTATTGATTATTTTAGATGTCATTTAGTTTTATAAATTTATATCAAATTTATTTAGTATAGGCTTTTATTGAGACCATGTCTTATATTTTTTTTATTATGTAATAAAAGTATTGCAGTTATAGTGAATCGTTTTGTACAAAATGTTAATGTATTTCACTACAAGTCGTTTACATTTATTTTAATTTTATTTCTATGTATTGCCAGAATCTGTGTAATAAAATATCAGACAAAACAATCTGTTTTTATGTATAAACATTCATATATTTTATATCATTGTATAACTCTTAATATATTCAAATAAAAACAGTTATATTGACTTATTTTTACCAATTACCTAATTTGCATTATAGTAACTTTACCATATAATTTAACATAATTTTAATAGTATAAAACACTTTAATTCAAGTGTTTTATATATTATTAAAATAATATGAATTAGTTATATTTGTAATCTAATAAATAAACCAAAATAATTAAAATATTTTAATAAAGATTCAATTAATATAAATACAGTATATATCATAGTATTTATCTAATAATATAATTTAATTTATATAACACTAGGAATCAAATGTCCCGTTTGTTCAAAATTTGTTTTACCTGATGATGTCGAGTGTCATCTGGTTATGTGTCTTACAAAACCTCGAATCAATTATAATGGTATTAATTAGAAATCAATCAATCATTTGATTATAAATTGATATTATTTTTGATGAATTATTCAGAGGATATGTTGACTGAAGATAAGGGAGAGTGTGTCATATGTTTAGAAGAACTCAATAAAGGAAACATTATTGCAAGGCTTCCATGTCTTTGTATATACCATAAGAGGTTTGTTGTAATTATAAATAAATTGATTTAAAATATTTTGTCTTTAATTATAATAATAGATGTATCGATGCCTGGTTTGAAGTCAACCGTTCGTGTCCGGAGCACCCACAAGACTGACCTAAAATGTATAGAAATATATATATATATATATATATGAATGTCTATTTTTGTTTATTCATATAGATTAACAAATAATTGTTTTTATTATTCACAAATGTTTATGTAATTTATATTATTATATGTTTTTTAAAATATTACGAACTGTTTTCATCTATAAATGAATTAATAAGTGATTTCTGACTTTTTAAAAAAGTAGTTTAAAATGAAAAAATAATTCAACAAATAATCAAACGCTAATGCAATCTTGAGATCATTGAAATTAATGATAACATCAACTAATATGAGTACATTGTCTATAATTAAGATTATTTTTGCAAATAATATGCCATTTCTAATGATTCTAATATTGCTGTTAAAAAGGATATTCAAAAGCAAACCACAAATAAATAAAATTTTTATATTATTTGTAGAAAGAGTATATTTTTTTATTAAACTTGTCATTTGATTACAATATGTATATAAAAATGTTTTTATAACAAAATTTATAATAATAATAATTTGTCATAAAAATGTAAACAGTGTTCATAAAACTGAGCACAACATTTGGCTTATTTTTTTATAAATGTCTATTTTATTTTTTTTGATCCCAATTTACGCCAATAATGTGTATCCCATTATTGCCATTTTTAAAAACCGTTCAATAGTTTAAAACATAACTATAATTATAACAATAATTGTAAATATTTATAAAAAAGATGAAAATGAGATGAATTTAAAGATGAAATCGTTTTTTTTAATGAAATAGTGATTTATGAGTTTATGAAACTATTGGATGATATTATGAGAAGCATTTTGGTTGAAATGATGACATTTATTATATAAATTAAACTAAATTTGCTGTAAATCGTAATCTGCTTTCAGTTTGTGGCACTTCATTGGTGCCAATTGATGGAAGTTTTTTCATTTTATGATGTGCTTCGGCGATGGCAAGTGTCGCCTGATGTACCTTTCGGTAAATCTTTTCGCCCTCCAGTGTATGGAAAACAAACATTCCTTCACCCGTAGGACAATGTCTGCCCGCTTCAAACGTAAACTTTGTTAAATCGGAACCTATTAAATGGATCAAGTGTTTAGTAAATGTGCTCAAAATATTCACAATTAAATGGTAAACTAGATATACCGTATCTACGGAGTGCCGTCAAAGGCCAGGCAACTAATTTGAGCTTTGAATTAGTGATGTCCCACAAGTAGATGTTCTCGTGTGTCACTTGCAATAAACACTCACCAAAAACATCTAACTTAGAGGTTGGCATCAAATAGACGTGAAACTGTTCCTGAAGTTCTTTTTGTATACCAGGCCTTAATACATCGGGCTCTCCAGTGGCCAGTCCTGGTGGCAATAAAAGGCACTCTTGTATTGATAGTTTAACCCATGTGTCTGCTTCCAAGTCTGTTAGCATTTAAAATATAAATAATTAACAGATGATATGTTTGAATGTTATTATCAAAAATGTCTTAATTCAATACCTGAATCACATGCAAACCATTTTTGATTGCCGTCGTGAAAGTTGATGGCAAAGCCATGTTTTCGGCACGTATTAGTCAGTCGTGAGATTGACTGTACATTTGTGAGCAAACATGTCTTGTGGTGACCACCACTTCGAGCACTTTTTTCATCCAAATACTTATCCAACCGAATCGGACCCTTACTCGAGGCCCGTCTTAACACAAGCCATCTCTTTTGCCAAACATTTATTGATTTACTTTTGACGCGAAGATATCCCTGTTTTATAATGTCATTCACATCGGTGGCCATTGCATTGACAAACACTATTGTAAAGTCCTTTAATAGCGAGACTTTTGTCCACTGGTCTCGAGACACGAGTGGACACAACACCAAACAAATGACACAAACACTAACACATTTCTGGACACACCTCTTGAGTGGTCAGTGAGTAGTCACGAGTGAAATGGTCGCATCAATCACATACACATTGACCGCATGTAATGGTCAGTCATATGATTCGGACATTTCGGACAATTGGATGCAATGTTTTTGTACAGAAATGAGTGATCTTTTAGACGCCAGTGATGTCAATGTTTGCCATTTTATTGACTCAAAGCACTCACTAATACATAGTCTAAGAGGCGCTCAATATAGCGGAGCACTGGTAGGGCATAGTATGGCATACTATGGCATAGCTATACGTAAGCTATTATTTGGATGTGTTTTTCAAGCAAAACGATGCCCTCAGGGCTCAGGGCTTACAAGTGTTAGTAGTTTTGGGACGACTGAAGTCCAAACCACTGACTCTCCACTCGTGGTGTGGACTGAGAGAGTGCGCGAAGACATCAATTGATATGTGTTTGCATTGCATTGCAATTCAATTATTATTATCACTCAACTAATGATCGCTTCCTCTCCTTTGCCATCACTTATTGACATCCAGTTTGCGATATCACTGCAGGCATGCAATCACTTCATGTCTATTATATATATGTATATTCAATACACAACTGTTTAGAGCTATTATTTGATACCATTATTATCTATTAATAAGAAAAACTTTTTATGACTTCAAAAAAAAACATTTTCTTCTCTGAACTTCTCTTAATGTAATTTAAATATTTTGAAGGAAATAGTGGTCTTAACAGACAAATGGGAGGAAAGGGAGACAACAATCCTTGCATTCTTTGAGAGCTAATATCTAATTAAATCTAAATTAAAAAACACATTTGTCTTTAAAAATATTCAATTTATATCAAAATTATTTTGCATTAATTTTTTGTTTGTTTTTTCCGGAGAACTAAAATCAAATTAAATAAATTATTTTTCTTTTAGTTAATAAAAACTTTTTTTTTTTTGTGTTTATATCTAATGATTGTTTCTATTCTGCAAAAAGAAAGTGATTTTCAAATAACAAAAAACTTAACGATGTTTTTGTTGTCATTATATTTGTTTGTGAATGCATTTTAAACATAGACCTGATATTGACTGAGAAAATGAGTCCAACCGTAGACAAAGCACCTGTAAGTAGTAGTAGTAGTAGTAATACCTGACTCTCTGTGTTCACAGGGCTCAGTCAGTTGGCTGAGCACAGGTAGCTTTACAGTACAGACAGGTATCAGTCCTTTAATTGAATGCCAAATGGTTTGCATTTTAAACTTTTGTCTATAAGTTATGCCACAGATGTCAGCAATGAATCAAACATTGCTTTCAATGTGTTTAGTGTTTACAGTGCTTTGAGTTTCACGTGTTTTACAGTTTCAATGATTTTTATTAATACTTTTTGTGATTGACTTTAATTTAATTGACTTTTAAATTGTTTGTAATTAAGTGTTAAACAAATGACTCGCAAATCAAAGAAAAGTTTTACTAAAAACTCGGGAAATGACGGCAAACGCAAAGCCAATGTTTCTTTTGATATCAACGACGGATCCGATGATTCAGATGATCTGTACGATGAAGAATCTGATGAAGAAGTGGAAGAATCAGATGACGAGGAGGTAAGCGACGACAATAGTGTGGACACAAGTAGTGATGCTGACGATGAAGAAGACACAATCAAACTCAATGATACAGTTAGTTATCTTATGACATCTTAATTATCTTAATATTTTAATAATTATTTAATTTTCTTAATTAGATTTCTCTACAAGAACTCAGTGAAGATGAAGATAACTCATTAGATTCAGACAATGAACTCGAATTGATTGAGACAAAAGATGAAAACAAGAATCATAGGAATCTATTGAGTGATAGCAATGAGATTGAAAAAGTGGAAAATATATTAAAAGCAAAGAAGAAGAGCAAAAATGTGGCCAAAGTTGATGAATATGCTATCGATTCATCGGATGAAGAGGTCTATCAGTTGTTTAATTATCTAATTTTACAAATGAATAACTTAATTATGATTTCAGGATCTAAGAAATACTATCGGAAATATTCCTTACGAGTGGTACAATGATTTTGAACACATCGGCTATAATTTGGACGGAAATAAAATAATAAAACCGCCAAAAGTCGATGAAATGCAAGAGTTTCTGAACAAAATGGAAGATCCGTTGTATTGGCGAACAGTAAAGGATCGGATGACCGGACAGAATGTTGTTCTTACCGATAATGACGCCGAAACATTAAGACGTGTCAGAAAAGGCAAATTTCCTGATCCTAATTACAATCCTTACGAACCATTTATCGACTTTTTCACGTATGAAAAGTCGATACATCCGGTCTCTAACAGACCCGAAACTAAGGCCAGCTTTATTCCCTCGTTGTCTGAGAAGCGGAAGATAAGCAAATTGGTGGCCGCTATCAAAGCCGGACGACTTAAACCTAAACCAATTAAACCAAAGGATGGACCGTTTGTTTTCAGTTACGATTTATGGGAAAAACCAAACACTGAGAGAAATAAACGATACGAACGTTACATACCGGCGCCCAAACTCCAACCTCCCAGACATGAAGAGTCTTATAATCCTCCTCCAGAATACTTGTTTAATGAAGAGGAAGAACAGAAATGGTTAGAACAAGAACCTGAAGAACGTAAACTTAATTTTATTCCTCAAAAATATTCATCACTTCGAAGAGTTCCCGCGTATTCGAAATTCGTAAACGAAAGATTTGAAAGATTACTTGATCTTTATCTTTGTCCGCGGGCTCGCAAAGATAGAGCTAACGTTAATCCTGAAGATCTTATTCCAAAACTTCCGCGACCTCGAGATCTTCAACCATTTCCTTCAATACAATCGCTTATATATAGAGGACATACCGATGTTGTCCGTTGTGTTAGTATTGAACCAAACGGACAATTTATTGCAACTGGAAGTGATGATTGCACTATAAGAATATGGGAAGTGTTGACCACAAGAACCATGAAAATAATTAAAATGAAGAGTAGTGTTACAGACATTAAATGGTGTCCCGACAGATCCAAGTGCTTGTGTGCTGTTGCTGTTGGCAAAGATATGTTTATAGTAAACCCAAGAGTTGGTGAAAAAGATATAATCATTGAAACAGATTTGTTATTCAAAAGAGATGAAACTAATGACAATTCCAAAGGCGAGTCAACTGATCATTCTGTGGTCGACTGGCAACTCATTGAGGAAAGCGGTGCCAGCGATGAGTGGAGGAATGGTATTCGTGTGATTGTTAAACATAGATTTGAAATTAAACAAATAGTATGGCATTATGGCGGTGACTATTTGGCTGCAGTCATGCCTACCGGTGCTAACAAATCTGTAGTAATACACCACTTGTCAAAACGCAAATCTCAAGTAAGATAATGGATATAATTGATGAAAATAATCAAATGATTTTTATTTCAAATACAGGTGCCATTCAAGAAATCAAAAGGTATTATACAATGCGTTCTGTTTCATCCTTCGCGTCCATACTTTTTCGTGGCCACAAATAGAGCCATTCGTGTCTATAATTTAGTCAAACAAGAAATGACTAAAAAGCTGTTACCTAATTGTAATGAAATATCGAGTATAGCAATACATCCTCAAGGTTTGCATTAAAAGTAAAACCAGTTTTTAATTAAACTAATTTTTATTATTAATTTAGGCGATAATGTGATTGTCGGCAGTTATGATCTGAGGTTGAGTTGGTTTGATTTGGACTTATCGACAAAACCTTATAAAACACTGAGATATCATAAAAAAGCCATCAGAAGTGTTTGTTATCACGAAAGATATCCATTGTTTGCTTCGGCATCAGATGATGGAACAGTTATTGTGTCGCACGGAATGGTTTATAATGATCTAACACAGAATCCATTGATAGTTCCCGTTAAAGTGCTTCGAGGACATACCGTTAACGATGGTTTAGGTGTTACGCAATGTTGTTTCCATCCTCTGCAGCCGTGGATATTTTCTGCTGGCGCTGACTCAACCGTTAGATTATTTACATAATTTTTTAATTAAATAATTTAAGTGATTTCTTTAATATCTAAAATACGAGCTCTAGTCTCGACAATTTGCCGTCGGTTTCTGTTTTAACCCCATTTTTTATATAATATTCTCGTTTAACGAAAGCAAATAAAAGATCAGTTATAAGGAATATCTATAAATAAAAAAATGATTATTAAATTATGTCAAATAATGTTACAATTATTAATTACTTGAGCGGTATTATAAGCTAAAGTGACACCAAAATAAAAGTTTGAATTTGCTGTTCCCATAATAATCCATAAATGCCATAATATTGGTGCCAAAACACTGCACGATATGAACATACATGTAATTATGAGTCCCTGTTTCATGTCTGCAATTAATGTATATCCAAATTATTTATTAATTCAACTTTATTTAAATTACTGGTACATACGTGAAAATAGATGAGTCCATTGAGGTAATAGTGCCGTATAAATGGCAAAGTCCGATACAGTTGGGTATGGTTTGAATAATGATAATAATATCAATAATATAAAACTCAAAAAATATGGATTTTTCCTTAAAAAAAATATGTAATATTTAAATAATTATCGTATTTATTATATGTGATATCAATTTATTTTATTATACCTCAAAGTTATTGCTAGTGGTATGACATAAATGAATGCATTGATCTGAAAGGTCCACAGAAAGAAGTCGCGAAAATGATCAAACATTTCTGTGAAGAAATACCAGAATATTCCTATTGTTGGCGTCAAGTCTGGTACTGTCCATCTGTTGAATACATTATATTATAAGATAAGAATAATCATTAAAATGCAAAAAACATACAGAAAACCAAATGTCGATTCAATGAATTGGAAATTGTTTTCCATTAATCTATACGACAGCAGAATAAATGCACCAAAAAAGATGAAAAATAATAAAATAGACGATATTATCGATCGCTTGACGTTTGAAGAACAATAATTAACTTCTTGAGGATTATTGTCTTTAGATTTATTATTTAGACACCGGTTGTGTTCAATAATCATTGCAATGGCAACGATCATCATTATTGGATAAAATGACTGCAATGACAACAGGGCTAACAATGCTATTGATATTAGACGCATCTGAAGAGTTGTTGTCAATAGTGTCGATGCCATCAAAAAGTTGGTGAAAACACTGGTTGATTGGCCCACACATGACAACAATGAATACGGAGATAACAGATATATGACGGCCACTCTTATCGATAGATCTGTTATTTGGTTCTTATCGATAGCAAGTCTTTTGACGTCTTCTTTCTTAACAGTTTTAGTCATTCGTTGTTCTTCTAAAATCACTGAATATGACAATTGTTTGTAACAAACGAGTGATAATATTAAAGCAGTTATTATGTCAACTAAAACAAAGACTTTATCAATGAATTGGTTAACATTTGTTATCAAATATTTGTATAAATGAAGAAAAATTGGTGATTCATGAAATGTATGGCCACTGTATGGCGATAATGACATCAAGTCAAGTGTCACGCCCTCCACAGCTATCAAAATATCGTTAAAAATCATTAATAATATACTGAAGATTACAACAATTATGACATGCAATACCTCTTCGCCAAGAAGTGACCGGAGATGATATCTCGACTCGATTTGCGATCTCCTTCTGGTATGAACTCATCATTAGACTCAGTCTCAAGAATACACCGATTGTGACAAATAACGAGATCTTCAAAAACCACTTCATATTTTGTTTTTGGTCCCACAATAGGACAATACATGTGTCAATCAAATCAATCAATCAATTAAATGGCAGTATTTGATCATTAATTGGTTGACACGAGTCATACCAATTGAGTGACACTTTTAAGACAAACAACTCATTGACTGAAATGACAACAGAAAACATGCGACCAATCATTCAATCATTCAATCATTCAATCAATGCATTGAATGCCGACTATTGACTCATATGTTAGACAATGGATGGCATGCATTGACTGCATTCATATCACATTCAATACAATACTTTATAATACTTTTATTCATTTAATTAAATAATTTATTTTATACTAAAACTATACATTTAAATGCATTTCATTTCAATTATTAACTGAAAATAAATATTTAACATTGAAATCACTAATTGATTGTTATTTATGAATTAATTATTTTTATCATTTCAAATATTATAATTTCAATTTTTTCAATCAATCAATTTCTATATATAGTTATTTTATTATACAAATTATATTAACAATTAAATATCATATACCATATGTACATATTAAGAATTTTTTATTAATTTAATAAATTATAATATATTATTAAAATTTATTAAACATGTATTGTTTGTATCGAATACACTAATTACTAATAAAATATAGTATTATGTATCTTATAATAATAATAATTAAATAATAATTTTCAATTAATATTAAATTTAAATTTAATACTAAATTTATAAAAATACTAACAAAATATGTTTCAGAAATTTAATTCATAAGGTTTTTGTCAGTTTATTTAAATAATTTAAATCATTATTAATTATGTAATTGTTTTGAACAAATATTTTTGTTTTTTTTTATATTTTTTTATATCAAAATAGACTTTATTTGCTATTTTATGGTAAACAATTCGCATAATAATTATATATTGTTATAACATTAATAATGCATTGTAATTTCATATAAATGAAAATATATACTATAGTACTAACTTATATAACAAATAAATTTAATAATAATATTTCATTTGATATGAAGCATAACAAATAAAAAATACTAAATATTGTATATACAGTACATAATGCATTCATATAATTATATTGAAAATACAGTATAGAAAACTACTACTATATTAATGTAACGGTATGTCAATAGTGAATATTATAATTAATATATAAATTATTTGTAATGTATAGTAAAAGACGGCAAATATTTAGATAAGATATAATTGGTTTTAAAGTGAAAATTGTTTTTAAAAAATTAAAATACACAATAAAAAAACATTGCATTGATATATAAATAATGTGTGGGATTCGTGGCATAAAATTATTATACAGAATATTATGGTTTATAAATGATTACAAAACACACGAATTTGTTAGGAATCGTGTGTTGAATCTGACTATAGGTTTAAATACAGTATTTTGAAGGTTAAGGTTTCAGTTTAGTGTTTGGGGTAAGTATAGGATGCGCAGTGAATACTAGAATCTATGAAATACCTACCAGTGCTATGCTATGCTTGTGCTTATATAATTGACATACAATATAAAAATTGGTAACAATTCAACACAACAGTAAATTTAGTTAACATTATTGTGTAAAATCATAATTACGTAAAGATTAAGTCATGTAAACGTCAAGACATTTCATTCAATTCATTCAAGTTTTAATCTCAAGGTTTCTGTATTTTTATGTGATTTACAAGTGTTTTGTTTTATTCATTGAATACATTGTATAATCAAGTGTTACAACAGTGTAACTGAAAGAATCTGTGGTATGAAGAGAGTGCCGATACCTTACAAGCGAACGATGGCCATCAGGTACTCGGATCCGGGAGTTATTGACGAAAAGATAGTTCAATTGCAACGGGTTATTGTCAACACACAAACCAATCGTAACAGACAATTACCCGGATATCAATTGATGACAAATCCATTGGATAAGCAAATACCACTTACCAATGACAGGCTTTACTCGGGCATCGATTGTGATGAGGTTTATCCTAACTTATTCATCGGTAATGAGTATGTATTATAAATCATAGTATAGTATATGATATAAAATTAAATTCATTAAAATTTAATATACATTTTATGTCAAATTCTAATAATAATTATAATTAGAGTAAAATCTTAAAGATTTGTTTGTATATTAATATATAAACAGTTATATTTAGATACTCCCAGTTTGCGTTTTTCAAAAAATATTTTTAAAAATGATTTTTTGTCTTTATATTTTTTAGTTTATTATTAACTTTAAATTGCATCATCAGTTATTTTTATACAATATTTGATTTGAAACCAATTTTCTGAAAGTACAGTACAGTACTTATATACTTAATAGTAAAATATTTACATTAAAATATTTCAGAGCCAGTGTCAGAAACAAGGCTTACTTGAAAATGATTGGCGTAACACATGTTGTCAACTGTGCTGAGGGTACGGGCTTTACAATGGTATCGACGGGTCGCGCATACTATGCTGACGTTGGTATACAATACATAGGCATCAATGTGTTGGATGTACCGCACGCACGAATTTCCGGCCATTTTCATGAATGCGCTAATTTTATCGATAAGGCTCTCAAAGAAGGAGGACGTGTAATAGTGCACTGTTTTGTAGGACTGAGCCGATCGGCAACCATTGCCCTCTCATATCTTATGATTAAGAAGAATATGAACGCAGAGGAAGCTCTAAGAACTGTCAAAAGGAATCGTGAGATTCGTCCAAACGATGGATTTTTAAGACAATTATTAGCATTGGAGTCGAAATTATATAAAAACTAACAGAAAATTCATTTAATTTTATTAACACATATAATGCAATTTTCTTCATTTCATTATTACATTATATGCATAACTATCTAATAATAATTATATTATAATTTTGTTACAAATTTATTAATTAGTATTAACTGCGATAATATATATATCAAAAGGACACACATTTGTTTATACGAAATATTTTATTATTCATTGTTCATTAATAAATTGAGATTTGGTTTTTAACAAAATAATAATAATAATAACGATTATATATATATTTATACAATAGTTAGTAAAGTTTGTATAGTATATCAAATAAAATAAAGCTTTTTATACAATAATAAAGCATAAATGTATTTAAAAAAGAAATTAAATCATATAAAATATTTTTTCAAAAGTTATTTATAAACAGTCATTGATTTAATGGTAAACTTATAGTTATCTAATAAGCGGTTGAGAATCACAGTCGCTCTGAGATAATGAGGGAATGCTTTCCAATTCAATGTTAACTGAATTTGAAGACAACGTCGGACTTAATGGCTGTTCATTGGATGAATCGGTAGATGAGTTTGGGCTCTGACCACCGCTTATCACTTCATCTTTATTCTGTTGAATAGATCCAGTATTTTTCTTATTGTTGTTATGATTATTATTATTATTACTGGAACTATCATTATTTGGAATTTGATTGTTAGTTTCGTTATGATTTGTGTTACTATTACTAGTTTGTGAAGAAACAGTCAAATGAGGACAAGTGATAGCTGTAGAACTCGAATGACTTATATTCTGTTCATTATCTTCGCCGACAAAATCAAGCGGTGGTGGAGTTGGAGGTCGACGTCGGTTTCGTCTAAGTCTTCTTTGTCGTCTAATTTGACGAATCTGTTCAATGTATGTGTTGTTTCTATCGGTTGGATAGCCGCCCACTGCAGTGGCATAACTGGGTGGTGGCTCACGAAAAAAGAATCCCTGTTCGAGACGAAACAACGGTGTATCCGAATCACCAGTAAAACCGTTTACATTAAAACTTCTGTCATAATTGTATGATATATGTGATGGTGAGGTATGAGTACTTGAGTGATGATGTCTTTCCACTTGTCTCAATGCAATCAGTTTACACGTGCATGAAATTGCTATGACTAATAGCAAACCACATATTAATGATCCCATTATTGCAGCTGTTATTACACTATTTTTGAGACAATTGATTTCATCGGTACCATCGGAACAATCATTCGAGTGATCGCAGGTCCTGATTGTTATCATTTAAAAAATATAAAATTACCATTTGGTTACTAACTAACTATTTATAACACAATATTACTTCACATAATTGGGACAATTATTGTAATGTAATATAACTTAGAAAATGTGTTTCATCTTAATAATTTGACAATAGCATAATGTACTGTATAAAGCACTATAAATTGTTATTTGATATATTGATATTAACAGCATATACATGTATTGTTAGTTTTTTTAATTGCAATTTTTATAACAAAATATTAATAGATTACTAAAGATTAAATACTTTCTACTACTAGAGATTATACTACAGTATATTCAGTTACTGAACGATAGCGTTTAAAATAAAGTCTGTGACATAAGGGTGCGAACTGGTTTTTGCTTAATATCTCTTTAACTAATTGAGCTAGATAAATAAAAATTTTATTAGAAACATGGAATCCTGGGACGTATAACTTAGTATAGTTAGTTTTTATAGATTTAAGCTTATGTAGCTAAGCACCGGTAGGTGCCATATCTCTAAAACTATAATAAATATCTAAATTCTGATAATGTGAATTTAAACTAGGTGAAAATTCATTAGACACGTGTTTCGGTAATTTTTAAAAAAAATTAATAAATTTTAAACAAAAAGCAAAAAAATGTAAAATTTGTAATATTTTGATATTTTTTAGAAAAAAAGTGTCAAGGTATTTTGATATGAAATTAATCTATTATTATTTGTTATTTTATTAGGAATAATTATTCTATTTAGAATTTTTAATTATCATGCTTAGTTTTTGAGATATTAAAGATAAACATTTTTACCATTATATAAATTTAGTAATAAATATAATTAATAAAATTTTATAAGAAAAAATTATATAATGGTAAAAATGTTTATCTTTAATATCTCAAAAACTAAGCATGATAATTAAAAATTCTAAATAGAATAATTATTCCTAATAAAATAACAAATAATAATAGATTAATTTCATATCAAAATACCTTGACACTTTTTTTCTAGAAAATATCAAAATATTACAAATTTTACATTTTTTTTGCTTTTTGTTTAAAATTTATTAATTTTGTGTATAATTTGTTAGGTAATACAGTATATTCAACTAAAAATGTTAATAAAGTAATTTTTACTAAATTAGTAAATTTTCGTGTATGTTATGTGAGGAATGTTTGACTAATTATTATAATAAAAAAATAAAATGATTGTAAAATACATACCAAACGGATCGAATACATCTTCTGTTGGCACACAGAAAGTTTCCGCGTTCTGCGCGACACAACTCAAGAGTACAGTTCTTTTCGTCCGAATAGTCACTACATTCAGGAACTCCATTACATCGTTCTTCAGCTGAATAACATCCATTTCCAGAAGTACAGAGTATCTTATTGTGACATTTACTAAAGCAGCCGATTTCGTCCTCACCGTTAGGACAGTCAAGTAATTGGTTGCACCGTTGAGTGATTGGATCGTAACATTGAGACAATGCATTGGGTCCACATTGAACCTTATTATGAGGACAAATACCACAGTTTAATTCATCAGAATAGTCCATACAATCAATAGTTCCGTCACATCTTTTGCTTTCACTGTAGCAGATCTGACCAGTTTTGCAGACAAACATATCTTGTGGACAACCGCCGCATCCCTTTTCGTCGGCGCCATTGTCACAATCAAACACGGAATTACATCTTTGTGTGGGAAAAGTATAACAGCCAACAGTTGCTCTCACGTGATTGCTATCAGTATTACATTTCATTTGATTGGCGGACAAACAAATGTCATCACAATTGCTTTCATCTGAACCATCGCCACATTCATCTCTTCGATTGCATTTCCATTTATTTGGTATACATTTGCCATTAAGACAATGATATTCATCGGATCTACATTTGGCAGACTTAGGCGCACCCGTTATGTATGACAAATGAAAACCACGACTACTATCTACAAGAGATGTTTTGTGATATTTAATAGACACACGACTTGATGTCGATATAAATGGTTTAAGTATAAGATTATTGTCTTCACTCCGACCGCAGTATTTGCTCTCGACGTCTGAATCTGAAAATATCTTAATCCAAGAAAAACAACAATTTTCTTCAATGTTTGTCAATATCTTTGAATTTTTATTATGTGGACACTGTTTATCTTCAATATCCAAATCATCAAAGCTATCACAAAAAGACAATTACTATAATACCTGTAATGTATTTTTAAAATGTGATAACAAAGATGTACCTAATAGTGATCACATGATTGGGATTTAATGCCTTTATATCCCATTGACATGAAGTTTGATTGTGAATAGGATTTGGATAATTTGGACTTTCAATTGATCCCCGAATGCCAGTCAACTCCTCGATTGGTTCGCAATGTATTTTCTTGAGCACTGGCTTTGAATCAATCGACGCAAAGGCCAAACCAGTGATAGTGTGGTTATTAACGGATCCCTTAGCAGACAATATCGTATCCAATATCCTCAATGTGTTTGAATGATCATCGCTGGCGTTAACCGATTTGATTACGATTGCAATCAATACGTAAGTGACTATAATTAAGACATTTTATAGTTCATGTCTTCATTAAAACATAACAACAATTACCTAATGTTTTGTTCAACGATTGAAACAATTGATTCAAATAATAATAATAACCACTATTTGAATGATTGTTTGATTTGAATAACAACTGAACCAATGATTTATCCATTCATTTGTCGCTTAATTGATGTCTGAATATGAAGTCAATCGATGGTCTGAATTGATTAGAAATTAGTCAAACATTTTAAATATATTTATAATTCAATTACTAAATCATTTAATCACTGTTTAAATCATAATAATTATTATCGACTATACTATCAGTCAATAGTACGACATATTTGTTGATTTTTTAATCATTTTTCAGCTGATTTTCAATGGTTTACACCAAAAGTAGTTCAACAATAATGACGTCAAATACGCATTCAATTCATTGTTTGTATGACTACTAAAGTGACACATATTTGCCATATATTTCACTCAATGTTCAGTAATATAATACATATAAGTATTGCGTTTGAATTAAAACTATAAGTTTGACATTAAATTGTGACTAAAAATAAATACTTTCATCAATTTTTAATAAAATTATCCAAATTAATACAAATTAGTCCAAATTAGTCCTAAGAAATACCACATTATATACAGTATATATATATATATACTAACAATTCAAATAAATAAATTTTATATTTCATAAGTTGAGAGATAAATATAATTTATTAAAAATTATCAAAATTATGATACAATGAATTAAATGAGATTAAAAAATGTATGATTAAAATCAATGATAGATTACAATATTGACAGAAAAGCCATTATTGACCAGATTTAGTACAAGTAGTGCTTAATTGGGTTAACTATCACTAACAACAACAACGACAACGACAGCCACCCACTCGTCATTGTTGTGGCCGATGACCTATATTTGCCACTTTCTCCGTCCGTTATCTCATTATTGTCGATATCATCGGTTTGTGAACATCTTTGACACGACGGCTCATCACTTGTTGTCCGACATAAGTCACAAAACTATTTACAAATTAAAAATATTAAAAAATATAAAATATAATTATATTATAATTAATTTAAATTAAATAAGATATTATACTAACGGTTACGAGTTTAGGCTCATATAAAATACGAGATGTTTCCTGTCTGTTATAATAGTCATAGACAGTGACCGGCACCGGCTTATTGTTGGCCACTCTATGTGTTCTATGGGCCGGAACTGTCAAACATATCTCATCTCTTGATATCTAACAAAAAATATATAAAATTATTAATTAATTTATTGTTAATTTATTGTTAATTCAAATGACTAACTCTATCAAAATAGATGATGACATTAGTGTCACCATTGGATGTGTCTATTCTCTTGATATGCTTATCCCGTGTAATACTTGGCAGAGCTTCAACATCGGCTACATATCCTGAGGGCAGTTCCACTTCCATGACTGCCATATTAGTAGTGTTTCCCTCTTTGTAACTAATTATCAAAATATTAATACAGTATTAATTAAAGTTTAACAATCATTTTGATTGATCACTAACTGAGTGCAAACACTTAATTGCAGGTAATTATCAGTCGATGTCTTATCGATAATTGGATTCAAGAAGAATGCTGGTTGTTCAGCAGAAACGGCTAAATTGTATTGCCATGAGATCTGAACAATGGCCGCACCAAATCCCGTAGCTTCGACCTCAACATATTTGGTTGAAACGGGAAGTTCAATGCGCTGTAAAATAATGGCATTATTGCTATCGATTCGCATATTTTTTGTGTCCCTTCTGTCGTCGGCTTTATAATTGAAATCAACATTCAATGAGACGGTTGTCGTTGATATCCTTTGTGCTAATCCTCCCAACGCTTGAATGCCGATAACTGTGTCCTGAGTTGAAGAGAAGCCGCCGTTTGAGTTTTGTTTGGAAATAAGCCAACGAAGCACTGGAACGGCATTTTCTAAGTCACTTCTGGCCACTAAAGTCAACAATGCATAGGATGTCATCTCAATATCATTAGATCTCGGATAGAAAAAATGTGCCGATTGTTTGTCCGTTTGATTTGTTGCTTCCTCCCTGTCCTCCTCCCACCACATATAGTCTGTACTCTTTTTGGCGAAACCTATCAAACGATTGAATGCACTTTCACGGTATGGACTGTCAGCTAAATGTAAGGCATAAGTAATGATCGCTAAATTGTATGGATTTCGTGAGGTTGTCATCTCATTCCATATAAAACTCTCAGTTTTTGATATTTCAACCTTTCTTTCTCTTTTAGAATTTTTATCCTGAAGTATAGCAATCAATACATAAGCGGCCAACTGAGCCGATCCAGTGCTACCTCCGCCTTGCATTGGCTTATAGTGTACTTCTCCCGGTTCACTGAAACTGCCGTCAGATTTCTGTCTATTTAATAACCATTCGATTGATTTGTCGATCACTTTCTGGTCGATATCTACCAAAGGTTTTGCCTGAATGAATGATTTGATGACAAATGCAGTCAACCACGTGCTGCCACTTCTGTCACTGTTTCCAAATGCACTGAACGAACCGTCATCTCGTCTGTAAGTCAGTTCCCTTTGATAACCGCTTTCTATATTAGAGATGGCTTTAGATTTGATGGCTGGAGTCAAACGATTGGCTCGACTCAAGTAATCCAATACAACAATATTGGGAACAAAATTACTGATATAATACAAAAATATATATAAATATTATAAGTTTAATATCAATTATTACTAATAACTTACAGCATATTTTGTTCGCCACAACCGTATGGCATACGAAGCAAATCGTCTAAATTATTGACAGTCGGACCTAAAATATCTCCAATTCCTGAGATACTTACTCTTTGAGAATCAGGAACTGCATTGTTTGGGATCGCAATCGATATATTTCTTTTGACTTCTTGAGGAGATCTGTTTGGATCTTTGAGTTCCACAAGAATTGCTTTATTAAAGTATTGTGTTTGACCTTCAGGTTTGACCAACAATTTTCTTAATATGGAATCTCCAGCATTAGGTGCCGTAGCCGTCACTTTGATATCAATATAACCGGTCTTTTTTGGTGTTATCAAGAAAGTGACGGCCACTCCATCATTGGCTCCAATCGATACATATTTCTTGCGCTGTAACTGACTGTTAGGTTCAGCAAAATTGATATCATTTGCAGCATTTGTAAAGATAAAGTCGTCGTTACGATTATCCATTACGACTTCTGCTTCAATTGGTTTATTAAAATAATTAAAAACTATGGCCTGAAGTGCTATGGATTCGCCTCTTATGATTGAATAAGGAAGAGACAACTTTACGAAAAACGGTCGAAAAACGGTAACCTTTGCACTGTTGGATGCAATACCCAAACCTGTCACGTGATCCATTGCAAAGGCACTTATAAACCAAGAGGTTATGGTGTCTGGGATTGCACTCGTGATTATAGCACTTCCATCGGAACTATATTTATTTATATTTTATAATTTATAAGTAGTAAAAAAATTTTAAAAGAAACAATATTTAGAAAAAATAAGATCAAAAAAGTAAAATCAAAAGAAATCGCATTTCTATACAAAGCAGTTAACAAATCTTATGAAATAATAATTGTTATGCAAACAGTCGACTAATTTTTGTTTTAAATACCCGGCTGTTTGATTAGTCCAAAGCCATGTTTCGGGAAACTCTTTTCGTAAAACTATTCGAGTTTTTGGCTTTTTATACAAATGAAAGTCTGGCGGTTGTAGTCTTTCCTCAAGAATAAAGTCATCGAGTCTTATATTATCAGTGGTCGACACTATAAACATATATATATTTATATATAGCATATTGTTGTCATATATATATATATGTTAACTCTGTCTTTTATTTTGATAATTTTTAAAAAAACAATTATAACACAATATCTATATTTGTGTATATAAAACACACATAAAAGATATGAAAGGACATACCCTGAGGACGGGGAGCATTCATAACAATGACTCCTTCTCTATTTGCTCCGTAAAACAATCTTTTTCCGTTTCCTAAATTATTTTAAACATTCAAAATATTTTTCTATTTTTTGTTTGTTTATTTGTTACTAGACTTTCATTCAGATTATTGTATTAAGTGATTAATTGATTATATAATTTGTTAATCAATTAATTATTAAATCTCATATTAATTATATTTAGTAACTGCTTTGCAGAGAATTGCAGGTCAAACAAGTATTGTTACGGTTAGATGTAAAGCAAATGCAAGTGTCAGTTGAAAGCTATTAATATATTACAATGCAATGCATACCCAGTTATGGTTGAATTCCATAACCAAGTTTCAGGAAAATGTTTTCTAATTTTGTTTATTTCATTAGTTTGCTTGTTATTTGTCGATAAGTCATTTAAGCCAAATTTGGCGACCATTGGCACTGAGGCCTCGTCCACAACACCGGCATCGGTATCCGTGTCGAGCACTTCATGCATTCGGTAATGTACTATATATAAGCAAAGCAGACATTTGGGGCAAATATTTTTTTTAATAATTTTTTTTGTGTCTTAAAGATTTAAAATTTATTTGGAATCACTTAAAGATATATAAATAAACAAAAAATATCATTAATTTTTTTTTGTTAAAAACAAATAATAAAACAAATCGATTCATTTAAATGACTAAAAAACATTTAAATAATCATTGAATATAACTTTTAATATAATGCATTATTTTATACCGGTATTAAAATTCACTGATAAAATGTTAATGCAAACTTAATTTAATATGTAATTGAAAGTAAATGTATAGATGCAGAATATATTAAATATAAAAAATAGATAATTTTCAAAAATCTACAGGAAATTTAAGTCACGCCAATTCAATCAAAAAACCCATTTACCAATAAATTATAAAATAATATTATTTTATAAATAAATAAAATAAAAGTTAGTTTAATGTAAACTTAATCTGCTTTGTGTGAGACATGCGATTCATTATAGAGTATAGCAAAAGCCAATTACCCGACAATAGTGTTATTCCAAAGCCATGTTTCGGGAAAATGTTTCCGTAAATTAATTTTAATATCTGAAGACTTGGCCATTAAATCATTATCCGAAGAACTCATTTGTGATACAAACCTATCTCTGTTTGAATCAATTTCATCGGATAATGGCATTGATAATGGCATACTTTTTCTTCTATACCAAACTATCATTTTTTTATTAGTAAAGTTAAGTTATAATTTGTTTTATAATTAATGAGTAATGATAAATTTTACTTTAGTATTTTTACAGTATTTATATTATGTTTCTATACAAATATCATATTAAAGACCTTGTTTTAAACTATAATTTATTTTTAAAAAACTAATGTGACATTTATGGTTAATTATGCGCTAAACAGATAAGCGATTAACTACTACTGTATATACTATATGTACTAAATATGGAATCATTGCATTACCGGTAAATGTTTAGAATTTTGCTATATTTGTATATAAGTATTATAAGTATTATAAGTATTATAAGTATTATAAGTATTATAAGTATTATAAGTATTATAAGTATTATAAGTATTATAAGTATTATAAGTATTATAAGTAATATTTGACTATAATTTTTTATTTTTTAAATCATAAATTCTAGGAATCTAAAAGTTTTAATCATTTTGTTTCACTTCATTAGAAACATTAAAAAATATACTAATTTTTTATGTTATTATAAAATAAATTAATTGATATTATGTCAATCATTTTAACGTTATGATTGTGTATTAAATAAATTAATTTTTAAAAAATTATTAAATGTTATATTACGTGCCAAACGTTAAATAGATAAATAATAAATAAAATATTAATATTACAGAATATAACACTTACGTAATTGTAGAGTCCTGTGGACGAGTCCATTGGATAGTATGACAACACCCGAGTCGTCGAATATCTCCCCTGTAGTTGAAGATCCCGGCCACCAAAGTGACCGCTTGTTACGATACCATCGCGCGAAATGTCTGTTAGATGTCTTTCCCGTGTCATATGTTTGCAACTCATTGATCACATCCTGTTGTGTTATATCATTACCCGATTTCAGTAACAATACGCTCTGATCAATACCGAGGACACCAACGTATGCATTAGGTTTGGTATCGACCCTCACATTAACCATAGCACCCGGTTTTGTTTGTTTGACATTTGTATTAATTGTCACTTGGGTTTGAAACACTCCGTCGACATCAAAGTTTAGAGCGTCGGCCACCACTTCTTGATTATCTTTGCGGACATAATAGCAAACTATACGAGCATTTGGTGCCATTCTTTGAGTGGCCATTAAACTGAACTCAAAGAAAGGACTGTTGGGTACATCAATACTTCGGGCTAATACTATATCTCCTCTTCCCATAACTTCATAAACAATTCTATTAAGAGGTTCAGTAGAGTTAACCATAAATCTGATCTCTTCTCCAACTTTGGCATCATTTTTGTCAACTTTAATAATTTGAATAAAATTATTTGAAGGCGACTGTGCGCTCTCTATGCTTTCAAAATAATATGTTTGTCCTCTATATTCAGCTCTGAGACCCATAACTAAGATATCCTTATTTTTTGGCGGATATATTTCAAGATTAATAATTCCATTAACAGGAGTTAATAATAATGTGTTGTTCCACTCTTCATCATTGTATGAGAAGCCGTATCTAAGTCTAAGTGGAGGACCATTTTCATCAACAGGTTTGTCATCCTGAAAGGCCACTTTCAAAAATGCCGTATATTTGAGTCCCGGTTTAAATGTTTTGGATGTCTTTATGAGTTCCACTTTAACCTCTTTATCATGAATTTTGACAGTATTAGACTTATTATATTTTCTTCCCGTCAAACCTTCCTCCACGAGTGCAAAAAACTCTATTTCCCGCTCAAAGAAATCTGTCTTTAGATTTAAATCTCTAACAATATTGACGGGTATGTCAACACTTCCATCGATGGTTGTCTTAGTCTGGAACTGTTCTAATGGTCTCACAGACAAAATATTATATCTGACTCTTGGCTGTACTGTTAAAGTCACTTCTCCTTTAACTGGTTTTCCATACGTATAGATAGCCTTAACAGTGGCCACGACATCGGACCGATTATAAGTAGCATATGGGGGCAGTAAGACCTCGACATCAAATGTTGGTAACACATATTCTGCTACAGTAAACGATTTTTCAAATTTTTGACCAAATATTTCGACAAATATACTCCAATCACCGAGTATTGGCTGATCCGACAGTTGAAGCTCTTGAGACACAACACCTCTTGATGTGAACACTCTCTCCCATTGTTTAATTCGGTTTCCTTTTGCATCCTTTTTATCAAAACAATAATTATTTTAAAAGTTTTTAATTATATTAAAATATTTTGTTAGATATAATCAAACCTTTATATAAATATCAATAGATCCGGTGACTGTAGGTCTCAATAAGGGATTAACTACAACAGCTCTGAATTGGACCAATTGTCCCGGTTTATAGATAGCCTTATCTGTTTGGATAAAAACCGATATACTTTTCTGTTGGTATTCGAGATTTGTTTCATTCTTGAACTGGAAACCACCCCTTCCGGTGACAATTAATTTATAGTTGCCTTTAGACCACTCGCCGATTTCCAGATTTAATATACGTGTTTCCGATGGATTGACAACAACAGTCTTACTGGCGCTATTGAATAGACCGCCTTCAGATGGACCGCTCACAGTAACGTCCACTTCGACCGGTGCGGGCGAGTCATAGATTGACACACTTACGTGATAATCGGCATTTGGCCTCAATTTAATTGGCGCTACAACTGTATAGGTTGAGGTGGCCGCCTCACTGCTAAAATATTAATAATTTTTTATACATATTTATATAACACACATTTAATGTGAAAATAGATATAAAAAATATCATTAAAATAAAAAGTAAATTACAAATTACTTACACATGACTTGTGATGAATGCAAATATCAAAAGTTTGACAAAAATTAGCGAAAAGTGCTTTAAATGTTTGCAAAACATAATCACATAATATATATTTTTCACATATAAAATATGTTTTTACATAAGTTTTTTCACTTTACATAAAATTTAGTTGACTATCAAAATGATAGGCAAATTTTTTTTCACTGTTTAAATCGCTTCCCGGTATATTTAAAGTTGTTGAACAAATTGTTGTAACAAAACTATCAATTTTCTGTAAAACACAAATATAACTCATAATTTTTTATCATTGATTTGTTTATTATTATTATTATCAATAGTTATCATTCATTTTATTTTGTTTGTGTGGCAGAGAGCTGGCGATCCATTGAACAGGAAATCTATGTGTTTACTGATATATTCTGTTATATGTATGACTTGATCTCAAAAAATATTACTCAAGAGTATTATACCTCAAGAGTTGTTTGACAACTATATATATATATATATATATAATATATATATATAATACTATATGTGTTTCATAGACACTGGCGTTTGGGTCTTTACCTACGCTTTGCTATGAAATCACTTTCAAGGTTTGAGACTTATATAGAAGTTTATTATTATTTTTTGGTGGGAGTTGTATATTAAGCATACCATTCATTGCATGAATAGTTAAATTCTAAGCTAAATACTATAGTAGAGTGAAAAATATATATTTTGAAAAATATTAAATTTAAAATATTATTTTTAAGATTTAAAGTGTTAAATACCACTCAAATAACCAGTTGTGGTGATGCCTACACTACTTATATACTGTATTTGTCGATATCAAGTAATTATCAAATTTTCATTTCATATTAACAAATTGCTAATTCAATAAAAAAATACATAACTATTTCAACATACAATACATTCAATATTTTCTGACCTTTTAGTTTGAATGACTTTCAACTTAACAATCAACTAACGCCTAATTTATTTATTTCTATTTATATAATTTAATTTGAAAAATAACAATTTTATACAATATTATAATTATTATAATTAAATTATTTTAAATAAACTAAAGTAAATGTTAGACAAATATTTATGTTATGAAATTAATATCAAAAGTTGACTCTAATTTATATTTAAAAAATAAAAATCTTCCAAATCAATCAAACATAGAAAAAATTATCAAATTTTATGTAATTGATAAAGTTTTTAATTAAAATAAAATATTACTTTTAACATTCAATTGTATTATTAATTTTGTAAAAATATTTCCTTTCTCAACAAACCTATCTATTTTTTCTAGTAAAACAATAATGAAAATTGTTAAAGTTGTGAAACCAAAAGAGTTATATAATAGAGTAAAAATAATTTTTTTTTTGAAAAACAATAAAATTACACTCAATTTTACAGAATTTAACGGTATATTGTTTTCTCAACACATTCTTGATATTAGGTTTTAAATGATATTTTATTTATATTTATATATATTATATACAGTATATTGAGAACATGAGAAGAGATAAAGTAAAATATGAGACATGACTTCAAACAGACAGACATTTAATTGAATTGTTATGAACGACACAAAAGCAAATAATAATAATAAAAATAATTTAAATTTAAATAAGTTTTTATCCCAAACCGTCCCTATTATCTGCTCTCCCGACTCTCAATTCAGCATTTATTTGTGCCAAATATACTGTATATAACATATTAGATGTATAAATGAGAACTTGTGTATTGAAAAAATGTTTGGAGGCTAACAAATAAATATCATAAATAAATAGATCGCATCCGTGTCACTAACAAATATATTTATATTTTCATTAACATCTCATGAAATAAATTTCAAAGTTTAATTAAACGGTAATTTTAAAAAATGTTTTAGTTTATATCAGTGTGTTTCAAATAAAAAACGATACTAATTAATTAAGCAAAATGTAACTAAATATGATAATAAGCTGTTATAATTTTATGTATTATACAAATTATGTAATAATAAAACAGTAAACTCTAAAATATAAAATAATATTAGAAAAAGAAATTAAAATTTATTGTTCAGTTTATTTATTTAAAATTATATATATTGAAAATATAGGTAACAATAAATTAAAGCGATTATAACAATTTAAATTATGATTATAGTGTTTATTCAATATATTATTATACATTATATTGAAGTCATGCTTTTAAATTGTAAATATTTATAACAATAGGGTTTATAATATAATGCATAATACTATATAAAATAATATTAGTGTAAATTCATTGCACAACACTTAAATAAACAGTATATATAATATATATAATAATAAACCAGATTTCTCAGTGATTTCTTACTTTTTTAAATAAAATAAAACAACACTATATAATAATATTATAAGAATAATAATATTAAGTTAATATACTATATAGTGGTATATATTATAGTATAATATATAAAGGCATTGCACAGGTCTGGTGTTTTGTGATAAATATATTTAACTTATAATAATAGCCGAATGTAAATATCATATACTAATCAAATGGGTCTCAAACTGCTATATCATAGACAAAATATTGTTTACTTTTGAAAATGAGCATGCTTAAATAAAGGTTGTCTCCAATAATTTTATATAAAAACTAGTATTATCAATCAAGTGAGAAATCACTCAATAAAAATGTTGAAAAATAAAAAACATAAAAAACAAAGTGTTATTAAAAGTGAATTTCAAGAAATTTTTGATTCAATTGATTCATTAAATATAGATTCAAATGATATTCTTAATTTAGATTCGATACAAAATATAATAAATTTTTCGCCAAATAATGATATAAATCGACAAAATTATAAAAATAAATTTATTAATAAAATAAATTATAAATTAATATTAGTTGTTATATTTATTATAACATATTTATCTAATATTTATACAGTCCAGACATTTACCAAATTATGGTTTTGGTTATACAGTATATCAGACCCAAAGAGTATCTACTGTACGATTGCAATGCCGGGTGGACTACAAAATGCATTTATGCCTCAATTTGATTGCAATATTTGCGCTAATCTTAAGAATATATCAAAAGTTTTTAATATAACTCAACAAGAATTTACTGAAAGGTAATCTTTTTTGCATAACTTTTTAATTAGATTTGTGTTATAAATAAATAATAATTTTATAAATTTATGATATAATTATTATTTATTAAAAAATACTAAACTTACATTTAAACAAATATTTTTTTATTTATTAATGCAATTAATGTTTTTTTAATTGAATTGTTATCTATAAAATTATTTTAGCTAATTTAAATAACACATTTAAACTATAATATAAAAAAAGTTTAAATACTTACAATTTATGTCCAATAAATCAAAGAATATTTTTATGAAATCTATAATAAAAATAAATTATACATTTAAAAAATTAATTTACCACTCATTTTATATAAACATTATAATCAATTGGTCAGTTGGCAGACAGTATTTACATACTGACACATATAACTAAAGTAAGTATTGCTAATACATAAGTTAAAAGCAATTGAAATTAATTACACTTTGAAATGACAACACTATTCAATATTTATTTAAAACCACTAAAAACATGTTATTTTGTCAAATATATGCAACGCTTGCGCTTAGCGTTTAATCTTTAATTATTTAAAAACCAATTTTAAACATTACTATATATTATTGCAATCAAATGTAAATATCATATGTTTGATAAATTATTTTTAATATATTATAATATCATAGTTTTAATGGTTATAATTGTAATAAATAAAATATGAAAAATTGGTATTATTTATGATATTTTAATTTAATTATTTAAATAACTTAAATAATTTTTAGGTTTTTTATATGTTAAAACATAATTTAAAGCAGTGATACAACTTTTATTTGCTAATAAAATATTTTTATTAAAAATTTATTATTCTGACAATTTGTTTGTTTACTTAAATAAATTTTAATATCCATAAATTTTTGAAGTTATTTTTATATAAATATTTAATTAATAAGTTTTTTTCAAAAAATAGCACGTATGCTATAAATATAATTAATTTTATTATGATTGATAATTTAATAAACAATTAACAATTGATTAAAAATATATATAATCAACTATTTAATAGTATTTATTGTAATTTCTAGATATGCTTACAGTGGAGTACCGGTCGTAATAATGGACGCAATGACTAATTGGACGGCAACTCATATATTTTCGTTTGAATATTTTAAAGAGATATATCCGGATGACAGTCCAGCACTTGATAACTATGAAAGAAACTGTCAATTTTTTCCCTATAAAACTAATTTTACAAGTTTAAGACAAGTGCTTAATATGGGAACTGAAAGGGCACAGTTATTAACAGGCACTGAACCCTGGTATATTGGATGGTTAGACCAAACTATATATATTTAGCATCTACCGTATTTATATAAACTACATGTCTCATAATCATTATTAACCTTAAAGCTATTATTTTCATATACATATACATTATTTATTAATTTGTATAGTATATGCACAATTAAGTTTATAAATACAGTACAATACAGTATAATACACTGCTAGTATAAATATGGTTTATATTTATTTTATTTTCATTTAATACAAATATAAATTTCCGCTTATAATATGCTTAATAACTTACAATCTATAATTCCAGTGTATTTTGAATCACTTTTTTGTTGCTGTGATCACAAAGTGTTGGTTAGCAAAAACAAAGTATTAATTTATTAGAAAACATGATTTTTTTGAATAGCTTTGTTTGTTTAGCAAATCTGAAAAACCGCGATAACGAGTGAATCAATAGATATATTATAAATTATAATAATAGGTAAAAATAATTATTGTTAAATCTATAAAATAAAAATTATAAACTTTATCCATGTTTAATAAGAGATACTTTTGCGCATATAATTTAAATAATTTAGTGACACTAATACTAATTTACAATTACTAAAATTTATAATCAACATTAATTACGGATGTTAATTAACAGTTATTTTTAAAATTAATAATTTAAAAAATAGTATTAAAAATTCCAGAGTTTACTAATTATTGAAGCAATGATTTAAAAAGGATGTCAAAACTTGAAATTCATGGTTAGATAATTAGTTTTTATTGTTTTATTATAATTTATATAATTATGAATTATAAAATTACGAAAAAATAATGAAAAAAACAATGTTTAAAACTAACTTGTAATAGAAAATGAAAAGTTAAAATTATATATAATTAATATATTGTTACCATAAAATACAAAAAGTTATAAAATAATAATATAATATCTTAATTAATCTAATTTTAAGATAATGATGAAAAACATTTAAGTATTCATGAAAAAAGTTACTTAAAAATAGTTTTAATGAATTTCTTTTTAAAAATTAATCCGACATTTTTAATAATTATGTTAATAAATTAATAATAGTTTTTTTTTAAATAATTGCTTTAAAGTGTAAATTTAATATTACTTAATATTAATACTGTAATTGTAAGTTTTGATTCATGAAAGGGTAACTACTGTGGATATCACAGGTGGCAATAGATTTAATTACTCTAACACTTATAATATATTTTTTAATAATATTTAAGTTTAATAAACTGTATTTAAAATTAATTACTATTTTTTAACAAAATGCTAACATTTTTATATACTATATATTTGACTTAATATTTAATGAAATTTAAATTATATGTAAATTAAATCAAAAAAATTTAATTTTAAAAATATATTTTTTACATATTGACAAATAATATTATAGTATAAATTAATTTAACTATTGAATAATTAATAGAAACTTAATTGTAAATCAATCTTATTATGCTTTAGGAGTAATTGCGATCCATTGGTATCTAATATATTGAGACAACACTATCGGAGACCTTATTTTATGCCACAAGACTCTGAGGGCACTAAAATGGATTGGATATTCATGGGAAGTCCTAATTATGGGGCACACATGCATGTATGTATCAGATTATACATCAATATCAAAATACTATATTATTTTAAATCCTAAATAATATTATACAATATATTACATTATTATATTATATATTATAAAAAATTGTTATTTGAATATTTATTATTTGTTTTTAACTAAAAAAAATATTTTGTGGTTTCTATTATTGAATGCATTAAATAACAATTTCTGAGAATATATTATAGTATTGTCGATGAGTTTCAAGGATTTTTTAAAAAGGAAATCATTTTTGGTAATCAATGGAATCAATTAATTTCATCAAAAAATGTTTTTTTTGTCAATCAATCATTTATTATATTATATAAAACTTAAGTTATAAAATATATTTATATAGTGTTAAATAAAATATATTTAAATTATAAATATTTATATATCTTAGTTTATCCTTGTTAGAATAGAATTTATAGTATTATTAAAAATAATTATAAAATAGCTTGGTTATTGCAAAATTATAATTATATTTATAGTATTATTATGCATTTTAATAATGTAAATTAATAAAAATGATTATAACCACTAAAAAATAACTAATAAATTAATAAGCATAAAGTATTATTTTACTGTAAATAATCATCATTTTATTTCTATTAATCATCATTTTTAACAATTATTTTTTAGACTAAATTTCGATTTAATTATGATAATATATTGTTAAATATTATAAACTAATTCCTATTTATTAAATTTATATTTACTTACATTGTAAATATATATATATATATTTATAACTTAAAAATAGATATTTAAATTGGGAAATATTTATAAATTTGACAAAATAAATTAAAACTAATAGATAGACCACGTGGGTCACCCCTCCTGGCAGTCTCAGGTCAGGGGGTCCAAGAAGTGGATTCTGGAACCACCGCCTGAATGTTATACTATATGTCAAGTACTTGAAGTAATCGTTAATTCAGGAGAAATCAGTAATTTTTAAATCTAATCTTTGTTTGTAATTGTAATTCATAAATGTATTTTTAAAATAAGGATAAATAAATACAGTATATGTATTATTATACTCATTATGAGACATTTTAAAATTTATCTGTTTGAATAAATTGTTTAAATAGTATACAATAGATAAACAGTGCAGTATTATAAACTACAGAGAGAGAGAGAGAGAGAGAGAGAGAGAGAGAGAGAGAGAGAGAGAGAGAGAGAGAGAGCTGTATAATACAATATAAAATAGTATTAAATTTTATCTAAAAAATGATGTCAACAAATACATTAAGAATCAAATTATTTCTCATATATAATGTAATAATATATTTTAGATTACATTATAAATTTAATATAAAATATTTATAAGATAACTTTTGAAACTTAACGTTGGATTTTTCATAGGAAAGACCTATTTATTAATAATAATATTATTAGTAATAGTTTTATTACAAAGAATACAAATATAATTAAAATACTTATTATATATTAATATTTACATACTTTGAACAGTAGGCAACAGTAAGATTAAGTATATTTTTTATTTCATAAAAATGAAAATATGTTAATATTATTTATACTTAAATTGTATTTTTTAAAATATTGATGCAATAATAGTTATAGTAAACATTTTACAAAGTAATAGAAAACGTGAATATAATATAATACAACTTATTAAATTTTTTTTATAACAATAAATTTAGTATAATAATAGTACAGTATGTAAATGAAAATAATTATTTATATCATTTTATAGTTGTTTTAGATACAAATCAATGGTATCATCAAACATTAATTGTAGGTCAAGACATCAGTATTACTATTGGATCTGAATTTGACTAATAAATAAATATAATAATATCATATAATATGATTTATATCTATACATTAAAAGCATAATTTAAAATTAAAAAAAATACTTTTGAAAATATTATATACTTAAATATTTGAATAATATATTTATAATTTTAGAAATATAAAAATAAAAAACAACTATAATATGTACTGTACTTACAATTACTGTATATTTGTTTATAATTAAAGATGAATAGTAATATAATAAACTGAAATACCATATATTAAAAATATTTTATAGTAAAATAATAACTATTTATTTCACAACAACTTTATACACAATAATAAATACAAATATGTATATTATTGTATACCCCGTTAATACTATCAATTGAAATTCCTAAAGCATTTATAATCGGTTTTAATATTTGATTTCCCGGTTCAACAATGTTTATGTAGCTGTTTATTAAATAGCACAGACACTACACTACAATATATAAATTTATATATTACTGTATTATTATTATTATTATAAATTTATGTATTGTTATGTATAAGAATAATAATTTTACAAATAAATTCTTATTTAATAAATATATGTTTTGAGTATTACTTACTTCAACTATATTTTTAAAATAAAATAAACGAAAAATGTTTTATTTATAGCATACGTAAAAATTTGTTTGTACTGTATTATAATATTAAGCAATTTAAATACAACAAAAGTTAATTAAATTTTTATCATTTAGATTATTGGCAATATATAAACGTACTGTAAGTGTGGTTTTATTAACTTTGTTTGTTTGTCTTTATATGGATATTAATGTTTTGGTGTTTTAATTGCAAACGATGTGTGCCTTAAGTTTATTTTTAGCACAGAATAGATTATTTGCAAACAATTTATTTATTTTTCTATAGAAAATAGATTTACAAATACATATATAAACACAATTATAAAATTTTTTAACCCTAAACATGAATAATATAATAAAATTTAGTACAAAAATTTTTATTTTTAGCCACTTTTTCTTAATTTATATAACATTGTTTTCATTTGCTATAAATTCACACCCAATTCACTTCACTTCGTTAATAACTACACTTTAAAAGTGAGTTACAAATAAACTTTTTTCTTGAAATTTTTAAAACTATTATTTTAATAATCAAAATATAAAATACATAATTTATTTAATTTGTTTTTTTCAAGTACTATATCAAGGAAATTAGTTAAATATAACATCAAATAAATATTTAAAAGAAGATAAAAAGTTTTTAAAAAAATTAATACAATACAATATATGTAATAACAACTTAAAGTAATCTTTATATGTATTTTAGTTTGAATATGCATTTAAATCAATATAATTTTTAATGATTTATAAATTGTTGTTGAGATAGTATAATCATAGTTAATGTTTAATATTTATTAGAAATATGACATAATGTAATATTAATGTATTATTAATAAACTAAACGTAATTATATATTAAGACTAATTTATTTGAATTATTATGTTTATATTAAAAATGCAAACAAATTATAATTTAAAAATCACAGTCTGTTTTATTTAAGGATTATTCATTTAGTTTTTACAATTTTCTTGTTTTTCAGATTTTTTTATTCGAGTTATTTAATGATATTTATTTATAAAACTCGATTTTTCTATCAAAAAATGCCAAAATACAGGAAAGACTAGATTCTTATATATAGCTAAATATTTGCACTTTAAATAAGTCTTTTGAGATTAAGTTACTTATAAATGATGAGACAAAATGGATAATTGGTATTAATAATAATTACGGAAAAGGTGTGTATTAAATGTGAATTCAAAATATTTTTTAAAAAATAATAACAATTTTGAAGAAAATGAAAAAAATTTTGACACAAAAAAGTCGACAAATTAAATAAATCGGAAATCAAAAGCTTCATTCATAAAAAAAAGTCTAACACAATACTAATATAAATAATGATAATAGTATTACACAATACTTAAAACAAAAAAAGTGTTGTTTAGTATATTATGGAATATCTCAGTTGTAGCGTAAAGGGAGAGACAACCTGTGGAGCGCTCAGGTATGCTATGTTTGGTAGATATATGTAATGTTTTTTCGATTAACTATGGCTTAAGTAACGGTGAAAACAGGTTTTGTCGAAATGGAAAACGTAAAGCCCTTAAGGCTTTTCTATTGAGTTGCAAACAGAGGGGCAGTTAAGACACTGGCAGTTGAAGCACAGGTAGTACAGTGTCCTCGTTATATAGGAATGCAATACGTAATGATAGACTGACTTTTAATATAATATATTTTTATTATAATATACATCTCAAATACATATAAACCAGACATGGATTATTATATTATTTAATAATTGTTTTTAACTTTAATTTTGTTTATTAATTTTAATAATAATAATAACTTAAAATAATTAATGAATTCAATTAAAGAGTTTGTATCAAACAAACATATTGTAAGTATTAATAAAATTGCCGAATATTTATATATCTGTAATAGTAAATAATTATTAGTTTGTAATAATGGCGATCAGTTTTACAGTTTTTTCATAACTATTGATTTGCTATTAAAAATCAAATTTGGTTTAAACCTTGTTTTGCTTTAATTTTCTATTTTAAGGCCAAATATTTAATACAACGACAATAATAATGAATAAATAATTGTGTGATGAAGTGTTGATGTTTTTTGAATATGACAAAAGTGATGGCTTTACCAGTGGTGGCATTGCTTGTGCTGACCATCGCATCACATCCAGTCATCTCCGACTCGACAATCGATTTGGAGACCAACTCCGACACACTGTATGATACAGAGTCGTTATGTAAGGGCGAGTGGAAGTTCCCATACAATTGCAATACATTTAACTGTGATTACAAAGCAAGTTGGGAGTACTTGGATGACAACGATGAGATCATGTTCACCATTAGCACCAAAAATAGGAATAAATGGACGGGTATTGGGTTTTCGGATAACCAGGCTATGCCTGACACCGATGCTGTACTCGGATTAGTTGAAGAGAGGTTTGATTTCTATCAATTTATTTTTAGACTTTTAACATTATTTTATTATTTTCTAGACTATTATTTTAAATGCAATTAAAAATGCTTTTACATTATATTATTAAACAATTTGAGATCATTAATGAATAATAGATAAGATGTTAAATAACTCATAATTATGGTTATATGTATTGTTATTAAAGAATAGTTACACTTTTAAAGTGTTAACATAATTATTGAAATATTTGTAAAGTTTTGGTTACATAATGATCCTCTTTGTGATTTGAAAATTATAAAAACTAAGTCAACACTCTATTCAATGAAAAACTAAAAGGAAAAAGTTTAGATAAAATTGTTTTTTTTAATAAATATTAAAATGAATATAAAGTTTATCACAATTACTATAGTTTTAATAGTGAACTCAGAAATTTACAAATCAATAGTTTGCATTGAATTTTTAATAAAGTTAATATAAAATTTGGGTGAAGTAACACAATTAAAGGAAAATATATATTGTATATAATTATACCATATAGCCATTTATATATATATAAGTTATATATTTTAATGTCAATTGATTATTTTCCAATAAGCAATTTACTAGTTTAGTTCAATGATATGTATTTATTAAAAAATTTAATTTTAATATTTTTTAGAAAACAATAGATTACATTTGATTATATTAACTAAAATTTTATTTTTTGAATTTGAAAGTCACTGTATTGTAAGTATTATTAATTATGATTATAATTTTAGATCAATACACTAAATATCTAATCTAATATTTATGGTGTGCTATAAATAATAATATTTTTAAATGTTAATCAAAGTCAAGACACGAATTTACATGAATTGAGTTTTGGTGTCATTAAAAACATAACTATTGCCCTAATTTTAAACTTAAAAATTTTAGTTTCATATACTTTTCAAATTTGATATTCTTATTTATAAATTAATTATTATAAATGCCAAATAACATGTGATATCTAATAATTTTCTATATTAAATAATATTGTATAAAATTTATAATATAAATTATTTGTTAGATTATAACTTACTATTATTTCTTTAATATTATATATATACTTGAATTAATGACAGCAAGAAAATGAATTAAATGTTAATTTTTATTATTAAGTAAAATAGTTCATAAGAAATTTAATTTAAAAAACAATTTATTATATTATTGATGTTTTTAGTGGAAGATTCTTTCTAATGGACAGTTGGCTTCGGGCCTATGAAGCGCCTCCATTAGATCAGTCACAAAACCTGTACAATATGTCGGCCTGGCGTGAGAATGGGATCACAACACTTAGATTCTTCAGGAAAAGACTTACTGGAGACAATAGAGACTTCCAGTTTTCTGATACCAACTGTCCTTATCTGGTGTTCCCAGTGATGGGAGGGGTTTTTAATGCCGTTAATAAAAGAATCAGAAAACACGAAACAACTCCTTTAATATCAGACAGAAGGATATGTATAAAAAGTTGTAGAGCACCGACAACTACAACAACTACTGCCAATCCAGTGGCCAAACAGGACACCGACCACAATGTCAATGTTGTAAACAATGAATCTGTTCCTAAAACAACACCTGAAATAAAGTCAACACAACCATCAAATGAAATCATTAAAGATAAAGAAAACAACAAAACTTATAGAATAACAATAAAATTACCGGAAATTTGGACACAAAGTATGAATAATAAAAATTCAGAGACATATAAGACAATGTCTGCCAATATTCAGCAACACTTACAAAATGAAATGCAAACCAAAAAGCCTCGAGAGTTGAGTAAATTAAATGTCAAACAACTCATTGATTTGGAGGCCGACTCTAACGATATGGTGGCGACCTTTGAATTGGATGTTCAACAAAGTGATGACAACAACCAAAACTTAGAAACAACTGTTTTACTAACAAATGTATTAAATAGTATTTTAAGCGATGAATTGTTAGGCGAATTAAAAGTTAATCCAAATTATTTGATAATAGATAACAAAAAAGAAGGTATAGTCTTCAAAAATATATATATTTGTAATTTATTTCAATTTTTTTATATTTTAGTTGAAAGCAATTTCATAAAAGACTTGTTTGGACTCAATTTATTTAATGAGGATCAACTCAAATGGTTTATCATATTTGTTGGTATCGCAGCTTTAATAGTATTGGTTATAATTCAAGCCTGTTGTATGTTATGGAGGGATAGTAGAGCTCGTAAAGAGAAAAATAAAAATGTAATTTATTTTAATTTATTGTTATTATTGTCGAAATCATTATTCAATAATTAATTGTTTAAAAAAAATAGGAACAGAAAACAGCACCGGATTCCCAATGGAAAGATTATGCAGCTATGAGTGCTCGTAATGGTTACAGTGGTTATGATAATTATGGTGCATCTGATGAAAATGATGCACCATTGAATACCAGTGCTAGAAATGACACAATCAATGGTAAAAAACAATATTATAAAAATAATGCCGAAAAAATGCCACATAAATATATGAGTGCAACACTAGAGAGACAACCGTCTCGTACGCACCGACCTAATGACTATCCGAGCGCTTATGCCACTCACGACCGCAAAGAAATATATAATCGTCACTACAATCAGCCCTCATTATCACCACAACTTCAACCAGACTTTTACTTTATGCCACATCAGAGACGATATTCAGGAGAAGTGGTTCGAGTCTTTGTCGACTATAATAATCCTCAGTTTGCGCCTAAATAGACATCATTTAAGAATAGACATCACTAAAGAAGAAAATTCATTTCTAAATGTCATTATTTAATATCAGATTTCAAATACTCATTTCATTTGGTTTTTAAATTTGATAACAAACAACAATTTGGTTATTTATAAGAGCATTATATTCCTCTTTATTTAAATTATACTATATTTGTGTGTTTTTTTTTTGCTCAAATGTTTTGTTATTAAATTATATAAAAAATTATTATTACAAATATTATTATTATTATAAATATTATTATTATTATAAATATATAATTATTATTAAAGTTGCCATTAAGTCACTACATTCAAACAACAAGTTTTGTTTTTCATTTAAAAAAATAAATTATTTAAAATATAAATTTTGAGGAGAAATGCCATTAAATGCAAATTTTATTTTTTAATATATAGCAACAATAAATAAATAAAACTAACTAATAGTCAAATATTATTAAATTAATCTAAATATAAAATAAAAGGCTATTAATTATTAATCTGTTGTCACAACATATTTTGGTTTATATTAATTTTAGTGATTTATAATATAATATTATATATGAAATACTAGTTCTAGTTAGTAAAAAAAGTTTTAAATTAATTTTTTATTACTAGTAATTTGAAAATCTACCCAATTATGAATTTTATAAAAATTTAGTCACAAATAATATATTATTCATATTAAAATTTTTATCAAACTTAGTGTTAATAAATTGATTTGACTACAAATAAATTAAAAAATAATACAGTAATTGTCATTTAATAGTTTAATATTTAATACAAGGCACATATAAATAACTTTTTAGAAATATTTCCTTAAATTACGATTAAATGTGTTCAAAATAGTGTTTGAATAATAACAATTGTTTAAAAATCTTGTCCCGTTAAAAAATATAACCGGTCTAATCCCATCCCGTCCTGTTTTGTCTGCTAATTTTTTTGTGGTCACGTTTTGATCTTATATAAACCAAGAAATTATTTTACACCACTAGTCCCAAAAAACCAGTTGGAAAATGAGTTCATCATAGCTAACGATTCATCTTTTTTAAAAAACATTTGCAAACATTTTTTTTATATTATAAATATTTAAATATAAACTTATTATATAAAACTAGTAACTTATAATACTTTTAGATATAAATTGCAATCGTTTAACTCATTTACAATTCATTGCGTTTTGTTATTTACTATAACTCAAACTGTTTTTGTTTTTTTAATAAATAATTGGCACAATATTTTGAATACCTATTAATGGGAACCACTTAGCAGTTAAACACCTAAAAACACAGGTAGGCGTCAATCTTGAGCTAAATTACTAATCAGTGTTTATATTAACATTGATTTTTATAAAATAAATATTTTATAAACAATTCTCTATTTAATGTTAAGTAAGCGTTAAAATGCACGATAACACAGTCATTGTATAAAAGTAGAAAAACTAATCCTAAATAAACAATTATTATTATTTTTGCCAAATAAATGGATTTATTTTTTCAGACAAATAGGCGTATAATTTACTAAAATAAACATATTATTCATATTTGTTTAATTCAAACTATCATTTTATTGTTATTTTGCTAAAAATGATTTCAAAGAGTGATTATAAATTTTCAATTGTTATTAAAACATACTTACTTTTATACAGTATATACAGTAAAATATTTAACAATTATAATAAATATATATTGTTTTTTGAATAAATTTATATATAGTATTTAATTAACATATTATTTTAAATTATAATTGCCATAAATTCATTTAAAAAAAAAACATTTGAATAAAATAATACATTATATAAGTAAATCTTCTAAATAGTTATCAAATTCTTCATCAATCGATGGCTCGCTATTACCAATAGGTTGTGGTTTTGTCCAAATGTCGTTAACGTTGTTGTCATTGCCTTTATTTGTATCAATTAAAGTGTCAGTTTGTAATTCTTGAGAAGTGGTAGCTTCTGATTGTTGATTATGTCTTTCTTGTTCAGAGATTACTGAATCAGTTCTATCTTTTGAATCTTTTTTGTGTTTTTTCTTGTTTTTCTTCGCTTCCTTTCTTTTTTGTCTGTAATTCAATTTGTTTGAACACTCTTCGCAAAGCCTAAGCTTTACTAAAGCGCTTTTCTTTTCTCCTAATTCTTGATATGTGAACAACACTTCCCAACTCTTAAGTTCTTCTCGAGTGTCGCAACCTTTGGCACCACAAATGAACTGTCCTTTGCCTTCAATGACCTCTTTTTCAGTCCTCCATCTCATCCCAAACTTATTTTCTTTATATCGACTTAAGTCGGAAATACAATACTCTTTGAACAACAAATTGTAATACTTTTTGGCCAACCTTTGACCCCAAGACAGCTCATCTTCGTTAGTCTCATCCCAAATGAATCGGTGATTGTTTTTTAGTACTTCATATTCAGTAACATCTCTGGAAGTGTCTCTTTGAAACTTTGAAGTACTTCCCGGATGGTTAAGGATATACTCATTGACGAGCAGTACATGTCTTTGATAGGCATTCAATGAATACAATCGGTTCCGTATTTGTCTCTCATATTTATCAGTTTCTTCAACGAACTCATTCTTCGACGCCTTTTGTTTTTTACTCGAAGACGACAAGTCTTTTCCACACAAAGACTTTCTTTTGGATTGGCGTTTGTCCTCCGATTCGGATTCGGTTTCAAAGTTGGATTCATAGTCGGCACTCATGTTGTGTGTGTGTGTTGTCACGGATCACATGAGTGATAATTAACGAGTAATAATAGTTGTCATCGATGGTCACAATTAGTCAGTGATTGTTGATATTATGATATTTATGGTAAATGTATGTCATCTGAGATGTCGCTACCATTAGTTGTCACACTATTGGCCAACTCTTGCCATTCAAAGTGCAGACAAATGCCAGCAATTCATGAATATATTGAATGTATTGACAAAAGAGTATATATTTAATACATTTTTCCATAGAATCGTTGTTTGGGTGGACTCTGAATGTCAACCAATCAGTGATCGCTCTCTCACTCACTCATAGTCTCAATGCTCTCAAACTTCTCTCTAAGTGTTTGTCATTCACTGATTCATTCATTCATTCACTCATTCATTCACTCACTGACTCACACACTGTGTCTCTCTCTCTAACTATTACTCAGTCTCTCAGTTCTCTCTCAGTGTTAGACTGTTTGCCACAACTGTTGGCTTTAATTAGCTTTTAGTGAATTGACTGAACATTTCAAACGCTTTTCACAAACTAATCAATTGTTTGCCATTTAAGTGATAATCGCTTTATCGACACAAAGAGTGGCCAAAAATGTCTGAAACGGCGACCAACGATACAACACCAAAGGATGTCGAGACCAAAGATCAGAAAAATGGTGATCAAAACGGAGAAGAAGAGAAAGACAAGACACAGACACCGCCTGTCAAAGAGATGCGCGCTATTGTGTTGACCGGCTTTGGAGGTATTGGTCATCAATTGACTATCACTTTGTTTGCGATGCTTTCATATCTTTGTTTTCGTGTCTTTCAGGTCTGAAATCTGTGAAAGTTATGAAACGCCCGGAACCGACACTTTCAGAGGGAGAAGTGTTGATTAGAGTGAAGGCTTGGTATGTCATGTCTTATATAACTAACCGGTCTTATCATCGATTGATTAGTTAATTATTTATCAACTTTTTTCATTAATTATTGACTTTTTAAGCAAAATATTTATTATAAAATAATTTTTTCCTATAGTTATCTAATAGATAGACATTATATGTGTTTTATAGCTGTCATTAAAAACTGACTTAAATATCATATAATTAAATATTAGGGATTATATTACAATAAAATTGATAGTAATATATGAGATATCAATAGTGATGGATGTGATGGCGTGATTGTGGTCATCACTGACAGATACCCGCATCACTCAATCGATTCCTCACTTTCCAGATGTTTACTAATAAATGGGTGTTGTTTTCAATAGTTATCATTTATTTTCATTTAAAATATTTATTTAAACGAAAATAACTATTTTTTGCATTTATTTTGTTTTATTTTACAATTAAACAAATGAGTTGTTGAGTCATTAAGTTATTTGATATCTTTTTTGTATGAAATTATTAATTGTGATTTATTGCTATTACCGATAATTATAACAATAATAATTATGATTATTACCGGTAAATATTTGGCATATATTTATACATATCTATATAATTGTAATTTTTATGTTAACAGTGGACTTAACTTTCCTGATCTAATGCTGAGACAGGGAGTCATCGATAATCCGCCCAAAACTAAGGCCCCATTTATTATGGGCTTTGAGTGCGCCGGAGAAATCGAGGCCGTCGGCGAAGGAGTGACCGGTTAGTTAACAATTATTGTCTTTATTTGTTGGTATTTTAATATTGTTTGGTTAGGATTCCGAGTGGGTGACCGCGTGGCCGCTTTGAGTGAGGCCAAGGCTTGGGCTGAATTGGTGGCTATAAATACCAAATATGTATACAAAATACCGGCCAAAATGAGTTTTCAGGACGCCGTGGCAACGACCATGAATTATGTAGTCGCCTATGCATTGCTCTTTGGTGTCGGCAATCTTAAGAGTGACCAAACAGTTCTCGTTCACTCAGTTGGCGGCGGAGTTGTAAGTTATAGAGTTATAATTTGATGTCATTATCATTGTGTTGTAATTATCATCAAATTGTGTGTTTTTAAGGGTCAAGCAGTGGCACAATTGGCAAAAACTGTTGGTAACGTAACATTGATAGGAACGGCCACTAAAGCTAAACATGAGTCCATACAAAATGTTACACATCTTATCGATCACACCAATGATTACATTCAGGAAATTAAAAAGTAATTAACAGTAATTAAAATATATATAATTTACTTATGATTGTCAACTGTAGAGTTGCTCCCGACGGTGTTGATCTTGTTTTAGACTGTCTCTGTGGTGACGATGCAAACAAAGGTTACAGTCTGTTGAAGCCAATGGGAAGATATATTTTATATGGTATGCGCTGTAATATTTTTGACAACTTATGAAACAAATGTTTTTTTTATCATATGATAAGCTTTATAATTGAGTAAATAAATACTAATTAATTATTATAAAATTATAGGTACGTCTTGTGTTGTTTCTGGAGAAACCAAAAGCTTCTTTAGTTTTGCAAAATCTGTGAGTTTATAATTTTTTTTATATCTTATGTTTTGTTTTTAGGCGCCTCTAAGTTGACGACTGGAGAGACCAAAAGTTTATTTAGTTTAGCAAAGTTTGTAAGTTATGACACAATCAGTGTTTTTAGTTTAGTCTATCGCTTATCTTCACTGTCTGTGAACAAGTATTGCTTTGAAAGGTTGTGTCGGGTGCTGTCTATAACTAAATTACTTTTATTTATTTAACCACAATTTACCGTAATTATAACGCAAATAACTTATGACCTCTTAACAAACTTTTGTTAATTTACATAATTTCTTAAATAATGAATAATCATTAAAACTAATTGTTATCTGAAACAGTGGTGGCAAGTGGACAAAGTTAGTCCAATGAAACTGTTTGATGAAAACAAGACCATCGCTGGTTTCAATTTGCGTCAACTCTTGTACCAACAGGGAAGAGATGAATACGTGCGCGACATTGTTGACAATGTATACAAACTGTATTCAGAGGGACAAATCAAGCCAGTAGTTGACTCTACGTGGGCTTTGGAGGACATCGCCGACGCCATGCAAAAACTTCATGATCGCAAAAACATTGGTAAAGTAGTGTTGGATCCGTCTCAGGAACCTATTCCTAGACCTCCCGAAGAAGTGATTGAAAAGAAACGCAAAGGAAGTGCTAAAGAAAAGGAAACCAAAGATAAGGACAAAGAAAAGGATAAAGAAAATAAAGAAAGTAAAGACAAAGTGGAGAACTCGGACAGCACTGAGAAGGCGCCAGAAAATGGGGATAACTCTAAGTAAATGATTTTTAATATCCGTTTCTTTTATCTATGCGTTGGAACAGTCATTCTGCCAATTATTTGGAGTTTATTTTCATTTTTATCATAATATTTGAATGATTTTTATGCCAATATATATTTAAAATTGTTTTAAAATGGTTTTAATATTACAAGTATATACAATATATAACTTAACGAAATCTATTGAACAATATTTACAAAAAAGATACTAATCCTCTACGTCTATATTACATCCCATATATAAATATTGTAAATGATATGATATAGTAATTGAATTATTGGTTGAATCTTAAAATTAACATTCCATATAAAATTAATGTAAAAATTGATGTAAAATCGGTTCAAATTGTTGTTCAGTGATTGTCAAACAATTTGTGATCAAATTTTATTTATTTGATGTTTTTAAATGTTTTAAATGTCTGTTAATTCTTAAAAAAACGAAACAAACAACAATTACCACTATTTCTAGTCTATATAATCATTCATTAATAATATACTCAATTTAACTGAAACCCATATTTTTCTGTTAAACATTACATATACGGTATATATTTTTCTTGAGTTTATTTAAATTTCTATCAATGAAAAGAAACCAAATTTTGAATCATTTTTAAAAATAAAGTTTTATCATGTAATACATATTATTATTATTACATATAAGATGTTTTGTATATCTATAAATATTTATTTTTTATTGTAAGTCTATATATTTGTATTTTTATTATTGTCTTTTTAACATATTTGCCGGCAATTGTTGTGATCTTATACACACAAAAATATATATACATTTAGTTTCTATTCATAAAATATACACAATTTATATATTTATAAATACTGTATATTCTTGAGTTTTCTCTGTATTTCTATGTTTATTGTATACTAATATTTGTGAAGTTTGTCACCAATTTTGAAACTTAAATAAGATTATAAAGTCGTGAACTTTTAAATTAAATGGTGCTTAAAATGGATTTGTAATCAAATTAAAACTACATCATAATAAATATATAATTTTATCAAAAAATTGTTTTAATCTAAAATTGAGTATGTACATTTACTGTATCTCATTGAATATAAAATTTTATTTGAAATAAAATATAAATGCTTTTTGTGATGGTTTATAACAAATTTTGAGTAATAATAATTACAATTAATAAATGCAATAAAATAACTTAAAAATATAATAATTAGAGCTTATATTAAATGAAATTAAAATATCGGATAAAATATTGTAATAAACTCTAAACTTAAGGATCAATAATTTCAAAATCAGGAGGCGATGGCGCTGATGGAGTAGTTGGTAGTGATGGCGTAGATGGTAGTGATGGAGCAGATGGCGAACCGGTGTTGAGATTGAGGTGTAAATTAAGTGTTTTGTGTTCTAGCGATTTGTCGAGATTTTGCTCGATGTCTCTGTTAAAGATAAGACTACCCTTTCGGGTGATAATACCTTCTTCTTTCTCATTAATAATCTTACAATTCTCTAACTCAACCTTTGCTTTAGACAATACAGTCAAAGCATTTCTTGTTTGGTGATCACCATCGAGAACAACATCATTCAAAATGACAAATCCTTTGTGAATCATTAGAAGACTTTGAAGTTCTGAAGTTGATTTCAATGAAAGTCCAGAAAATAAAATTCGGTTTGAATTGCAATTTATAAAGATATCTCCAACAGAATCCATGGCCTCAATCACTATTTCATCAACATTTGCACCCAATCCATGAATTTCAATATCCGATTCAATCCAAGGCAATGATGGACACGAATAAACTCCAGTCGTAATAAATATCTTATCACCGGATTTGACATATTTTAATGCTGAATAAAGACTTGTGTGGGACATAATCGAGACATCCATATCGTTGTTTCCCTTAAAATAAAACATTTTTATTATAATTAAAACACAATAACTACATCTAAACTTACATTTATGAGTAAATCTATTATCTCTTTCATTGACTTCAATGTAAATGTTTTGGCAATAATATGCAATTTATTCAGTTTGTCGTCCATTACTTCATCATCCAATCCATTAATATCAGTGCTCTTCTTCAGTGATGATGCTATTAATCTCAAATGTTTGTCTTCAAGTAATTTCATTTCTCGTTCAATATCTTCGAGTCTAAGTTTGAATCTAATTGCTTCCACTAAATCTACTTCATTGATGTAATCAATCTCAGAGTTATCTTCAATACTGACATCCATAGACTCAATTGATTTGAATGAATTGTGTGAATCGATTTTGTCTTTTATACGCCAGGCCTCAGTCATCAATCTTTTAATCCGATTTATAGTCGATTGAGGAATCTTTTTGTCTTTAATATCAAATGCAAGTTCAAGTCGTGGCATAAGTTTACTGTCGACAAAAATCTCTTGACCCGAAACATCACTTTTGGTCAACTCATCCCAAGGACGCCAAAGAAAGTCGTAAAAATAACGGATTTGTTCGATGACTACGGCTGTTCTCTGGTATTGATTATAGTCATCGCCATCACTGATGACATATAACTCAGACAACGGAATGTTAACTATTTTGGTTTCTTTCAACAGTTTCTCCTTTTCGTCAAACTGTTCAACAGTTAGTTCCGACTCTTTTGGATTCAATAACTTGAGGACTACAGCAATCGCTTCCAATCTGTTAAGCAATACGTCCATCACTTCTACCTCAAAGTCATATGCAGACGTCAGACCGTTGGACTCATTAGGAACTGTTCTCCAGATTGCGTGCCAACCAATTGGGTCTATAGATGAGGTCACGTATTGTACGAGACATTTGGTTACTTCATCGGTGGTTACATTTGATAACAAATCATTGAAAAACATCTCTAACTCAGAATGTTTGAAACGAATCCGATAGACTTGAGGACTCTCTTCGGACGCCACAAACGTTTCGTCCATTTTTGCCGAATTCAAAACAAGACCAAAGGTTAAGTAGTGATCAAACAATTGGTCAGAAATGCAGAAATCACTAGAAATTTGTCGATTAAATCAACTAATAATCAGATGTTTTGGGCGTTAATTCAGTGATTGTTTTCAAACACTTTTTGACTGTTTTTAAGTCTTTTTTGAATTTAATTCACAAATAAAGCGCTCAAAGAATTTGCGCCACAAATGACTGACAATTAGTAACGTTTGCATTGATTGACAATTATTTCACTTTTAATTGCTTTCAAACACTGTTTTCAATTATAAAACTTATTTAAAATATTTTAAATCAATTTAGTATTGAATTTATTATAATTAATGACAAAATCAATCAATTATTAAACCTTGAAATCAATTCAATGAAATGGTTTTGAAAAGACATAATTGATGTCACTTTAGATATGAATTCAAGTCATGCTTTGATTGTCAGACGCTTTCAATTGATTTTTAAAAAACAAATTGATTTGACTCTTGAGGTAAACGTTTGGATGACTTGTTGACCAGCGATGGAGTCAATGGACACGGATTTTGGTGACCTTTTGCACAAAGCCGAGCAATTGACAGCTGATATCGATGGCGAGTCTGAATTGCCGAGAATTGAGAGGAATTTGCGGCAATTGTTAGACGCCGGCGAACAGTTGTGGTCGCGGACCAGCACTGCTGACACCCGACAGACCAACGATGTGAGAGCTTCGGTACTCTTGGGATCCAAAGGTTATGACTTACAGAAGGTTAGTCAACAATTGGATTCATTGAGTGCATCGAAAAAGTTGACACCAATTGAAGCGATCGCTGAAACCGATATCAAGGGTTTCTTGAAGAGTGAAAGAGAGAATGCAATCATAAAGATTATTGAAGACATCCGTAAGTCAACCATCGAAAAGGCAGACAAACTGTATATGGAATCACTTCAGAGGGAGTGGGAAGAAGAGAAGCACAAGATTTTGAACGCTTTGGTTGGTCCTGAAGAGGACATCACTGACTTTAGTTCCAGTTTTGATATCACTAGCATTCGCTCTCAGACAATATCATCGACACCAACACATAGAACTCGTCTTTATTTTGAGCCAACACTGATCGACACGTCGACCATCACATCAATGAATGGCACAGAAATTGCTTTTGCCAAAGAAGTGATCAAATATGTGGACAAAACTATTTTTGGAAGCATTCGCTCTAATCTCGCCAATACTTTCTTAGAAAAGGTGGCCAAAGAAACAATCGGCGAATCACTAATCATTGATTTGTGGGAAATGGTATCCACTTTGATATCCAGTGATATACCTGTTGCCGCAGATTGTGAACCACTTGTAAATAGATGTGATCCTAAAGTGAATGCATTTTTAATAAGACAATCAAAACTATTTCTTCAGCAAAAATTTGTTCAATCAATTCAATCTATTGTCAATCCAACGATTGTTATGTCGACTTCTTTAAGCGCTTCTATGTTGTATAAACTGATTAAAGATTATTTAATTATCAAAACACCATATCTGACCAATTCGTCACTTAATGTATCGTTTGGTACGACACATATATCTAACACATATGAAGATGGATTAGTAGATGGAATACCAATTTGGTGTTTTATTTGGTACTGTCTTAGAGCTGGTTCTATTGATGCAGCAATTGAAGTGGCAATTAAGGGACCCGTTTGGATAATCAATGATTTTATATCTGTATTACGAGAATATAAGCAAAGCGAAGACAAACGATTGAGTCAGAAATCGGAAAATCAAATCAAGTTGTTGTATAAGAAGACTATTCGCTTGAGTACAGACGTGTACAAGAAGACTGTGTTTGCAATGCTAGGCTCGTGTGGAATATCTGAGTTTCCATCAGAAGTATTAGATAAAGTCGATGACTACTTATGGCTTAGATTGAGTCAAATTCAGATTCATGACAAAGATTCTGATTCCAGTGAACACTCAATTCTATCAAATACTTCTTCACCATTGATTACATCCGACAAATTGACTTTTAATAAGCTTAAGCAACAGATTAGTGAAGAATATGGAGAAATGTATTTCAACGCCAAAGACCAACCTTTTATGTATTTTAAAGCATTATTTCTTACCAATCAATTTGAAGCCGCCATTGAATTTCTCTTCAGAATCGATACTTATAGAAGTCATGCCATTCATATAGCCATAGCTTTGAATGAATTGCATCTATTGATAGTACCACACCTTCACCTTAAAGTACCCATTATTTCAAAGCACGCAAACGATCCTCTAAGCGTCCAAAGACTTAATTTCGCAAAACTCATATCAATATATACTCGAAAATTTGAGGCAAACAATGCTATTGAAGCCATTTATTACTTTTATTTATTGCGAAATATTAAAACAACTTCAGGAGACAACTTATTTACGACAACTGTCTCTAAGCTCGTGAGGGAAACTAAAAATTATGACACACTTCTGGGATATATTAGTGATGATGGCTGTCGTATAACCGGAACTATTGCTAAATTCAATAATGATGTCAACGCTATCATAGATAAGGTGGCCATTGATTTGGAAAATGAAGGCGCTTTTGAAGACGCTGTCAAACTATATGATTTAAACGGCAAACATAATAAAGTTCTTCAGCTTTTGAACAAATTGCTCAGTCCTTTGATAGCTGAACGCAAAGTAGTTGATTCTAAGAGGACTCGTTTAGAGACATTGGCTTTAAAATTGGCCGAAAGGTTAGTTATTTATTAAATTATAAGTAATAGAAAATAATTTGCTAATATTTTCAACAATTTATCTGAAAATATTTGTTAACAGATATTGTAGTAAAGAAAACAACGCCTCACCAGAAGTGGCGCAAACTTTTTATCTTTTGATTGATTTAATGACATTCTTTGATTACTATCACAATCAGCAATATAATGATGCACTCGATGTAAGACAATTGATAATAGAAATTAACGATAATTTTATTTACTATTTTTAAACGATTTTATGTCTTAAACATTACAGACTATAATTAAGCTAAAAATACTTCCATTTGAAAGTTCGGACATTGAAATGAAAGTCAATCAATTCAGTAGATATTCTGAAGAAGTTCGCAGAAATATTGCCGACATTTTGTTGGCCACAATGAATATATTGTATCCGAAATACAAGGAATTAAAGTGAGTTTACAAATTTATTTACCGGTAAATAGTTTTTAGAGTTTTAAAATTAATTTATACATTAATTAAGATCTTCAACGCCACGAACTGTCAATAGATTTGGAATAATAGGTGAAATCGATAACAAAGAACAGGTTTGTAATTATATAAATTATAACATAATTGTGAATAATTTAATTTATAAATAATTTAATGAAAGTTATGCACCGAAATTCGCCAAAAGGCCAGAGCATTGATAACCTACGCGGGAATGATTCCCTACCGAATGCCCGGCGACTCCAATGCACGACTCGTTCAGCTCGAAGTCTTAATGAACTAATCATTTGTTTATCATTATAAATGGTTACTCTAATCATCTGTTTATTAATTATATTAAATTTATAATAATTTGTAATAATATATTAATAATTGATTTTTTAATTTACGGTAATTATCAGCATATTATTGTTAATTTATGTAAAAATACAGTAACGACTGTATTATTACTTATATGTTATAAGTATTTTCTTATATAAATTGAAAAATATTTGCTTCAAACTTATTAAGAAAATAAATACATGTTATAAGTTATAACACTGAAAAAGACATGAATAAAAAGTCGTATTATTTTAAATAAAAAGTTATATAGATTTGATATTTTGAGGAAAAAATAGGACATAAAAATTGAAGTAAAACATACACATAATGTGTGTCCTAATAATGTCTTTTAATATTATTATAATATTAAACCTTATGTTTGATTTATAAAAACAATTGATTAAAGTTTGTATAACTAATACAATAAATAAAATATATGAATGAATGTGTGTAACAACAACTCTACCGATAGATTGAAATGACATTTAAATGGTTGTACTCTTTTGTACTGAAATACCAGTGACTGTAATAATACACTGTATATAAACATAACAAATATTAAACCCAAACATTGAGTCTATCGTACAGTTAAAGCAGTGAATGCTTTTTGTAACAAACATTAGTTACAGTCGTTTAAAATGAAAATCATTTACTGTATTATTATTATTATTATAATATTATTATTGCAGTCATTGATTGCATAATCACTGCTTCTATTGACTGTTGAATATTAGTCGACATTATAAACATTACACAAAATATCCATACATTTAGTGACCAATTGTTTCGTGATTTACATTACATTATATATTGATTATTATATATTAATATTATTAATCATTTATTATTATTAATGTTATGTTTGGACTCTAAGTTTGATTTACAACTAATTTAAAATCTTTTTTATCCATTAATTGATTTGCCGTCAAAATGGATGACAACAGTCAATCAGGTAAAGACGTTTGAAATTGATTTACCACTTCTTGTCTTTAATGTCAACAATTTATATTAACAATTGATCCATAATTTGATATATATTAGTATTAAAATGTTTTAATTATGTGAAGTTTGTTTTGTCGTAAATAATAGTTGTTTGTTGTTTGATATTTGCAGACATATGTCGTGTTTGTCGATCGGAAGCACTTCCAGACAAACCACTGTTTCATCCATGCATTTGTACGGGAAGTATCAAATTTATACATCAAGATTGGTATGTTTGTGATGATATAGTAGTGATGACAATGAGATTATTAATGATATAAATGATTATTAATTGTCTGACAGTTTAGTCCAATGGTTGAAATATAGTGAGAAAGAGTTTTGTGAGTTATGTAACCATCGATTCTCTTTCATTCCAAGTAATTATCATTTGTTTTCATACATATATTGTGACCACAATTAACAATAAATATATTTATATATATATTATTTGACAGTTTACTCGCCAGATATGCCTAAAAGGCTGCCAATACGTGATATCATTAGTGGTTTGTTCGGCTCTTTAGGAACAGCTGTCCGCTATTGGCTGCACTACACACTGGTTGCGGTCGCGTGGCTCGGGATCGTACCGTTAACTGCTTGTATGATATTTGACTGATCTTAACAAACAAAACATTATATATTTTTTTTTGTTTTTTTCAAATGATTTACAGACAGAATATATCGATCATTATTTAGTAATACAATGAATTCAGTCCTGACATTGCCGTTAGATATGTTCAGTACTGAGAACTTAATATCCGACGGCTTTTATGGCTGTTGTGTTGTTACGTGTACTTTGAGTGCCTTTATTAGTCTGATTTGGCTGAGAGAGCAGATTTTAAGAGGTGGTGGTCCCGATTGGCTCGAACAACAACTTAACATTCAAAATGCTGTTCCGCACATTCAAGACAGAGACCAACAAAATGATAACAACGATAACAATAATGAACAAAATAATGATAATAATGATGAAGGAATTGGCGATGAAAATGATGAAGAAGACAACATTGATGGAGGAGATGCTGAAGTAGGTGCTAATCCTAACGTTGTCGATATAGTCGAGAACAATCAAAATGAATTACAGGTCATTGACAATCACAATGCGGTTAATGCTGTGGCTAACGGTGCCGCTCAAGACTGGAATCCAGGTGTTGAATGGGATCGTGCGGCTGAAGAGCTCACTTGGGAAAGGGTTAGTTAAACATTATTCGTAAATATAAATGAATTTTTTAAAATTAAAAATTATTTATATTTTTAAAGATTTTAGGATTGGATGGTTCGCTAGTATTTTTGGAGCACGTATTTTGGGTGATATCACTGAACACCCTATTTATAGTAATATTTGCATTTTGTCCGTACCATATCGGCAACTTTATTATAACAAAACTCAACTTCGATACAGTCATATCTACGACACATTTCGATGGTTTTGTTACGACTTTAACCGGATATTTAGCGGTCGGCATAATTCTAGTCACTTTTCACGCGTTTGCATCGATTACGCGCTTCAGACGCACCGAACGATTTTTAGGGTTATGTTATGTTGTAGTGAAAGTGTCGTTACTGTCAGTGCTTGAAATCGGCGTTTTCCCGTTGGTGTGCGGCTGGTGGCTGGATATATGCTCTCTGCCTATGCTGGACGCCACTATTCAGAACAGGATTACCAGCTTCCGTATAGCTCCGGGAACGTCAATGTTTATTCATTGGTTGGTTGGAATGGTTTATGTTTTCTACTTCGCCTCCTTTATACTATTGCTTCGAGAAGTGTTACGACCGGGAGTTTTATGGTTTTTGCAAAACCTTAATGATCCAGATTTTAATCCCATCCAAGAGATGATACATTTACCTATCATTGGTCACATCAGACGTTTTTTAGCTTCTTTGGTCATATTTGGCACAACTGTTTTACTAATGATATGGTTTCCCGTTTGTGTCGTTCAAAAACTTATTCCAGATTTTCTGCCCTATAATGTTGTGCTTTCAAAGTAAGTTGTAATCAATTGAATTACCGGTAATTGAATTAATTATTAATTTGTTTTTTTAAAAATATAATTTAGTGAATCTCCAGTCAGTGAACTATCATTAGAGTTTCTATTACTCCAATTGGTATTACCTGCACTGTTAGACCACGGTCATCTGAGACAATGGCTCAAAATGTTGGTCCGTGGCTGGTGTTTAGTCGTCTCATATTTATTGGATATTCGATCGTATCTTTTGGGTGACATTCAGCCAAATGAAGAACAGAATGAAGAAAATGATGAAAACCTTCAACTGAATGGTCAGAATCGCAACGATTTTGTTCGAATGGGTTTTATTCGACCGGATTTCTTCTCACTTCGGATTTTATTATTACTATTATTAACTTCAATATCACTTTTATTGGGCGGTCTTTTTGTATTAACTGTTCCCGTTATTGTTGGCCGTCGTCTTATTGGACTTTGGATGGGAAGCATCAAAGTTCATGAACTCAATACCGCCGCTTGTGGTCTATATGTGGGACTCGTGGCTACCAGAGTAACAACACTTCTTTGTTCTTGGATTCCTCGCGGATGGTCTGCAATACTGAGAAAAATCAAAGAATGGGTTGCAATAACACTGAAGGCATTAATTGCTGCCTTTATTTTGTTGGGTTTAATACCACTACTAATTGGTCTACTGTTTGATGTCGTCATTATTATCCCACTTCGCGTTCCTCTCAATCAGACACCGATCTTCTATTTATGGCAGGACTGGGCTTTTGGCGTTCTTCACACGAAAGTCATCTGTGGAATTGGTTTGTTGTTATACTTCAGATTATATAGTGATCACTTAATTTGATTCACTTTTTATTATAGCAATGATGGGTGAATGGAGACTACGGGAAGTACTGGAAGAGGTTTGTTTTATACATAACTTATTACTGCTTATGATTACAGATTTAGTGGACACACAATAATTAATAATTTTATTTAGCATTAAATAGCAATGAATTATATAACTATAATCATATCATATAATGTTTTTCTAATGCATAGATATATCACGGAGGACTGGCTCATATAAATTTGCGACTAATAATGATGAGACTGGCAATGCCTGTAATCGTGGCACTGGTGCTCATTCTGGCGCTGCCATACATTACAGTAAATAGTATTCTTCCAATGTTTGGAGTAACGTTTGAAATGCAGAATATAATGAATCGTCGGATCCACCCATTGCTGCTATTGAGCACATGTATCATATATTTAATTCATTGGCAAATACATAAGTTTTACCGATTATATGAGCACATCAAGAATGACAAGTATTTAGTTGGCCGTCGATTAGTCAATTATGAACCAAATTCCCACAAATATAGGCCAAACAATACTCCACACAACTAATTGTTTTTTTCATTAATTTATTGTAGATTTTAATTTCAGTTATTGTTTTAATAAGAAATTTATATATAACTATTTAATTATAAAAAAACAAACAAATCAAGTGTTGTTTATTTAAGAGGTAAACAATTTATATTACCAGTAATAATTAAAAACAGTAAATATGGTTACCATTTATATATATAATTTGTATATACAGTAAAATTTGGTGAACATTTAAAAATTTAAATAAATATATATTTGTTAATAAAAAAAATTACAAATAAATCTTAAAAACAAATTCAGAGATATGTCTCCTTAACGTTGTCATCAATGGCAAGAAGTGCATTGAGTCTTCGCTCCAGATTTATTATATCGTCGTCCATAACATCGGTGACTGTTGTGTTCGCAACTGAATTGTCCGCAACTATTGTCTCTTCAGATCGTGATTCAGAGTGACAATGGGTTTCGTTTGTATCTAATTACCGGTAATGATAAAAAACATTGATATTATAATAACAATTATTACTTCAAAATCTAAATCCACTATTACTTTGAGTGGTGTTGTCTTCAATTGGATTAAACTGAGTGCGAAGTCCGGCCACTCCTTTGGTGTCTTTCGGGTCGAGCGCTTGTCTTCTAATTCTTCGCGTGCGAATCGGATTATTACGTCTGTACTGAACCATTGCCTCAAAGTCTATCACATAAACAAATCCAGTAATTAATACATCAACTGAAGACTGGTTGGCGGCGAAAGCTTTTTCGATGTCAGTCTGTGTGCGCTCGTCATAGAGCCACCAACCGTTGCGACCCTCATATTGCCACTGAAGATCACTATCATTGACCACATTCTTCCACACAACCGAACCAATTAGAGTGGGATTCTCGAAGAAGTCCAAATCTATAGGTCGTCGACACACTGGACACCTGTTATTGGACTGTTGTGCCGATCCTTTGACACACAAATAGCAAAAAATATGATTACAGTCGAGACGGACACCATTGAGACACACATCCAAACAAATGGCGCAATCAATCACTTCAGACGGCGATTCAGATGTCATTATTTAAGACGAGTCTCTATATTAAGCTTTGGTGACACTATTCGTCAAATTAGTGACCAAATGATCGGTCATTTTTGGTCATCAAAACAATCTCTTGTTTTATTTTGTTGTCAACGCTTTAAAAAGTCTTTTCTGTCCAATGATTGGCATCAAAGACGTCTTACATTTACCTCTAGTGATAACTTGTGTGTTGATCACTATAATTGGATTATCAGATCAATTGAAACAACAAGTGATGGCCAACCAAATGTTGGTCACAATCGGCGCTACAATTGACTATCAAAACAACTAAACGTTTGTTGTTTTTGAATGACTTTTAAAACGTATTAATGTTTATGTTTTGTAAGCATTGAGTCAACAGTTGAGTGAATGCAATGCATAGACAACAACACAATCATTGCATTGAATGTCAACACAAATGTGTAAACAAAACATACATTTAATGATTAATTGATTGCAGTTTTCAAAGCCATTTGATTGACACAACCATTGAGTGGCCGTTTGATAATATTATAGGACATCACCGCTGAAGACAAAAATGGACGACACAGTAAACAATCACTTTAGTCAAGACATTAACCATTTGAGTCACAACAACGACAATCATATCCTTGATATTTATAGCGATGTCTTCATTGAATACGAATTAATGCGAGAGTTGTATGTCTTAATTGATTGATTTTTTCAATAATTATCATCATTTAAGACATTACTTAACCATTTGTTTCTCATTTAGTTTATTATACCGAAAGCAAAACATTTCACACATCTATTTAGTTCCGGCCAACTCTTCACCATTTGGTAAGTCTAACCGTTAAGATGTTGATTAAGTAATGAATAATTATTTTACATTTGTTTATAAAGTATGGTTTGGTGTGATGTTTGTCCACAAAGGCATATATCGGGGATTAGTCTTGCGATTTGAAGTAGTCATCCCTAACACATACCCCAACTGCCAAATACCGGTCCGATTATGACTTAGAAATTAAATACATATTAATTAATGAATGTTTTTATTAAAATATAAATAGAAGATAATCTTCGAGACGATACCATTTCATCCATTAATCGATGCAATAAGTGGTGAATTGAATACAAGTCTTAAGTTCACTGATTGGAAGTCATCGGTGAACAACATTTGGCAAATCATTGATTACGCAAAACAAGTATTTATTTCAATGGATTTCATGCAAAGTCTTGAAGACAACACATTAAGTAGTAGTGATTTGTTTAACAAAAAGGCCATCGATTTGTATAAAAAAGATAACAAAGAATTTCATATAAAAGTTACTCAAACCATACACGAGTCAAATGAATTGATAAATAAATGCAATACAAATGACACGAATGCAATCATTTTCGGTCCATTTAATGATGATATTCATCAAGAGTTGCACAAAAAATTGTTGTCAGGTATTGATGTGATCGAAGAAAATCTAATCGCAGACCCGACACACCCGTCCGTTACCGGCCTATCGTGGGTTCAAAGAGATTATTAATATGCTATCAAAGCTCAACGTTTAAATGGGTGGCTAACTATTTATTTACTCATTTATATACACTATATATTTTAATATTTAGTATTATCATTTGTATTAAAAACTATTAGATATTTAAAAAAAAATAATACAGAAAATTATGTTTTTGTTTTATTGCAATATATTTATTAATTAAATAAAGTATTTATTGAAAAAAGTAAATTAGTGATATTTGTAAATATAACTCAATTTTTAAAATATTAAAAATAAAAGTATTTTATATGATATAAATTATATCTAAACAACTAATGATTAGTATTCAATATTACAATTTGTAAATATTAATTAATAATCAATTAAGTTTATCAAGATTAACACAATATGATCAACATATAAAAATTACAGTATATACAGTATTTATAAGCTTATAATTGCTTCGATACATTTAAATGCTATATTTTGTTTGTTGTATATTATTAATACATTATTACATTATTATATTAATAATGTTTGTTGTTATACATTAATATATTAAAAGTTACATAATTTTAGTATATAGTGTACATAATTTAGTAATTAAAGTTAATGGCGATATCAATCAAAATTAACAAAAATTATTTTTTTTTAATTTACAGAATTTTGACATTAATATCATATGTAAGATATAAAAATATATATAAACAAAATGTAAAGTATACAAAATTTAAATATTTAATTAATATTAATTCTTTATGCAATTTTTAAAAATTTATACAAAATATCTTTTGTAAACAAAAATTCTTTTATTTTTTAAAATTAATTAAATTATTTTTACATTTTTACTGTATTACATTAAATCATTTTTTCGTTTATAATAAATAATGTTTTTTTGTTATACCGATGGATTATTTATAAAATAAAATTTAAAAAAAAACATTAGAATTTATTAAATTCAATAAACTTAATAATTTATATGTTTTGTTTATTTATCTACATTTTGTTGTATAGTACTAATATTTATATTGCATAACAATTAGTAAATAGTAAACGAAACTAATATAATTTAATAAAATTTATTTTCTAATAAGTTATATCAAATATCTAAAATATTGGATTAAATATGTTAATATAATCACATAGTGTTTAAATAAATATATTCAGGCAAATTAAATATTAGAGACTATACAGTATATTTGCATATATTAGCATTGAAATATATAAACCTATTAAATAGTTAACTTTAATTTAATTAATTTAATTATTTAATTTAGTTTACTAATAGATTTGTCAATATTATTTAACTAAAATAATATAATTTATCATATGAATAAAATTTAATATATTTATTTCACGTTATTAGCATTTTGCATAGACTATCTTGTTTACATAATTTTGTTAACACAATTTTTTAATAAAATACAATTTTAAAAATTATATAAAACTAGCGCTTTTATTAAACAACAAAATTATGTTATTGTATATAAATAATTTCATATAAAAAATTAAAATTATTACTAATGATTTTTAGTTTTAATATATGTACCAATATTTGTGTCGCAATAGGAACATGTTTTAGAAAAATAAAATAAACTAAACTATAGATTTATGAAATAATTGAAAATAAATTTTAGTCAAATTAGTACTATATATTGTAAATTTACAGTACTGTACATTATTGATAAAATATTAAAATTCAATAAAAAATATATTTATTGAATTACATTGAATATGAATTGAATATTAAATAATTTAAATCCTTTTCAATTCACATGTAATCTGAATTGCAATTGTTGTGCAAACTTTTATGTTTAATAAGTATTATTATAAAAAATATCTATATTTTCTTATACAACAAAACACAACTTATAGAAAATGTTAACTCAATTCATATTTTTGATGACAAATAATAAAAAATACTAATAATGTCTTTCCTTTCGTCACTTTCTCTACAATTGAATAATAAGTATTTGACAGCAATATATGGTATCCTTAAGAATGGGTCGATGGGGTGATTGGGTGATTGGGTCCCTGTTTTTGACAATTCAATCACTTTCTTATCCGCCAACGACTTGCATATAATTATAGTGCTATAACTTATGGGTCAAGTATTTGTCATATTTTTTCAACTGAGATCTCAATATTTGTTTGCAGACACCCTATGAATGATGTTTTTATGTGAGTTTTGCACAACAAATCTCATTGTATTTCTAACTCAAAAGCTTTTACTTTTTTATGTTATATAAGCGGTAAAGATATGCGACACTTGAAAGTTGGGACCTCTCATGGACTTTACGGCTCTAATGACTACTTTAAGGATCAACTCATAAGGTTTGGGTCACTTCAGCAAAGATTATGACTTGAAAAGACTATACTGTATAACAACAAAATAAAAATGTTTAATAAAAATAAAATATTCAAAATGACATACACTGTTAGTCTGACTGACAGCTGCCGGATATGTAGATGTGATTACAAAACACAAACTATTAATATAATCATAATTATTACACTACTATTAGACAACAATACTAATGGTTAGATAGTTTTAATATTATTTTTATTAAAATAATATTTTTGCCAATTAAGGCATCGATTGGCAAACAGTTAGCATCGGTTAACTAACGAACCGATTCCTATCACTTGTACTCTAACATCAGTACTCACCAGTCGATTGCATTGAAGCTATTTATTTGACAAAAAAATTACTAAAATTTTTTTTGGCATCTTTTATATCATGTGAAGCGTGTTTAATGAAATTATTGCTAATATATGTTTGTCATACAATTTGCATTTACATAACTGGATTAACGCTATTTATTTTGTTATTGATATACTTTACGAGTATATACTATGCATAATATATTTATGTAAATACATTTCAGAAATATAATGAATAAATACATTTAATGATAGTAATGATAATTTAACTGAAATACAACACCGTTGTAAAGTGGATTTTTGTTTGTTTGTTAAAATATTTACTATAATAAAAATCACAACAATTATTCAACACTATTGTTTGTTATAACATTTGTTATGAATTTAAAAAAATTATATTTATTATTACAATTGTTATATACGGGAAATTTAGCAAACATTTGAATTGCTATCTCATAAAACATATAATTACTGAAATAAAACTAATATTATAATTCTATTAATTTGATATTATTTTTTTGTGTATGTATTTTATGATCATTAGTGCAATGATGTTAGTGTATATAATATACTAATAAACTAACTTAATATCATTGAATTTAACATTAAGGGTTGAACTCTATTTATTATTTTATTTTTTAGCATACATAATGTACAGTATATTATTGTATATACAGTACATTGTATTATATAAATTTACAGTATATTTTATTATTATTATTATTTATTTAGCAACTATATAAACTGTATTTAATAAATAAATTAGTATGGGAAATTTAATTCAACGATTGCTAAAGTTTGACAAATAATAAATATATTAAAAACATTGATTAATATCAACGGGTATTTATATGATATATACTACATATGCCAAACATTTATGACTAGAATAACCGTTTAGTTGTTTACAACAAATGTCTCACTAATTCTTGCAATTGTTATCCATATATTTTGAATGGTATGTCTGTATCGGAAATAATAGTACACTATTAGTGACGGCAGTCGGCAATCGTAAGGTTTGCAAAAAAAAAAGTTTTTTAGCGCATCAGCTCTTAAGCTATCAATCGATTTAAAGCGTTAAAAATAAACGTGAGATTTGTTTAATGATTATCACTTGCGATAATCTTGAGATAAATTGATGCCATTCACTAACATTCACTCATAAGTTATATACACATATAATAGGCTATGAATAGAAAGTTTATCCATAGATTTACTGAAAAGTAGTATATTTATATATATATATATACAGTATATATACTGTTAGGAATAGACCGGTGCTGAGGACAATCACTGAGAAACAGAGATAATGGACAGTCGGGTTGAGAACTGAGCAGATTTGGCTCAACTGCAACTATCGTTTATTTAAACTGATGCTACCATTCATAGGCTTTCCTAATGCTTACCATTCCCTTCAAGCTATACATAAAAATATAGTAAAATATAGTGCGAATGGGGGTCTCATTGTGAAACAGTGGTGTTTTTTAATCCGGAACAATCGCTTTTGCAGTGATACAGTCATATAGGACTATGCTTTATGGCAATTCATAATTTCTATTCATAACATGCCTTTCACTAGTAATACCAGTGCCTTCACTGCCTTCACTCCATTTTCTCCATTCCCTTATTTGATGAAAAGGTTTGTCTCTTAATCGGATTTTATGGCATAATTTGAACGGCTTTTCCAGTTGTTAAGGACTTGACTGATGCTCCTAAAGACCACTTGTCTGAACACTATTTGTTAAAAGTAATAATCATTTCTATCATCTAATGATCGAAAGCCAGACAACTGTACCCATCGGTAAATACGGTGAATGCAAAACAAGACAATTTGATACGGCATTACATGCAATACAGTCATACAGTTCCTTATTATACCAAACAAATACTTTATCTGTTATGAGAAATCGTGAATTCCTTAGCAGTCATCCGGTATTTGTTGACTAAAAAACGTCCCAATGATTGTAGTGTTCATTACCGGTAATCACTTAGCGGTGAACAACAAAATTGACCAAAAAATCTCTATAAAAAGTGATTAAAATGTTTAACTTATTTTTGGTTTTATTTGTCACAGAAAATCACTTTCAGTGTATTTACGACTTTCTGACTTTATTTTTCAATTCAATACTAGAATAATATTTATATTTTTGATGAGAAAATCACAATAAATATAATGACTTATTTCAAGTCATTGGAGGAGAATTAATACAATAGTTTGTAAGGCTATCGCTATTATCGTTATTTTCTCGCCAAAACCTATTGTCCAAAAGGTATCGATATTTTAACCCTATTGTGCTTTTATGACCCCCTCTTGTCATGAGATGAAAGCAGCTGTTGGTGTGTTTGGGCGTTACGTTTACCACTTCATGCACTTTCAACGCCAGGGGTCAACTCCAGGAGGTATTGATGGATACGACTTCTTTGGGTGGGAAATGAAGAAATATTTGGCCAAAATAGCCATCACTTTGAATATACAAACATT